CCTGCCCTCGTGTCAGCTTCATGTCAGGCGTGCGTCGTGGCGGTGACTTCAGTAGGTCAGTCGCGCTTGTCATGGTATCATATTTTCATGAGAAGAACCACAGCGGGCTGATAATGGGTCACTAAACCACGCTTATTTTATTGAATATTCTGAAAGTACAATGTGAGTAGATAACGTGGTGATTTTTCCGCATTTTTATGGAGCCGAAATCGCGGAGAAACCCGCTTTTGAAAAATCTAAAAACTGCAAGACATTTCAAACGCACCCGAATGGCGGGAAACTGACGGTGTTGACGCACTGCGGTAGTCATATCGCAATCTTCTCTCATTTTCCTCTGATGTTTGTTGAAATAAAACGTGTTTCAATGCGGAATTAATGCTCGTTTATTACAGCTAACATATGAAAGAGATTCAAGTCGTGAATTCAAAAGATATAATTTCGACTTTAGTATTGTTTTCATATACGAAGAGTAGATAGACATTTGACGGAAGTCGTGGAAACCCGTGCCCGCTTCTGATTGGTGCCGGATGACATCATTCGGCGCGGCGCGAAACCGGGGCGTTTTAAATTTGCGTATAAGTTGAGCGATTTGAACTGCGCATTTCTCGGTTATTGAGTTACTTGTTCGCGTTTTAAATGTGCGCATCGTGTTCTACGCGTCATTTTCCTTCAGAAAACTATATTCGCAAGTCAAAATTCGTTCATGGTTTAGTGACCCATTGAAATTGATAGACAACGCGATAGACAAAGAGGACAAACTGAAAATGAAGTGATCCTGTCGGTGGACGCGGGTGGTTGCACTGGACAAAGGAGGTAAGTCATAGACTACACTGAAAAAAAAAACACATTGGATCTAGAGTCCAGACTCTTAAAAACATCGACAAGAAAAAGTACTCTTGATTCAATCAGAATCTGTAATATTATAGCTTAATTATTAGCTAATATTATAGCTTAAATCAAGAACCAAGCCTCTTAATTTAAGCGGCTTCTGTTTTGATTCAAGCATAAATGCGATTGAATCAAGATTATTTTTTCTTGTCAATGTTTTCAAGAGTCTAGACTCTAGATCCAATATGGTTTTTTTTTCCAATGTAACTGACGGCAACCCATGTGAAACCCTGCACACTGAAACAGTTAACGGGCTATGCTACCCTGCTAAGGAAAAACGCCATAAGAACCTTCGTCAGTTGCCAAATTTCCTTTGATTAAATACAAATTTTCAGGAAAACCTGTTGACATTTTTCGTTCAATTTTTCAGAAAATTTTCTTCGTAATTAATCTAAATTACCTGAAAATTTCAATAGAAAATATTCCAAACTCTTCTCAAAAATGTAAATGTCATTCAAGGAAATTTGACAACTCTCGTATACCGTCCTTTCCGCCCGTCCGTGTTTTGGAGACACACAAAATTCTCGGAGTTGTCGCGTAATAGTTAGTTGAGCGATGAAGGCCCTCTAAAAACAAATTAAGTTTTCCACAAAAAACAAAATGTTCGATCTTTGGTCCTCCTAAGTTTTAACATAGATTAATTCATAAGAGCGTGCAGTCGGACTTGTCGCAACTTAAGCTCTAATTTTTTGTTTCGTTTCACCATCGATGTTCGTCAAATCCCCACTAAGAAGAATGGTACGGCACCACGGACTGACCGCAACCGTGGCGCATTCGTGTGTAACCAAATTAGGCCAACGTAATTCCAGAGAAGGAATAATTGAACAGCCTACGTCCAAAAATCTCGATGTGTGCGTCATTCATGAATCTTAACCTATATTTTTAGAAGCTCAGGGTCAGGATATATGCTGTTCGTCGTACGACCAGAATTATGGAGCTTCTCTCGTGGGGCTTTGCGGGGTACCTAGATTTCCTCTGCCTCTTATATGAAAAACTGCTCCGTCCCCTTCATCATGAAACGTACCAAAAGCCCATAACTAGAGACACGTTTGGTCCGAAATAACAAACGAGGGGCTTGGAGGACAAGGCGCATAAGTGCAGTTTTTGAAAAATTGAGATATTCTTGATGTCAAGTAAAACTAGTCTCAATTCTGTGAAAAATTCGCCCAAAAATTTCAATTTGTAAGCATCAAAAAGTCAGTTTGAACTTTCTTTCCGCCTTAAGGATCCATGTAATTTCAAAACACGTATTTCTCGAAACAGTAAAAACTGCTCTCATGCACCTTGTCCTTCAAGCCCCTCAAAAATGTACCCCTCTGATTCTTGAAAATTTGAGATATCTGCGTGTAGGTCACCAGGTCACCTATACAGGGTGGGCCAGAAGTTCCAGGACGGTCGGCTAACTTTTGAACGGTTCGAGATAGATAAACAAAACTTTGGGAATGTTCCTATCTCAAAGGGGACCATCTTTTGGGGGAGTCAAAATTTTGGTCCCCCCTAAGGGAGGGGGCGGGGGGCCCCCAACTTTTTTTTTTCAAATGGCAACCCCTATCTTGTGATACCTCATTCGAAAGACCATAAAAAACTAAGAATTTTGGCGCAAACCGCAGATCAATATCTTAATTTTTGACCGAGTTATGATAGGGTCAAAGGTCAAATTTGACCTATTTTCAAAAAATCACAACTCCGGTTCAAATTATCGTAAAGAAAAAAATAAAACGGGAAAATTTACTAAATTAAGTTCGCTTTTTTGTAAAAATTGCAGAAATCACTTCGAACTAATTTTAAGGGGGGGTTCGGACCCCCAAATACGTCAATTCAAAGGTCATTCAATTTTCCCGCGAAATAAGCCAATTTCCCCTAGATTTGCCTCCACATTATCTCAGTAAGGTCAAAATCAGTTCAACATTACGTTGGGCAAGTCCCCAAATTTCAGGAAAAGTTAAAAAAACCCAATTTAAACGGTCAAATTTAATTACCTTAAATTGCGTTTTTTTTAACTTTTCCTGAAATTTGGGGACTTGCCCAACGTAATGTTGAACTGATTTTGACCTTACTGAGATAATGTGGAGGCAAATCTAGGGGAAATTGGCTTATTTCGCGGGAAAATTGAATGACCTTTGAATTGACGTATTTGGGGGTCCGAACCCCCCCCCCTTAAAATTAGTTCGAAGTGATTTCTGTAATTTTTACTTAAAAGCGAACACAATTTAGTAAATTTTCCTGTTTTATTTTTTTCTTTACGATAATTTGAACCGGAGTTGTGATTTTTTGAAAATAGGTCAAATTTGACCTTTGACCCTATCATAACTCGGTCAAAAATTAAGATATTGATCTGCGATTTGCGCCAAAATTCTTAGTTTTTTATGGTCTTTCGAATGAGGTATCACAAGATAGGGGTTGCTATTTGGAAAAAAAAGTTGGGGGCCCCCCGCCCCCTCCCTTAGGGGGGACCAAAATTTTGACACCCCTATAAGATGGTCCCCTTTGAGTTAGGAACATTCCCAAAGTTTCATTTTTCTATCTCAAACCGTTCAAAAGTTAGCCGACCGTCCTGGAACTTCTGGCCCACCCTGTATATGTATATATGTATGTATGTATGTATTTCCGCCTTTTTAAGATTTTTCGATTTTTGAGTAGTTATATCTTTCTTACGTTGAAAGATATTTTGACCAATTTTTTTTTGCATTTAGTAGAGACTCATTAGAACTACTATTCCGCGAAAAAAAATTGAAATTTGAGGCAATAGGTTTTGAGGGGTGGGGCTCGAATGTGGAGGGAGGTCAAATCTTGTCCACTCGATAACTCGAGCGAAAATGGATATTTTGAGCCGAAATTTTTACGGGTGATAGTTCTCCCCTAGGACCGGTTTGGTATTGAATTTGAGCTAGATCGACCGAGCCGTTTAAAAATGGCGAGCTTTGAAAGTTTTAGACGCGGGGTGCGCGGCATGAGGGGAGCCAGCCGGAGCAGGGCCGCACAGTGGGTCGGGGGAGAAAGTTTTTGGACAAGCTGATCGTCGCACAGTGGGTCAGGGGGAAGAAGTTTTTGGACAAAATTTTCGTCGCACAGTGGGTCAGGGGGAGGAAGTTTTTGGACAAAATTTTCGTCGCACAGTGGGTCAGGGGGAAAAAGTTTTTGAACAAGCTTTTCGTCGCTCAATGGTTCAGGGGAAGGAAGATTTTGGACAAACTGCGCGTCGCACAGTGGGTCAGGTGAAGAAAGTTTTTGGAAGTACTATTCGTTGCACAGCGGCCCAAGCGGCCCACAAAAATCCCACTTCGGGAAATACACTTTCTTCCCGCGGTGGATGCGCGGGACACTTAAAAAGAAGAAAAACTAGACGTGCAGACGACTCCGAAAAGACGCGCGCGAAGCGCGCGTCCTGGGGGGGCTTGGGGGGCGAAGCCCCGCCAAAAACCGGCGCGGAGCGAAACGGAGCGCCGGTTTTTTACTTATAGATTTCAGTTCAATCCCCCAGTTTTTTTTTACGTCTTTGATCACAAATTTTTCTACGTTCAGTTCTCAGACTCTGATTTTTTACGAGTTCTTTTACGTACATTTTTCGTGCTTGTAAAATTTACCAGTTTTAATTTTTTTTTTTTTCACGAATTATATTACAAGATGTGCTACTAGGGAAAGGAAAAATAACATTTCATATGAACCCTGGGCCACAGTCAGTTATCGACGGCCTAAGTCCGCGATCACATATCTTGTTCATGGTGTCTGAAAATCTCCGCCTCTATGTTATTTTTTCAAAGGAGAACAAATTGACATCATTCCTTGAAGTTTATGCAGAATTTTCTTCTTACAGAGAAGAAACATCACGGCAGTTTTCAAGAATTGCCGTTGAGTAGTTTTCTGTTTAAAAAATAAAGTATGACAGGAAGTCTGCGACATCGCAAACCGAATTATGTGATTGCCGACTTACACCTTCGTTATGCATGACAGGCTCTTTTCAAAATTTAGGTCCTTATTTTCACTTTTGCCTGGAGAGCAATGATTCTGCTCATGATAAGAGGCCCCCTCCTGTAATCTAAGTATACACAGCAAAGTGGGGCATTAATGCAGTCATTGGATGTTGAAGAAACTCTAAAAATTTCTATCTTACAACCTTTTGATCATAGTCTTTATTTTATTTTATGCAATTTTTTCTTTTTATTTTGTGTGTTTTTATCAGCTAAGCACGCAGCAGTTTGACTGGAATGAATATGAACAGAATTATGTCATCGGCAGCTTTTACTGGGGATATATTTTAACGGAACTCTTAGGTGGTCGACTTTCAGAAGTAATTGGAGCACGGAAGGTGTTCGGCTACTCAATGCTCTTTTCATCTTTCATCACGCTCTTGACTCCACTTTCAGCCAAAATACATCTCGCTGCTATCGTTGTGTTACGGTTTCTGCTGGGATTTCTTCTTGTAAGTAGCAAGGCTTCGTCACAACACCTACTTTCCATAGGTTTTCGTAATTTTAATGGACTCTGTAATGAGAATGGAGGAAACAATTTGAAGAGGAACTTTAATTAAAAACAGATTAACGATGGCAGTGTCTCAAACTACACAGAATAGAGGAAAAAATAAAAGCACCCAATTTTAATTTGTGAAGTTCAAAGCTTTAACATGTGTAATATTGTGCATTTAAATTTCAATAAGTTGGTATTTTTCAAAGCAGTCCATCAAATATGGCAACTTGTCTTATATGAAAGATAAATCAAATACACCAGGCACAGTGAAGGGCTTGGTAGAAAGAGAAGGCACATATATGTACTATAAACTGACACTTAATGCATGGCTCAGGTGAAGTTGATTCAGTTTTACCAGATCTTAAAAAGTGAGGAGATATCGGTGCGAACTAGATGGCAAAGGGTGGAGGGTCAAGAGAAGTCTTGAATTCTGAATTTCTTTATGGAACTAATAATCTAATTGAAATATCCCTTGTTTCAGGGTGTTTCGTGGCCTGCTATGCATCCCATGGCGGCGCACTGGATTCCTCCAAATGAGCGGAGCAAGTTCATTGCTAACATGATGGGTGAGGACTCCATTCTCAATACAGACTTTAAGTTTTTTCTTTCACACTTTCATCCAATTTTTAAAGGGGGCTGCGTTCATGCCATGGGATGTCAGTTCAGGTGTTACTAATATTGTGCATTTGTAATATGCCATTCTCATTGAATTCGGACTAAGTGCATTTATCTACAATCTGTTCCGTACATATGCTTACAATTTAGAAGATAAAATGGACAAAAATACCTTACCCATTGATCCTTTACTTTTACGCGATGAAGATACATTTATGATCATAGCAGTGTTGGATGATGACGCTAGTGGATAGTAATGATAAAGCAAGATAAATGCTGGATAGTATAGATACTTTATATTACTTTTTAACTTGTCACAGAGTTAGATAGGTAGGGAGTACAATCAGCCCTCAGGCCGTGAGGGGGGCAACAACAGACAGTCAGAGATAATCATATCAAGATGAGAACACCATCAAGATTGATTACATGACTTATTTAATCTATACAATCTTAATAGTTCAATGTGCCTCCCTAATTATATAATTAACTAGGGACTGCGGCCTAACCTCCCAGAGGCACTTCGCGCATCTAATCTACAGATACAAATAGCACTAAGATCGTGGCGTGTTTTTACTATGTTTAAAATGAAATAAATTAAAAAAATAGAAGAGAAACAAAATAAATGGTACGTAAATCGAAGCATTGGACATCGCTCTAAATAAACAATTTCCGTCAGCTATCATTCCAATAATAGTGAGGCGGTGAGTTGCATTAATTTTAAGCTGCTACTGTGGTAATAAATAGATGGCAAAAATTGAAAAGGTTAATATGCTCAGATTCTCTGAGTATATCAATAAAAGAACACCACCTAGGCAAAGGAAAGGATTAAGGTTGTAAACGCAATCTTCACCTACCCAGTCCACTGGTAGAACTTATCGAATCAGGAAGGCCCTGGAAAACTAATGCCCGCTAAAAAAATAAAGAAAAGTAGGTAAGGAAGGTAAGATAGATAATTAAGGAAGTTGGATTAGATGGATATTGTAAGAGAGAGAGGTAGACTAAGGAATTGTGGGAGTTGTTGCTTCCGCAAAATCGCGAGATAACTGAACGGACAAAATTATTGCCAAAACGACGGTGGTGATTGATGGGCCGGGTAATGGAGGGAGGTAAGAGTTAGGGGTAGCAGCAGCGGTAGCTGGAGTGGCAGTGGCACAGTTGGTGAGAGGCTCCGAGCCAGAGGGTAGCAGGAGGCGGCGCGACGCACGTGAGCGTGGGCGGCGGGAGGGGTTGGGGAGTGGAAGAGAAACAGGTTTGTGACATGTTTAGCGTGACACCCTCAGCATGACACGGCACCCTTATGATTTCATACGATAGCGTAAGATCAATTAATAAAATGTTTTAAATAAGCAGCACCCAAACTGATTTTGTTGGAACTGATATCAACCCCCCTCATGAAACGACGTGTTCACAGAAGTTCTATTCATTCCTTAATTCTGTTCTATTTATAACAATTTTGAACAAGAGGCAAAGTCAATTAGACTTATTTTTGCAAAAGAAGTCGATTTACATAAGAAATTGCACTCAGTTGTTGAAATTAAGATCTAAACTCTAAACTACTTTTGATTTAGTTTGGTAGACCAATATTTGGCTAAAATTCAGGTGACACATGACTGTTTTGATCATATAATTATCGGTAGTTACATCCTTATTGTGCAAAAAGAGATTTCAAATTAGGCCCCTATTTTGGAAATGATTGTAATTCTGTAAAATCTCAATGTTACACACCGTTTCAGAGCTGACATATTATTGATGAACAGAATAATGAGGTTTGCACCAACAGTGAGGATGCAGCAGATATGGCCGTTAGTTTTTCTAATAAGTAGGAGGAAAAGTGAATCAACCGACATTTCTGCAGTAATAACAGTTCAGCTAAAGTGGGGAATACGTCTTAGTTACGATTAAAATAATGCTCTTGCATTGAATGTCTACCAAGAGGATATATTAGCTAAGAAAAAACCTAATGACTGCACTTAGAATTAATTCCTTTTTGGTGGTGTTGATTATCTAGTTTGTGGGATGAATAAAGTATGTTTGAACTCCGAAGAATTATTTAGAAAATAGGACGTAGTGAAAACTAAAATCCCAATCCAGATCCAGACATCTTAAATGAAATTAGCCGCTTCAAATGAAACATCCTGTTCTGCTGTTATTGAACTGAATAATTTCTACTGTGAGTGCATCTAGGTTGATATTTATTCCATAGGTTTTATATTATCACATTGCATCTTCCAAGAATAATCCCCATGGGGCCATCTTTAACCCCACTCCGATAGTTTTGTTCCTTCCTGACTCAGTTTCATTAAAGGACTACTCTTGGAACACCAAGAAATTTGGCACCTGCTGTTTAAGATTTTCAACGTAAATTTTCATGCACAACACCTTCCGTTATTTCACACTCCTGTTCATTTTGAGTCTGTCTCACTGTGATACTCCCTTATCCGTTCTTCAAAAAATCTACAGCTCCTACCCTTCGAACTTTCTGGATTTTTTTTGTTGACTCATCACTTAACTAATCAAGAAATTCAGCCAGAGGAAATGAGGAAAAACCTTTAATTCAAAACTATATTAAAATCATTCATGAGAAAAGTGGTCTGTTTAGCTGTACTGTCCATCATTCTATTTAGGTATTCTCATTGTCCAAGACAGCAGATTCATCAATGCTGTTTTTTCTGCTCACAATAACTTATTCATCCTCGGATTCCTGGGGGTGCGGGGGGGGGGGGGGGGGGGAAGAAACTGCCAATAACGTTTTTCAGACCTGTACAAATGGCAATACCTGTTTTTCTTTCTAGTGTCCCCTATAGCTCAGGATATTATTTATTCTCACAAGTCTTTTTTGTCCTCAGTGAAATAAGTAAAAGTATGAGAAGATTTCTTTCTAGGAAGAAAAAATGATGGCTCATCAGCATAGAATCTGACGCTCTGCTCAAGATGTGGGTGTTCTTAAAAGTATATGTGGATGAATCTGAATTCTTCCTTCATTTGCCTCAGATCAAAAACCTGAACTCATGTCTCATTTTCAAATCCTTGGTCAAAGAAATTTTCTACAGCGTTAAAAATGGAGGAATCTTATTGGAAAATTGGATGTTTCCCATATTATTTTTTTTTAAATTTTAATTTTTTTTTTTTTTTTGTGAATCATGAAGTTTATTTCTCATTTGGACACTGCTGATATAGGAGCATTTTCCCCCCGTAAAGTACTTAAATCAACCATTGTTGGTTTAGCAGTGTTGGTTTTTTTACTTTTTTTTTCAGTGGAAACAATGGCAATGGTCGGGTAAAACACTGCTTGGAAGCAACCACTTAAATGTTTCATGATGCTCAAGGACAGGGGAGACTTCAAGAATGTGATGAAGGAGTTGGTGCCAAATTAGTCGGAATGGTAAGCTTGTTGATGCCCACAATAATCAGAAGCAAATTTTTGTTTGGCAGCTGTCGATCCAGAAATGTTGAGTCCAATTTTTACTTATTGTTTTCAATGTTACAGTCAGCACTTGAGTCAACCTCGTTTCCATAAAGCACTGTACTTGAAGCAGACAAAACTGGATCTTTAGAACTCTCTCGTAAACCAGAAAAAAGTTTTAGTGCCACCTTATGTGTTTATTTTATCATTAAAAATCCATGCGAAATACATTAAGCCAGCTGAAAATGTCCAAAATCAACCTGTTCTTTTGATTTTTTTAGTGAGAAACAAGAGTTCATAATTTCCATTCACCAGTAAATTCAAATTTTATTTTTTTTTTTTTTTGGTTGAAAAATCAAAATGTAGGTGAACACACTACAGAAAACGAAATTATGTGTTAAGCATAGCTAGAGCTTCGTTTCTCAGAAAGTTCCCTTCTTGATACTTGGCTTTTATCAAGGTGCGAAGTGATACTCAGCACTCCGAGCAAATTCTTTAATCGCAAAGCTAACTTAAAAAAGTTCATTACCCAATTTGACACTAGAAGTCTTTGTTTTTTGGCAAGTAGGCTGTTAAAAGTGACATGTGCAAAATACACCAATTTCCTGCTCGTGAGTTGAATATTAAGCTTGTCAATGCATCCATTCTGTTCTACTTGAAATTTTAACACAAATACTCATATTGAGTCACTTCATTTTTCCCCTACCTTTTTTTCCACTTCTGGTCCATGCCTATCCTTTTTATCAAGCTGGAATCATACACTGAATCTAAGAGCTGAATGTGGAAGTCATCAATCCTATGCCTAAAATTTTGTGAGTGTTGCGCAAAATTCAGCGACAAGGCTCAGCCACTATCAGATAATGTCGGATTTTCCTGAATTACTTGAATAGATGTGATACCAATATGGATGAAAATAACTCGAATTAGCAAAATTTCAGCTGTTGAGCGATGACTATTGACTTCCATATTCAACTGTTAAAGTCAGCGAGTGATCCCGGCATCAGAAAAGATATCCATAGCAACTGATCACCATGATTAATTGTAGGAAACACTCTTCAGAGACCAGACTGATTGTGAGTTGTCATGAGCTCTGGCGTTGATTTTAGAGAAAACCAGGGGCATCTCATCTGGCTAATTTTTTTAAAGATAAATGGTTAAGTTAAAAATCCTTCTTTGATGCAAGAGATCCATTTGTCTCTTTTCGCTCATTTTTACCGCATAATTTTCTTTACCAAAATATGACTAATTTTTTGCTATACGTCCCTTAAAAATGTTACTGATCCCAGGGCAGGAAAAAGACAAGATATCCTTGAAATGTCATGCCGAATATTCTTTCTCATAATTGGTGAATATCAAAAGAAGCATTCGCTTAGAAGTATCAGGAAGTAGGCTCAACACGAGAAAGTAATGTTGACAGTCATCAACAAAAACCGTTCGATAATATTCTGTTATTTTATAATATCCTGCCATGCTCAAACAAAACCGAACTTCTCAGTCAAAACTAAACAGATGTGCGAGTTTAAATGTGTCGTAGGGCATGTAATTTTCTGTATTTCTGTGATGAGTTTCTGTCAGTGACAAGGAATTTTATTTAAAATTATTGGAGGCTCAAAGACTTTTAAATGATGCAAAAAAAAAAAAGGTTTCAACCCAACTTCTTGTTGACAAACAAAAATTTGCTCACCGAATTTCGTCTAGTGGCATGAATTTCTGACTAAAAACTTCTGATTTTTCCCTTGTTTTCTGGCATCTGGTAGCAGAATTGAAAAGAAGCGAAACAAAATCAGAGAGCTGACAATGATATTTCTTATTGGGTGGTATGAAGTGAAGCAAAAAATATCGGGAAGTTGATTAGCTAACAGAAAGTGTCCCAATCTTTCCATTAAGAATCATCTAAAACAATATTCATGATCGCTCCTCCTGCAGTCAGTAGATTTTTTTGAAAAGTACTCAAGTTAAACGACTGGCTCCAAAAGCAGCTCATAATATATTTCTCTCTATTTATTATTAACACACAGTTTTTGCAAATTTCAACCTACATATAGTTCTTGAAAGTAAGCAATTCATGCTGCGACTAATTTTATTTCATCAGGTGTGAAGATTCAGTAGGGTTTAAAAAGTCATGGAAAATCAACTATTTTTCTTAATGGGTTTTCTCTTGTTTTTGAAGTCCTTGAAAAATTTTGACTGTAAGAAGAGACCGTATGAAAGTTTCAAGGATGAGCATTCTGATGAACAGAAAAATTTTCCATGTCATCCAAGAACGCCTAATTTTGAGGAAATTCTTAAAAAAAAAAAAAAAAAAAAAAAAAAAAAAAATGGAAAAATCAACCTAGGTGCACTGCAGTGTTAAGTTGAACTGAACCTAATGAAAAAGTGCTGTAAAATGTGAGAATATGAATTCGTGGTACGTACGTTATTTCTAAACTGAGCCAGAAGTTTTGGTTCATAATTGCAAAATTTAGTCCGATTATAAATATTTGGATGTGAAATTTGTGGATACCTGACAACATCGGTGGCAATAGATGGCATTAAGTTGTAACTTAATACATCGATATTGCATTGTAATTATGGCAGAATCAAACTCCAAAAAGATTATTTTATCAAAGCAGCACTCTTTGTACTGATATTTCTAAACTGACATCACGCTGGTTTGGTTTTAATGTTATTGGTTGATTTTTGAGCCAAAAAGCTTGTAAAAACCCTTTTTAGTGATGGTACAAGTAGTTTTTAATTTTGAATTTTCTGGCACCGAGGTTACCGCTTTTCATCAATGAAAACTTACAGATTTTTCTCAGCACAATGTTAAATTTGTCGATGAGGAAGAAACCTGTGAAAACTAGGAGTTGAATATCCTGTTTCTCATTCAACAGCGTCATCACTGGGAGCAGCGATCACACTCCCTGTTTGTGGATTCATCATCGATACAATCGACTGGGAAGCAGTGTTCTATGTCACTGGCCTCCTCGGATTGGTCTGGTCTGCCTTCTGGTTCGGACTTGTTTATGATACTCCTGCTGTCCATCCGCGCATTAGCCCTGCAGAACGACAATACATCGAGGAGTCCATCGGTCAGACGACGGTCTCTTCGGAAAAGGTAACATCATCAAACAAAACTCTCCTCCAGTTTTGAATGCTGTCTTAATGCATTTACTAATTAAAATTCTTCAGACACTGCCAAATCTTAAGGAACAGGCATCCAGGAAAAGACCATACTGATTTGTTCCAAGTTCTCTGCGTGGTGGAACTAATGTGCGATATATCGTAAAAAATGAAATCGAAACGTGAAATTTTGAGTCAACTTGAGGTGGTCAAAACTGGCGTGTGATGTATCGCATCGATTGAGTATAATTCTTAGCAGATTTTGACTTTTTAGGCAAGAAAAGAACAATAGCCCCTGCGCATGAGTCTAAAAAAATATCCTCAACAAAAAAATTGCAAAACTTGTAAAAATGAAGGCAGATTATTTTTACGGAGAATTCTATACAGAGGTCGAGTGCTGTATCCAATGTAGTATTTTTTTTTTTTTAGACAAATCCTGATTTCATTTTGCTGAGTTTTGCAATTTTTTTGCTCAGACTGATGAGCAGAGGCTATTTTCCTGTTTTTGGCTAAAAAGTCAAAATCTCCCAAGACTTTTTCTCAATCGAGATGCGATATATCACTTGCCAGTTTGATCACCCCAAGAACCTGGGACGAATCTCCTCAAAATTTCATGCATGACAAGTCGAACACATCAGAAATTTCCAAAATATATTCTTAATTAAAAACAAACTTAAAAACAAACGAAAACGTTATCCAACGTACCAACTATTCCAAGAAATAAACGTATTAACAATGAAATCTTTGGAGATTTGAATTGATAAAATATGCCTTCTAAATTAATAAAAGTAAATCAGAAGTTTCCAAGTACAACACCCGAAGAGAGGAGCAACTGCTTATGGAAAATAAAAAATTCAACCTTGAAATAACTCACAGTAGCCACACAAGCGGTATAACAGAGGAATATAATAAACTCTCGTTGGAATATAAACAACTCATAGCAAATAACTTAGTTTCTCTCCCTGCCATCACAGAAAAATTCAAAATTATTCCCTAAGTAAGTCAAAAATCAGCATAAACAACAAAAGGAGGAAGGCTAAATGGGGGTCGGGAAGTAGATAAAGTGGTAAATTTCTTCTTTCTTTCTTTCTCTTTCTTTTCCTCTTTTTTTTTCTTTTTCCGCCCTTCTTTCATTCTCAAATGATTATTTAACATTGTGTTTATCAATTAATAGACCCCACCCAACATAAGGTCCAACCTTAGTGGGTGGTTATATTATGTTACCTTTCTTTTTTCTTAGTTCACAACCTATTTTAAGAATCTTAAAATAATTTTGTTAAATTATAAAAGAAAGGAGCACAATTAAGTTTTATTATACATATCAAGTACTTTTCACACAAAAATACGTTTGTGGAAATAAACTCATTGAAAGACGGACCGTAGCCAAGTCTTTCAAAGCTAGAGCCTTTTTAAATTGCTAAAATTTGAGGGTTCATAAACATTTTTTAAAGAATGTGTTTATTAAAAAAGTGTGTGTGACTCGTGTGTGCTTAAAAAAGTTTTATTATTATTATTATTATTTTTTTTTTTTTTTTTTTTTTTTTTTTTTTTTTTTTTTTTTTAACTTGGAAGAGAGAACACTTCCGGTACAAGTATTACTGATGGGCCACAGGCCAAAGTCAGCAACACATACTATCTTGCTTGAATAAAAAGTGAATGTTATTTTATAGTAAAATTAAATAATTTAAAAAAAAATTAAATTTTAAGTAAAATCAAAAAATTACTCGATATTCAGAAACGACCTGACAATACTTGACGTGCTTATGACGACGGACTTCTGCATTGAATGAAGCAGGTAACTATCTATTCCAAGGTCTCGAAGATGTTGAACTAAACTTTTTGGAACTATCCCCGTTACTGACATTATAAGGGGCTTGATGCAAACAATGTTCAGGTTCCATAATCGCTTCATTTCTGCAGCTAAAGGCAGATATTTTACCATCTTTTCTTGATTTTTCAGCTCCAAGTTATGATTATTAGGGATACTAATATCTATGATGTAAGCGGTGCGATCTCGCTTATCAACAAGCATTATGTCCGGCCTGTTTGCCATGATGGTTTTATCGGTTAAGATCGGGTTATCCCAATAGAGCCGGAAGCGCTGATTCTCCAGGACTGTGGCTTGGCAATATTTGTAGTAGGGTTCAGCAGTATCACATAGTTCTCGATCCTTGGCCAGCGCTAGATGTATAATTTTAGCCATGTTGTTATGCTGCTTGGTATATTCCTTCCCCGCAAGCAATGTGCAACCAGATGTGATGTGATCTATTGTCTCGGATGCAGCGTTACACTTCCTACACTTATCGCTCTCGATCTTCTCCTTCAGTGTATACCTCTTGTAATTCCTGGTACTGATCACTTGGTCTTGTATTGCGAGAACAAATCCTTCTGTTTCTGGATACAGCTGCCCTTTCGATAACCACAAGAAAGACTTTCCTTCACTAACATGACCCTGCGCAACTGAATGATAAAAGCGTCCATGCAGCGGCTTGGAGGCCCATGCTTCTAACTGGCCAGCAACTGGGTCTGAGGGTTATTCTTCATTCAGATCGTGACAAGCAAGGCGCAAAGGCGTGAAGGATTTGTCTATGGCATTTACTGCAGCGTGCAAAGGGCTGTCGTTTCTACTGAGGAAGTAATTTCGCAGGTTACGGACTTGGCTGTGGCAGACCTCCTTCACATCAAGGATACCCCTTCCTTCTGTTTGCGGGGGATGTGTATTCTCTCCTTCGCGGCTCTTGGGTGATGCTTATTCCACTTGGTCATCAAGGTTCTGACTTTCCTATTAAGCCCCTCCAGCTCCGTGTCAGACGACGGGACAACGCCAAGTGAGTAGGCTAACGCAGGAATGGCAAAGGTGTTGATTGCCTCGGTCGTATGTTTCGAGTTTAGAGAGGTCTTAAAATAATTATTATTATTATTATTATTATTACTGAGAGATAAACACTAATCATTTTCATTAAAATGAGTGATTTGAAACTTCGTGCTTGGGCAAAAAGACAAAAGTCAAGCAGGTATAGCTGTAAACATATCATCTGACAAGTTACTAGAATTTATTCTCAAAACGTTCTCCTCATACTTTAGCATATGGGGCTGAGAAACGTTTAACAAAACATTCAGCATTTTGAGAAAATTATTTTATCAGAAAACTCACAAAAATTAGTTTGTCCAATCTGATTCCTATAGATAAAATGTGGTTTTATTGGCAAACAGGGAGTTTAATTTTCCTTTGTTGAATGCCATGTAACATTTTTCATGTATGAGTTGAATTTAGACTTTTTCAATTTGTTATTTTATTACGTTCAACGAGAAATTTCAATGTGCAAGTATATACTGCAGCATTTGACTTCCAACACCATCTAGCAGTCTACTGACAAAATGACTACCATTTCTTAACTGCCCACCACCTTTTATCTATTTCGATGATGAACTGAACTAACATTTTAGTTATTTGTATTGACTCAAGCAAATATGCAGGAAAGAAATCATGAGACGATGCTCTAACTCTGTCCTATTATTTCAGGCATTGAAAGTACCTTGGTTTCAAATGCTGACATCCCGCCATGTATGGGCAATAATTTTAGTTCATGGAGCGAGTGTGTATGGTTTCTTCACCATCACCAACCAGCTTCCAACGTACATGAAGAATATACTCAACGTTAACATCAAGGAGGTGTGTACCGCCAGAAAAGATTTTTATTCTTTTGAGACCCAAACATCATCTGTGAGAAATTACGTCAACATTCAACACAATGAATATTCTAAACCTAAGCTGCTTGTAAATTGAGCTTATGAGCTTTTATTATAGGAAAACATAGCTTTATTGTTCACTAGGAGCCATCAGAAATATTGTGCATGGTAGTGGTCTGCTTGGTGAAGAATATTTTGTTTTGTTAAGTGCATAAACTTATTTGGCACTAATTTTACCCACAAACAGAATCATTGTGTTCAGTTTTCCTGAGATTGTCATGGACTAGATCAGATTTACAGTTAATTTCCTTTTTTCCTGTTTCAGAATGGATTATTATCAAGTCTCCCTTTTCTAGGAAAGTATACCATGGCAATGACTACCAGTACTATCGCAGATTTTTTGAGAAAAAAAAATAAATTAAGTGTTACTGCCATTAGAAAACTTTTCACTGGATTAGGTAAGTTCAGTTTTTGATAATGGACATTCTCTAGTTCTTAATGTTAATTATCTGAGGATTAGATAGATGTATATAAAACGCAATAAACAAAATCTTGTTCTAAGGAAATAACTTCTAAAGTTGTTTGAGCATTTCCTTCATAACTGTTTACGCTTGAAGAAGCTCGACCCCCTAAGATGAACATCAGATAGGACACTTCAAGTTTTGATCCTCATAATATTAAAGAGGGTTACTTTAATAAGGAATGTGGTTTTAGCTAATTAAAAAGTCGCATGATTTTTTAGTTCGTTCATCATCACATCTTGTGTTTTACTGAGAAATCCTCTCATTTACAAAAAATTATGAACACAAAGCTCAAAATGTTGGTTAGTATACAGAGCACAGAAATGAAAAGTGCCAAGTATAAAATGGACTAAATTTTGCAATTAAGAACTACAATCTCTGGCTCATCCATAAAAACACTTGTGTCCATGGGGAAACTAATGGTACATACGTTGTTTTTAAATTAAGCCAGAAATGATATTTTCTAATAGCAAAATGCAGTTCAAATGAACTACAAGACACGGTAAGAAAACAAGCCTTGTAGCCAATGTTTTCTTGTCAAAAATTTATCCTGAAAATGTTGAACGTTTCGAAAAATTCGAAAATAGACGTTATAAATGTCCCTCTTAGGCTACAAAGCGAAAATTTTTGGCTGAAATCAATTTTTGTCTGTACTAATTTTTAAAAAAATTCCCTCTCACTGTGGAGAGATAAATTAAAATGGATTTTCTCCCTGGGATATTTTTGCAACCAGAGCGTCTTTTCTGAGAAATGAGAGTGCTTGAAATCAAGTTCTGCTCTCTGTTTTGGCAAGGTAACAAGCAGTTTTTCGACTCTTGTTAGTACATGACTAATTTGGAAGGCGAGAAAAATCTCAGCGAATCATCAATCAGTTTTAATCCAAGATTGTAAAAAGTGACTAGGTCGAGGTAAAAAATGTTTTTATTACTTGTGGTAGCTTTAAGCGGTTAAAAACCTTACTTCTATATGAAAAAAGCATCTCTATGATTCTCTCTAGCATTCTATATGAAATTGGGCGTTTTCAGCTTCCTTTAGGAGTATTACTCACTTAGTAAGGTAACATGGAGATGTCAAATGGGGATTCTTGCATGAGGCCATAATACTTGAGTCACCCAGCGAAATCAAACTCCAGATTCAAACCTTGGAGCTCCTAATCTTAGGGCCAAAGCCATAACCATTACACTCTGGGAGGTCAACACACTTTTATTCTTCTTCCTTTGTTTTATTTCTCTCCTGTCTCACTTTCTTTACAGTTTGTATAGCATGTGTTAATCGGATTTGAGATACCTTCATCTTTAATCTACGATTTCCAAGAGAGATCTTTCCAGTACGGACGACTAACATGTACCTCTGGACACAACTGTTGCGTTTTTTGCTGAAAGTCCAAATGGAAATGGGTTTTCCAGAAAATCTGTTGGATTTATTAATGTTCTTTTCCATTAGGTGTTAATTTACATGAAGCATTATTAGCTAGCGGACCAACTTTGGTGTCAGATATCAATGTCTTTTATCTGTGACTCGTACAAATGATTATTTTTTGTCGCCAGCTGTGTTTCTACCAGGAGTTCTGATGATAGTCCAAGTCTACTTGGGTCAAGACCGAACTGCTGCCGTGACTATATTCACCCTTTCGCTCACTTTGAATGGAGCTGTGACTGCTGGCTACCTTGGAAACGGTCTTGATATCGCACCCAACTTTTCAGGTAGGTCATCAACCGTTCAGGAATTGTTGCCCAGGATCTGGGGACCTTGTATTACCTCACCTGTATTAATCTGTCGTTGCTACCCCAATACAAGTGCATGCAAGCTCTGAGTTCTTTAAATCAAGTTATTTCAAACCTTACTATTTTGAAATTCTCATCATTTTCTTCGTCTCTCTGTCTATTTCCTGAGTTCAATTAAAAAGTTAGAGAAGAAATTCTCACACAAGTTCTAATACTCTTTTTTCATTCATTTACTCCATGTTTAATTTTTCAGGTACAATATTTGGTTTGGCGAATACTATGTCATCCTTTGGCGGATCTCTATCATCATTCATTGTTGGCACACTCACCAATCACAATGTAAGTTTGAAAAAACGAAGCTAATTTTTTTTATAAATGGGCCTCCAGACAGGGCATCAAATCAAAGCAGTAGTCAACATGTCACCTTTTCAAAATTTCACAATAAAAAAGTAACACGCAACGGGAAGTTTTGAAATCAACTCCTAAAAAGATACAAGTGGTACTATTAAGATTGGTCAAATTGCATAAATACCAATAATGTGATTTGTACAATTTAACTTCCATTTGGTCCGTGTTAAAAATAATTGTTAATATCTCGTTCAAGAGTTTATTTCTGAGCGTCTTGTGATGTGAATCATTTTCTTTGTAAGATTTTCAAAAGACAGAATGTGACGCTTTTTTCTAGGTCAGACCTTGTCTGGTGATCCATTGTTAAAGTTTTGATGGATTGCATTTTATTTATTAGCAATGCAATCCATTCTGGATGTGTTCAAGTAAGGTTTCTTCCCATTTTTGTTTTGGAAAATCCTTAATTCTCCAATAATTTTTTTCTTATCTATTTGCTCCAAAATTCTCGATGTTGCGGCAGTAATGACATTTTAAAATCTATTAAATACTCAGTTTTCGTCTCTTACCTAAGATTAGCATTACATATAAGTAGGACTTATGGATGTATTAATCTCCTGATAAACAGGGCCAGTTAAACAGTTTTGCTACCCCTGGATTACCGAAATGGCTACTTTTTTTTCATCTTTTCCCTAAGATGGTGAACAAGAAAGAGAATAAAATAAAAACGAAAGTCATTACTTAAAAAAGAACTGCTGCTTTGCTTCCATAACTTGCTTCTCCCTCAAATTTGCTGTTAGAGGCTACAGCCCTCCTAGCCCCCTCTAAATAGGGACTTGCTAATTATGTGTCAAATGGGAACTATCACTTCAGTCAAAACGTTTTACTTAAATCACATACGTTTTATGCTTAAAATGCCATTCATGCATGCATCAAAATCATTGCAATTAGTGTGAATTTGCTGAATATTTGCGTAATCTTAAGGCAATTGCGCTACTGCAGAAGGCTTTCTTTATGCCAAAATCATGTTTGGACCAGTGCAAGTGGCAATATTCTTAACAATATTTGTCGAAAAATTGAATTTTTTTTTAGTCCCATACTTCGCAAATCAAATAGAAACGCTGTAATAGACTTATGGAAATAGTCATCATCATGATGATCTCGACGCGATCATGCAACGACCTTGTTTATTTTACCCTATCGAAGTGATCATTTTGCACGAAAATGTTGTGAGTACTTTGTCTGGTGATTTTGAAGACTTATCACGTTTAAACTCAACTGTCTTTTTCAGCAAACGTATGGCCAGTGGCAAATTGTATTTTGGATGTTGGCCGGCACGTATATGGTCGGAGCGCTGATTTTTGTGCTTTTTGGAACAGGGGAGCTGCAGCCATGGAATTCGCCTGATGGAATGACGAAACAGGATAGTAAAGAAGTAATCCCTCTTAAAAAATCTAAATCAGAATCGTGACACTATCATTGAGGTTAAACACCCAAGTCGGAAAATCTACTTAACTTTTTTTTTTAATGTATCAAAGGAACGTCATTACAACGTTTTTTGCTTCAATGTGGCAAGTCTGAGTGGGAAGATAAAGTCTCTTTTTACATTTTTGCAAGAAATCTGTGAACACCAACCAAGAGGATGAAAAAAAGTGTCTAGAAACTAATTTTCTGAATTTTAGTGGCACAAGTTAGTATTGTGTATTATGCTCTGCAAGGGTGGAAAACTTGACTCAGAAATTGCATGTGTCGTAATTGCAAATAAGGCAACTTAAGGGAAGAAACGGAGTATTGGTGATAGTTTTAGAGGAAACTGTGGTAATCATTTGAAAACTTACAGCTAAGTTGATAGACTAACTTCCTTGTTAAGCAGCTTGCGCCTGTGTACCTTGTGTGAAGCCCCGTATGTATGGAAAAAAGCGCACGATAGAGGCAACACGGAGAGGGAAGGGGTACTTGTAAAATTTTTGGAGAAAACTGATGGTCATGACATATAAATAAGGAGAAAATTGTGCATTAAGACTAATTTTCAGATTTTTAGTGATTCAAAACTTGCAAGACGCGCCTAAGGTCCTCGCATGAAATAGCACAAAATAACCCTGTACCATTGTATCTGTCAACCAATCATTCAATATGTTCTTCATATTTTTCAATTCTTTTTCTGTTCTTTACAAAGATGTTACCTTCTTAAGTCAGCTTCCGATTCTACAACTCATGTTAAAATCCCAATGAGTCAATTCAGCTCACTTTTTTCCCTCAATAAGATTTTTCTTGAAAGAAAGTCTGAAAAAGATATACACCCTCTAAATACAAGACTTATTTTTACTGCTGAAGATACTTAATTATGATCAAAGATATGAAAATAATGATTTTGAATCAGGTATGCTGCCAGTGTGCCGATAAAAACCAATTAACTACAAGATGGATAATAGCATAAACCAAAATTAAATGGTCCCTCTTGCTGTTATTCTTTCAAAATTTTATTTAATCGTTAAAATCCTCTTATGGAGGTCTATTCATTAGTTTTTTTTTTATGAAAAAATATTTCTGCAATTTTTTCAATTTTATTTCATCAGTTTTTAAATGGAATAATCAAGTTGTTTATACTCTGTTTCATCCTTTTCACGTGGTTAAATCTTCCATTTACTCCGTTCAATCTGATGTAAAAGCGTAAAAGCTCCTGAATTATAGTTTTTGCAATTCAAATCATCATAGATAATAATTAGAGAATGTTTCAATAATTTGTCAATTCTCATTCAGCAGAGGTGTTTTATCACATCCATTTGCAAAAACCATGGCGAATGTATTTTGATGTTAAGCTCTGTTTAGTAAGAAAACTAGATGAAGGAGATATCAAGGCAGAGCTGAAATATATTGAAAAATATAGGAAAGACAGTCTACAGGTGTAATTATTTAGAAGACTCTAGATTTTTGACATTGTGAAATGCCGAAAAATCCCTCATTTTTCAATGTGAGCAAAACTGGATCAAGGGTCAGAGTCTCCTCTGAGAGACATCTTAAAATGAGATCCTGGACATCCGTCTTTTTCTAATTTCCAAGGCTTTGCAAGATCTCATCTTCCAGGCAATGGGTTGGCCGATGGGTTCTACCTAAAGGCACAAACCTTCAAAAGCACAGAAGTACAAGAGACAACAAAAATCTCGGAAAAATTTATGTACAAAATTATTTAGAAACAAATTTTGGCATGTTATATTTTTATAAATTATACAATTTTGAATAAAATTCATTGTTAACAAAATTATTTTTTTCCAGCTTGCATTTTATCAACTATCTTACCAAAAATGTATGAAAAAATTTGTATATGTAGAAAAATTTCTTTAAAACACTCATTCTAAAGAGTAATCTAAAATCTAAAATTTGCATTTTTCAGTGCAGGTATTTGAAAAACATGGAAGTGTGTATAAACACGGCCAAACTTGCAGTGAACACTACTCGCTCTTGGCGGTAAATATTGCAACTAACGTCTTGAACATTTTTTCATTTTTAAGTATCAGCACCAGGACTTGTAATTCATACCAACTTCATTCAAATAAGTGAGAATTTCCGGGTTACTTCTACCTCCTCAAGAGGGAGCAAACGAGTCAGTTGCGCTGGTCACAGAATCGTGTTTTGATGCTTGATTAATGTAGGTTAGTTGAAAATAATGAGATCAGTCCAAACAGCAACTTTCTAAGTTCAATATTAACCGAGCTATCGCCCTTTGAAAAGTTGGGTTTTTGCAAAGACATTGAATCACGTAGACCGTGCGTTCGGCTCGGTTCAGTACTGGCGGAGCGAGACAAGTCTCTTGGAGCCCCATGATGGGCGGGCGGGGAAGGGGAGAGAGCGTTGTCCCAAGCACTCGAAGAGGCAATGGAGAATTCATGCCCGCGCTCGGTTTTTCACGAATATCTCGTTTAGAGTCCATTTTCAGACAAAATCCCTAAGAAGAAAAGTTATAGAACACATAATTTTACACCCGATTAGCATTGTTTCATTTTTCCAATTTAATTATTAACCGAGGAAAAAAGCCTCACAATCCGACCAAAATTCACTGGAGCTGCCAGGAGCCGCTATTGCGCATGCGCAGATGTGCGCAACTGGGACACACGAACTCATCGATGCGGGTCGATGCCACCACTCATCATTTGCGAATTTTTAAAAGTTGCTCCGCCTTCCGTAACACAGGATGCACGGTCTACGTGATTCAATGTCTTTTGGACAAAGTCTGTTTGAAAAGATGGCATAATAATCGTATCTCAAAAGGTTTCCTTCACTCAATAAATAGGAAATTTGAAAGCAAACCTTAAAATAATTAAAGTTTACAAAGGTTGAAATTTTCACATGTAATGCTTATGTACGAGACGCGGCTAAAATGGAGATTAAGGTTAGCTATACTTGGGCTCCCACCCCCCTCCTGCCTTCAAAAACCGTTCCATACGCGTTACGTAGGTTTGTTATCTGGCGGCCATTCTAGAGGTGTAGTTCGTTGCGGTAGTGACACCCTTGGTCTCGAATTTGACTTTGAGTAACCAGTGCAAATGTGCGTCACACTGACTGATGAAAGCGAGGTGGAAGGAACCAGAGGTGTTACTACCGCGGTGGATGACGTCAAAAACTTTATTTTTCAAAGGACAATATCTCGGTTAATGTTGAACGTAGAAAGTTGCAGTTTGGACTTATCCTATTATAACTAACTAATCTACAAGAATCAAGCATCAAAATACGATTCTGTGACCAGCGCAACTGACCCATTACTCTTAATGAACTGTCAACTAAAAGTGGGTGACAATGATGTGACATTAATTTTATGTCACTGGCAATGATCCTTGTCCTCTTGCTCTATCCTTAAATTGACCAGTGTTCAAAATTATAACAGCCGAACCATTTTCTCCATCTTGTAGTGTGTTTTTTTAGCCGACAAAGCAAAAGAGCCCAAGAGGTGGAAATTGAGTCTCTTAAATTACTGAAAAATATGGGTCAGTTGCGCCGGTCACGGAATCACTTTTGACGGTTTACACCAAAGAGAAAATAAAAGCCCGTACTAAGCACAAGGAGAGCATGAGCACTCGTTTTCCCAGTGCTTTTTATTAGCCACTTTAAGCATTCAATGGAAACTTTTTCATTTCCTATAGAAAATAACATGGGAAATGGAAAGGACATATATATATTTTTATTTGAGTTGATTTATATACAGTAAGAATATGTCTACAAATGGCTTCACAAGGATCTCGTGTTTCTATTGATGTGATTTGTTCCACTTATTCAAAACTCTACCAAAGATCTTGATTTTTAAAACTTCAATTTCCCTCCTCTCAGGTGGACGTTTTTATTTTTTAGCAGAAAACCAAACTACTTAAAGCCTTTTGACTTTTGGTGAATTTACACTATAAAATGAAAAATGAAGAATATACTTAGAAAATTTCAAGTTTTAGTGTTGCTTCGTACTCTGTTTAAAAAATAAGACATCCAAGTGAATCAAGCAACTTGTGATTTGGTCAAATTCGCCCAATTAACGAGTACACATCATGTGTGTGCCAACAGAGCAATTCAACAAGTTTGCACCCAGAGCACGACAAATAGGAGCTCTAGATTGCTATTTCTGCAAACTTCAAACAGTTATAACTCAGTTTGATTCGATATTTTAGAGTTTTTTTTCTTATTACATTTATTGTTAAATACTCCGTTGCGCAATGGTGCGATTATCTCAATTTTGAGTTTTTGACACTAACGTCTCTACTACTTCTTTGTTTTCTTTATCGGGAACTATGGTCACTTACTTTTCTTCCTTTTCCGCCCGATGCAAATTCGGTTGTCACTATTTACACATTTATACTATGGCCATTTTGGCTTCGGCAGTAGCCATCATCAGGTAATCTTTAAAAAACGAACAATGAAAACAAAAACAAAAAACCGAAGCTAAAAATTCCGCGTATTTATCGCCGGCGACGCGTCGCGATACTAGTCAGAGCGATATCTTGCTGGTGATCAGCTGACCGTGTTGCGTCACGTAGGAGGGCGGGGGGGGGGACGATCACTGGTGTCACCCAATTTGTGAATTGGGTGAATTTGTGTCCTGAAAACAGGAAGGAGTGTGGCAACAAGGCTGAAAGAACACGTTGACTGTACCATACTAAAAAGGAGAGGTCATTCATCATTTGGGGACCATATAATCGACACTGACCATAAACTGGAAAATTTATGTGCGAAACTAGAAAAAGTATGTCAGAAAGGCCGGAAATTAGATGTATTAGAACAAATCGAAATAATGAAAACACCAAGGAACAGCTACTTCATTCACAAATTGAGCAACAGGTGGCACCAGTGATCGTCCCCCCCCGCCCTCCTACGTGACGCAACACGGTCAGCTGATCACCAGCAAGATATCGCACTGACTAGTATCGCAACGCGTCGCCGGCGATAAATACGCGGAATTTTTAGCTTCGGTTTTTTGTTTTTGTTTTCATTGTTCGTTTTTTAAAAATTACCTGATGATGGCTTCTGCTGAAGCCGAAATGGCCATAGTATAAATGTGTAAATAGTGACAACCGAAAAAGGAAGAAAAGTAACTGACTAACGTCTCTGCTCAAGGACGGTAAAGAACAAATTAAAAATCAATGCTATGCTTAAGAGACAGACAGAAAGTATTTTATTTTGAAATCCTTACAAACTCATGAAAAACGAACAAGATTCAACTTCCGGCATAGGGATGAAATCGAATTCGAGTCCTTTTCTTATATAAAACTTATATGTACACCAAGTCCGGTGATCTCTCAATGCGGACGATAATTGCTGACATTAAGGAGCTCAATTTGTCAGTATGAAAGTATAAGAACATTGCTGTGCAAGTATGTTACAACAATCCCTGCCTCTTGAGATCTTCGTACGTTTTCCTGTTGACAACGTTTCCTTGCGAGTCTTCGTACTCCTCCTCCTGTTCAGGTTGCCATCGTTCTTTTTTCTTCTGAACCTTTAGTTTTTCCCACACTGAAAGCAGAAAACACAAGGGTAAAGATCCTCATTTATTAGGCCCCAGCTACAGATACAGCCAAGACAAGAAATGCACCTGCAGCCTTACTCAAGACTGAAAACACCTACTCACCTGTCTCAACACGGACACAACTTGCACTCTACAAGATTCAGTTTTAGACGATGACAAGGACACAATATCTAACAAAAAAAAAGGTGACTCTTAGACACAATCAATCAAAAACTGGTCGACTGGCAGACGATATGACTAGTCGATCAACAGACAATTTGGCTTGTCAATCAGAAAAAATTCTTGCTGTCAATAAAGGGACAATTTGACATTTTGATTGCAAGAAAACTTAATTGGTTAGTTGATCGGTAGTTTGGTCTGTTCTAAGAAGTCAATAAATAGACGATTTTGAAGATCAAACAACAAATGGTTGACGATTCCATTCATAGACGATTCAACTTGTGGATTGGCAGAAAATCAAATTGATAGATCAGCTTGTGGATTGACAGATGATTTGACCGGTTGTATGATTTCCATAATTTCTTCTTTTTCCGATCCCCTGACTCCAAAATTTCCGAATTCTCTCGCTTTACTTGACCTTCTATCAAAACCTCCAATTAATTTTTTTTCTTTTTTTCATTACCCTGACGTTTGCTAAACTATAGACACAAGCTCCATTTTTTTCTAGATTCAAATGAAGGAAAAAGACACTCCAAAGTTGCTAACGTTTTCCCACATGGCCCCCGCTTAAGTTGCTCACCTCTCGCACTAATCGTAAATTCCCTGATTTTTCCTAGAGTCCCTTTATACTGAGAGTCAAGACGATGTGAATCCATTTCTGATTGGTTCCCGTATTTTAGATCTTTGCAGTGTCACAAACGGGAATAAAGATTACATTTTCACCGATTGCAAAGATTATAATCTGGAATTGACAAAGGAATTACGGGTTCGGCAAGGAACAAACAGAATGAGAGAGGGAACGGAGAAAGGAATTTGAGAATGGGCCGATCAAAGATTACGAAGAACGTTCAATTTGTGTAATCTTTATTCCCGTTTGTGACTCCATGAGGGGGTGTTGTCGTGACTCTCAGTATAAAGGGACTCTAATTTTTTTCAATAATCTCCTGCCTTTCCAAGTTTTCCAGATCGCTGGAAACCCACAAGTTGAGTTCAGTTACTGAAAAGGTAACAAAACCAAAGAGTTTAAAAGAAAGGAAAAACTTATGAGAGGGAATCAATAAAATTTACCACAAAAAATATAAGTACAAGTACTTACAAGCTAAAGCATCCTCAATTTGGGTCACATTTGCGAAGTGAGCAGTGTTCGGCACACCTAAGCAGCGCATCCCATGAGCGTGTCTCCACTCCTGAATAGGCAACAATCAAGAGAGCTATTGATTTATGAAAATATGGAATCAAGTCTACTTTGTGTTGGAAAATGTGAGAGCAGACAAAAGTGACACAAGTCATTTTTAAGAGGAAGCTAGGGTGCCTATTATCTGATAATGTCAGTTGACTCAAGTAATTTGTAAAGACCTCTCGTTTTTTCTAGAACTCTTTTTTCAAAAATTTTCAATCAAATGCAGTTACTCTAATCGTCTTCCTCTTGAACAATTGTCGTTTTAAGCTTGTGAATTAGCTTTTTCATGGAAAGAAAAGACTGCAAACAATAGCATGGAATGAAATCAATCAAGAAGGCTGCTTTTAGAAAAAATGAGATGGTGTGTCTTCAAGCTACACAATTTAATTGACCACAAGACAAGATACAAATACATAACTGATACTTGTTTCTGTCTCAAAATTTGACATAGAGCACAATTAACACAATGAAAACAGTTGATATTAAACCTAAACCAAGATAATAACGTTCTTATTTAGCACTGGTTTCGAAAAGTTTGAATGTTCAGCTTGCAAGAAAAACAGAAGTCTCCTTAAATCAGAACACCCACTATAACTGTTTTGGCAGGCCCCTCAATCAAGTAATGATCCATCTTTGCCTTGTGTTATTTAAGGTGTGGACAACACGCTATAGCTAAGCCCAAGCCCTAGATTCAGGTTGTCATATTTTCATATTGTAACGACTCTTACGATAACGTTTAGTGTGTGTTACTCAAGTAGATTGTTTCTTCTTTGCGTGGGAAGTTTGAATTTATGCATCAAAACCCGTTAATTCTTTGATTAAAAGTTATTTTCAGTAATTTTCGTTGTTCACATCGTGATCTAAGTGAAATTTTGATGAAAAAGCATTTGAGGAGCTTGGAGACAAGGTGCACAAGTACAGTTTTTTAAAAAATTGAGATACTCATGAACTTAACTAAAACCAGGTTGAAAGGATATTCTGTAATTTCACAACTAAAATCCAACTTTAAAGCATCAAAAAGTGAGTTTAGACCTCCTTTCTGCCCTAAGGTTTTATGTAATTTTGAAACTTAACCCCTGATGGCATAACAAGTATTTTTGGGGGTTTTAAAAATTGAATCTTTCCTCTATGGCATCATTCTACAAGTTTCCATTACTTTTTTTTTTTCTTTTCTTTTCTTTTTTTTTTGAATAACTGATTCCTAAAAATTTAAAATTATGATAAAAAATTTGGCTCTATATTTTTTATGCAAGCTACAAAATAGATAAGTGTCCCCCAGAATCTGAGATCCAAAATTAATTCATGCCATAGTGGGTTAAACACACATTTCTTGAGATATCAAAAACTGTACTTAAGCACCTTGTCCTCCAAGCCCCTCACATATCAGGATGCTTAGATTTGCACCTTGTCTTAATTTGACAAAAGTTTCTTTCAAAAACTTAATTTTATTAATTTATTTGATAGTTTTTGTATATTTAGCCCATTGGTTGGACAACCAGACATGACAGTGGCTGAGAATTTTTGGGTTGAGTCTTGGAGCATTTTTCCCCTCTTTTTTCAATTAAACTTCATTCTACACATCCTCCGGTGTTCATAAAAAAAAAAAAAATTAGATTGGTTTTTTCATCTGCTCTGGATTTGCTTCATATACAGGCTGCATACATATATTTATCAGTAGGTACTCCGAAATCTTCATGAGGAATACAGAGTCCATCAATTTAAAAAAAATTCCCTCTTGTTGATTAGGTCCTGTTTTGAACAGTTAGATGAAAGGGCAAAAGAGATGTATACTTCTTACTTACCGCAAAATGTCTTTGGAATGCCTTTGGGCCTTTGTATGTGAAATTACCACAAATTTCACAATTATAGCTGATGTTAAGTCCATGAAGTTTGTACAACCAATAGGGTATTGGCTGAAAAAAGGAAACAAGCGATTACTTAATGAGGCTAAAAAATCTGACAAAAACAAATGTTTCACTTTTATCATGGTAAGTTCACTGGCTACTTCATTCTATTTTGAATCAAGTAATTCGGCAAAAGTACAAATTTTCCTCAAAGCTCAATTTTTACATTCATACCTTGCTACCATCAACCAGCAGATACAGAATTGCTGTTGATATTTGATCCGATGAAGCATCTTGAAATGACTGTTTTAGGTGTAGAAGAGACAAGAGGTGACATTGCTGATATTTCTTAAAATGAGAGCACTTATAAAATTATAACTCTGATGCATTTCAATGAGATTTTTATTAATAAGTCGCTCTTCTGAGAAATTTACTGATAATAGATAGGTTTGAAGTTTAGTATGCACTGTAAAACCAATGATTACAGTTTTGTGCAGACACTAAAAAACTGTGATATTTTCAAGCAGAATAGAATGCTTAAAAAACATTTTGGATAAGTACTTTGATAAGAACTATAAGATGCCACTCTTCATTTCTAATATTTTACGTTATTTTAATCATTATGTGTTTCTCTTTCATTTCTGTCTGCTTTAAAACTCTTTTTTTGCTTCAAAAAGGATAAAATCATTCATAAAAGCCTAAAACAATACAATACAGGGTGTCCGGAAGTTGACGTTCTTAACTTTCAGGATTGATCTTTCGGCTAAAAATACATAAGACTTTTTTGTCTATACACATATGCCTAAAAACGTTTCATAAGTGAGCTATGCGCTCCCAAAGTTGCAATTTTTCTTCTTTCAAATTGAAGTAACTCCTCAGTATTTAGTCATAAGTGGCTGAAACTTTGTGCAGCATGGAAATTTTTAGCGTGCTCTTCATTTTTCGTGTTTTTACAATTTTTACTGCAAAAAATTGCCTACGGAGCAAGGGGCTTCAAAAATCTAAAGCTTTTTCAAAGCTATGTTGCGTTGAAATGACGCGTTTCTGGAAAACTTTGTGCCTGGTCGCCTTGATTTTTGGCGCTCTTTCACGCGCTGTAATCCGTTTTTATTTATTTATTTATTTATTATACAAAACGGGCAAGTTGCCCAATTACAAAAGTAATTAACAAAAAAGAGCAAAACAGCTGAACAAATGATAGACTCTACTGACAAATAAAACAAAACAAACAAAAGTACAATACAATGAATATAACTAATAGGGAACATAGTATTTCAAAACGTAGTCCTTGACCCTAGACTTAAACAGGTTCGTCTCCAGACTTGCATCAGCTAGCCCAGGCGACAGTAGGTTCCACCGCCTCTTTACTCTGACAACCACCGAGTGGAAACGGTAAGAAGTCCTAGCGGGGTTGTCAAATAAAGGATGGGCAACTCTCAGGGAGTAGTTGACTTCCCTCACCTGAAACAGCTGAGACAGATCTGGAGCCGAAATATGACCTCCAAGGACTCTGAACGCCAAAGCGAGGTCATAGGTATGATGCCTAGACTCCAACGTTGGAACGTTCAAAGCCCCAGAGATCTTACTATAGTCGTGGTCATATATGGACATGGGTCTATTTAACTTAAATGACAAAAAACGAAGCACATGGTGCTGGACGGATTCGATTTTATCCCACCCTTGGCGTGTATGAGGAGACCATATTGGAGATGCATACGTTAGAATTGGCATAACAATGGATTTATACAGGTAGAGGATTGTACCAACTCTAAAATGCGCAGAAATTTCCAAAAATCATCTACTTAAAAAGTTATCGCAATTTTAAAATTCAGGAACGCTTGTACCGTTATTTTCCGAAGGCGTACGTATTTGAAAACACGAAAAATGAACAGCACGCTATACCTCCCAGCACAAAGTTTCAGCAAACCAACTTTTCATTGCATTTTAAAGAAGGTTAAAGGATACGATAGGCTCTTATGAGAGTAGATACTATGCTTTCTTACTTTTCCATCCCAACCAAGCGGGAGATTTTTAGGGTTGTAAGGGATATCTTCATCGTCTTCTTCATCTTCATTATCAGAGGCGCTTGCCTCCAAATCTGAATCATCTCTTTCACCCTCCGTTCGGGCTTGTTTCCTCTGGACGTTTTCTTTCGTTGCAACCCTTTGCTCAGATAATAATTCTGTGAACCTACGTTAGAAAACAGTGATAAGAATTACAAATCAAAATAGACTACTAGAGAGGGTAAGAAATTAAAAACAACAGCACAAATTTTCTCATAAAAATTCATCGCAGAACATGTTGACCATATCAATAACTTTTAACATTAACTCATGGAATAGAGATAATCTTTTGTAGTTTATATTATAAGCAGTCATTTCCAACTTCCTGCTTGTATACAACCAAGATCAACGTAGGCTTACGTAAGCATTGAAATCAATCTCTGTGTCGGGCAGGTAACTAGAGCTCCTTCCTCTTCTGACACAGGGTATCTCAGATTGGGTCAAAAAATGTTAGGTTACAGGAAAGTTCTTCCATCATAAAAAATACAGAAAATTTCAGTGCTTAATTTGACTTGGAGTTTTTCTGAGCCAGAAATGTGAATTGACATAGACAAAAATCGTTATTTTCTCACTGATATGTTGAGTTTGGAAAGTTTTGATGCTTTCAGTGCATTCTATGTAAAATTCCCATAAGGGAACAAATATCAATGACTAAAGAGCGAGACCATGTATCTCCGTTTGCAACGTTGTAGACTTCAAGTCAAACTTTATTTTTTCCTTGTAAAACTAGTCAACGTAATTTATTTTAAACTTCCTCGGTTTTTCTTATCTGTTAGTAGACTATTCTGCATAAATTTCAAGCTATAAAGTTGACTTGTTCCTCTTTGAAAAAATAAAGTAGGAGAGATTCTGAAACGCTGCACTGATCGTTTGTCTTTTATGGCTCTTCATTGTAAGAAGCGTATAAGGAACTGTACGTAGGTTAAGGTCTGAATTAGATAGAATTGTTCAGTATCGTACAGGTTATGGGACACAAGAGCTTGTAGTAAGTTTTATAAGGGAGAGATATTTGATGGGTTGGGTTATTTGAATGAAGTTTTTTTACGAAGAACACTTCCTTGTTATTTAGAGAACCCGTAGCAAGCAGCTCATAAATTTTTCTGCCGACAGAGAAAGTAAAGTACGTTACGATTGAACAATTTTAAGCCCCTAACAAGAGCTGCCAACTGCAATCGTCACAAATCCAATTTAGTTGAAATTTTAGCGGGTTTTTTGGGGTCAAAATATTCAGGGGCACTAATCTAATCAATGGTACCAATATTTAAACTTTGAATTTTTTGGTATTAAGGTGCTTTCTTCTCCAGATGGTCACGGGTTGAATGTTTTATTTATAAAAAACAATATCAAAATAAGAAAGGCGACAAAATAACAGATAGCAACTCATACCAGAAAGCTGGCGCATTTGAAAACTGATATTAAAATTAACCATTTTACCTGTAAATTTGAGCTTCTAGCAGAGCTGATTCCCGCTGGCGCTCTGCGTCTCTGTTCTTGTTCATCTTTCCAGGCTTGCTTTTCGCTATGAGAGAAGGATCCAATGATTTCTTGCCCTTCGTACTGAATAACCGTTGAGCTCTTTCTTCCAACGTTCTGAGATGATAAAAAGGTCAAGTAATGAAAAAAAAAAAATACAGTGCTGACATTAAAATATATTGACATTCAGATGATTTTGAAAAAAGCGCAGAAAATAGCACAACACGTATACAATCTGATGTCTGCTGCACAGAGGAGGTCTTTCTGTCTCTAAAATGTCAGAGACCAATCTCTCTATCACTTGCAAATAACTTTTCTGATTTTCTTAAAATGTCAGCAATTTTGGTTTATGCTGGCGAGAAATCCTTGTCAAGTTTTCAAACCTAAAGGTGCGATGATGATTTGTATAAAATATAATAAGTTCTTGGAGATTTTGCTACGTTACAATGTGCATATGCCTCCATGCGTGGCAGCTGACAAACTGATGGATATCATGGATGAAAATGTTCAGTGACCATTCTCTGAAAAGCACTGGTCATAAAATAAATATATTTTGTAAGAAAAAGTTTTTATAGTTGAAAAGGTAGATAAAGGTTTGTGTTAGAGATGAGGGTTCAACTTGAACATTAAGGCAAAGAAATAACCTCTGAAGCACTTACAAAGTGTGCCTTGAGACAATTTTTCCGTGGTGAGACGTACATTTCAATCTTTTCAACAATGACATGAGACTCTTTAATACATGATGCTTTTCATCTACAGTATACTAAAGGAGTCAAAAAATTAAAGAGCTGAAACAATGATAGCTCTACCCTAGGAGGTGTGAAAGCAAAAATAATTCAAATACTATCTCCTGGGTCCCATTCGCACAGTTCCTGAGTTGATGGGAAATAACTCACATTCCGTCAAGAAACTTAAAAAATCGCCAAAATTTAACTCCCATCTGCAGTCGAGGGTGAATCCACAATTTGGAGGAAGTAATACTTGTAATGATGTAAGACATGCTTAAAGACTATGATAATAATTATCCAAAAAGGAGACCAACAACTATTGTTGGTCTCCTTTTTTGAGGGGTTCATTTTATTTAAAGATGAGAAAGAAGAAACATTTGAGAACATGTATTCTCTTCCTGGCAGGCAAAATCCCTACAGAAAATGTAGAAAACAAGAGGGAGTAAATTTATTCTTAAAAAAATCTGACGTAAGCTTAAGGTATTGCTTACCCTCCACATTTGAGGCCCAAAGCTGCTAAAGCTGATTTCAGTCGATCAAGACCCAATGATGCTAACTCTTCCCAGGAGGAAAATGCAGATAGATCAAGATGAGCTCCCACATTACTCAGAGCACTCCCTGTATCTTTCTGCAAAGTGAAACATCATATAAGTCACGAGTCCAAACCTTTTTCAAAACTCTCTGAATCTCAGAGACACCGCACTGCACAGACTGTTTTGAAAAAATATCCCGCTTCCTTCTTGAAAATGTTTAAAATGCTATAAAAAAGGAAGGCTTCGAAAGGTGTTGAAAATTGATACCTCTGGGTATGCCCAATTTACTCTTTCATGCAAGGATGTAGTATGTATTCAGGAATGCCAAAACTCATGACTCTCATGATAAGAGTCGTGAAAATTCCAGATATCCTTAAAAATAAAATCAGTCTAAGTGCTTGCTGCAAGTTTAATCAAGACTCTAAATCAGTGGACGATTTTGTCAAGTGGCAAGATTTTTAATTGCTGGTTAAACTACACTTCAAAAGCACCAAGTTGCAATGAAACTTACATAAAAGGAGGGAAAAATATGCAAGTATGGAGGCTAAATGATGTAAGTACAGATGCACTACAATATCCAAAAACCCATTTCAACAGGTTTCCAAATACAAACCTCCCATTCTTAACATGCTCCTATTGACTTTAAATGTTAGGAGTTCCTAGTTTCTAGAATATGACATTTCCTGTCTTGTTCGCCATCAGTTAATTTGGGTAATCTGATGGAGGAAAAAATTTACATTCAGTAATGTACCTTACAACTTCATCAGTTGCCAATATCATACAGCTCATGCAGTTGGATTGAGCAGAGGAAATTTGAGATCGTGAGTGAGTTTATAATGATTCTTGATTTTAACTGAGAAAAATTTTGATAAGGAAATACTTCACCGCATTCGTTTGCAGATAGGCATCCAAACTTTCAATATCTGCTGATACAGGCCACAACTTGGAATTGCATTGATGAATAATATCATGGAAGCACAAGATCAAGGACAGACCAAGTTTCGTAGAATGGAGCAAGGACATAGACGCATTCGTAAAAGCAACTATTCAAATGGTGAAATAAATAGCAGAAATGTGATTTCTGACAAGAAGCAGAAAACTCCTTTCTTACTGAATTTGGTCTGAATGGTGTTGAGATACATTACCGGCCATCCTGGAAATGTTCCATTCTCCCACTGAGCATTGAATTCTTTAACTACACCTTCCATTTCTGCCTCAACATCAAACAATGGTTTGATCCTCAGAAGATAACCATGGAGATAGTCCAGCAGAAGTTCAAGGTACTTCCTGTACTCAGAATTTTTCCTTTCTTTTGGAATATCATACAAATGATTGAAAGTAGTCAGATATGTGATGTAATCAACTTTCTGAAAAACAATCAAACGCGTGACTTTAGTTTCATCTTTAATTGCTGAAAAAAGTTTGTTTTATGAAAAGGTTTTCAGATGCTACACAATGTTGTAAAATATATGAGGAAGGTATTCTCAGCTTTTGGTCTCTCTCTTTCTTTCTCTTTTTGTTTAATTGAAAGTCAAAGGGCAAAAATGTGCAACGAAGGTACTGGCTTTATTTTAATATACAAAATTGATCATTATAATTCCTTTGCAATAAAATAATTAAAAACAAACCAGCTTGAAGTTGCCATCCAGGAAATATTTTTAAATTCCTGAACACCACATTTTGAAGACAAAAAACGACCACCAGAAAGATTTTATATCAGACGAAATTTATGATACTTTTTAAAAACTAGGTGAAAAATTTCATTCTATTATTCAACTTACGACATAGTATTTGGAAAACATACTGAAATTAGGAACTACAATTTCTAGCTAATTTGTAAAAACACTCATCTTCAAAAAAAAAAAAAAAAAAAAAAAAAAAAAAAAAAAACTAACAATAAATATGTCCTTTCTATGATGAGGAAAAAATATTAGTGCCTTACAAGAAGATGTAATCCATTCAATGTATTGTTACTTGTTTAACATATTGTAAAATGAAGAGCAATGAAAAATTTTAATGTTTAGATAAAACTTACTATTTAATCTTTGATCCTGATGTTTTTATAAAATTATGACGACGATAATTTCGGACCCATAGGTGGGTCCATCATCAGGTCAAAAGCGAACGTGAAAAATGCAAACTTGTCGGAAATTAAAATGAATACCATACTTTCCTCCAAGTTATAAGCTCGGTGTAACATTATTTTTATTTATATTCATTTTAGTTTCCTATAAGTTTGCATTCATTTTTGATCTGATGATGGACCCATGTATGGGCGCGAAATGATCGTCATAATTTTTAAAAACATCGGGGCGAAAGATTAAAAGTAAGTTTTTTCTGAACATTGACAATCGCCCAATAAAGTAACCATGAATTCTTTCAACTTGAAAAATTTTGACTTGCACAAATGACATACTTCATAACTGGAGCTAAGAAACTTAATTACAGCATCATGGACACTTAACATCTTTGAAATATTCTGCTCACATAAAATGTTGAGACTTTCCAACTGTTTAGAAACTTTTATACACAGGTAATTTTCAAGAGAATGTTTCTGAATTTCTGGCCATGTAGAAGAACTTATTAAATGCTCGATCCTGGCAACACTAAAACAGAAACTTGATTTCAGAGCTCTTAACTCTTCATGAATTTGTTACCTTCCTGCCAAAGTATCACAAGCACCATGCAACGTTTCAAAATTTCCGCAGACAGCGTTATTTTTTTACAGAGAAATTGTTGGTTGAATCTGTTTGATAATTTCACTGAATTTTATGGGCAGCACAAAGAAAGTTCAGTGACATTTTTGGATAGCTTCGTTGAACAATTTATCTTCAAAAAAAAAAAAAAAAAAATGAACGGCAGCAGAAATGTTCAAACGTTGCAAGGCGATTGTGTTACTTTGGCCGGAGGGTAACAAATTGCAGTATTTTCGTCACAGCTGGCCACTTAAATACACAGTTTGATTGTAAAATTATATAAAATGATAATTAAGTGTCAGTTAGAGGTTGACATTAGCAATGACAAACCTCAATTCCTTTCAGGTTGATGTACTTTTCGTAACACTCGTGTAGATCTAAATACTTTCCATAACCTTCTTCATCAGTGAACTCCGCCATATCTAGGGAAGAAAAAGAAAATTAGTCTCAATTTCATTGTGAACTGGAGACATAAAATTTTCAAATGATAACAATCTAGCTTACTTAGGGATGTTTTCGTCCAAAAAAATCAAACAACTATTCTGAATTTTTTTTAATTTTAAGTAACTAAATATTAATTCATTTATGTTATTTTTTATTGGTATGACTTTTACATCTGAGCGTTCAATTCATTTGAAAATCAAGTATTTTGATTCTTGTTCATTATGAAAAGCAAAAGAACAATTTTTGGAAGTCTGAAATGTCTTTCACAGTACAGCACAGGTTTCTGCGCAGATTTAGCCATTACAATTGCATTAAACAACCTACTTTTAAAATTTAAAAATACAAAACAATACAACTCTAATTACAATTTGTTCTCAGTTTGATGCAAAGCCTGTGGCAGGCTTCAAAAGAGACAATTCTTTACCAACACTAGGCAAAATGTTTTTTGTAAGATATGACTCCTTGTTATTTTTTTCCTGGGAAAGACAATTTTGTAATTCCACTTCCATTTTAATTCTCAAGAAAACTTTTCTAAGAAATGTTATCAAGTGCAAGGATTGTGCAAAATCACTCACTCCTTGGAAAGATAAAATTCACAGTAAGTTTAAAGTTCATTTTATGAAATGGTTACTCAGAAATATTATTTTTTCAGTGGCTCTCTATGATTGAGTTGGTAAAAATTAAGGCTACCTAACTTGTTCTAACAGTCAAATATTTTGCTACAAAAGGAGCATCAAATTTCACCTAAAAAAATTGATAGATAAATGAGAGGCTATTCTCACTTACCTTGCATTTCTTCCTGTGCAAACTGCACTGACATCGGAATACAGATCTATTCAGATAAAAGAAAAAAAAAGATGAGTGTAAGAAATAAAATAATGTACAAACTCAAATTGAGTAAAAGAAATGAAATAATGTACATGGTAAAATTAGGGGATCTCCACAACCAAGTTCACAACATGACCCGATGTTAAGGATCATAAGGAAGGTTCAAAGAGGACTACTTTTTAAAAATCATGATATACAATTGTTTCTGGCAACATTCATCTGTGTTGAGAAATTAGTGCCCTAAATAGCTAATTTGGTCACATTTACACTTTTCTCACACATGGTCTTTTGCCACAGTGCATAAAAATAATCAAACTGAATACTTCTATGATGGTGTGTAAAGTCTCTTCTGAGCAGAGTTTCCCCTTACCAATTTGTACCTTTTGGTGCCACACTGAAAATAGAGATACTGCCATTATCCGGCACAGTCATTTTAATTTATATCACACAAATTTTTAGCATTAGGCTGCAAATGGCAACAATAGACTCTTATAAGTAAGCAAACGGCTCTTGATAAGAAGAATACATTCATAATAATCAAATTCAAGGTGTCTTCACAAGGATTTACAATGAGTTTTTATTCTTAATTATGGAAACATCCAGTTTCTGCAAAATTTGATCCACTGTGGCTAAGCAAACCATCTGTCACATCTTAATGACCCGGACATCTGAATATCTCTGTTCATCACTGTTCACAAACTTTAAGACGCGCTTTTCTTGCTTTGCTTTTCATTGGTATTGCATCCTCATTCATTCTGGAGCAATAAATATTGCAGTATGTGATTTATTATTTTCAGCATCCTTCTGTGCATTTTAACGCCAAGACTTCCATTTTAGCATAACCCTCATTGAAGCATGAGAGCAAAAAAAGATAAAATATACTAACCTCATTTGGATGCTTATGGTAGAAGTCCTTGATACCTTTCAATCTATTGTAAAATTCATTGAAATCGTTTGAATCAGTTATGGCGTCTATTTCCTCTTTTCGCAGGCCATCTTTGTCTTCATATAGCTCCTTTAATTGTGTGGTGCTCTCAATGTATTGCTGGACAAAGACAAAAATGTACAAATGAAAAAATCCATGAGCAAATGTAAGAGGCTAATGAAAATAAGAGATGAGAAAAAATTGTTTGCCATTTACGTCGTCAGAGGTATAATCAACACAACACTGTTGGAGCACATCTAATGAAATTTTTAGGAAATGTAGGTATGTAAATAAGTTGAAATGTTTATTATTTTTTTGTCTGACTCAAACGAAAATAGACCATTCTTTGGAGCATTGTCTTAACACTAAAAATGTGCTGGACCCAATCGAAAATTGTAAACGATTACGATGATATGATCTCTTCTGTAGTTCAATTGAAAGCTCGGCAGAAAAAATAAATTTCAGTTTCTAGAACGGTGTTTGAAAATGTTCTTAAGTCATAAATGTAACAATATGCCACACTCTGAATATTAAATTTCAAGGAATTTTGAAAGAAATCCGTAAAAAAAAAGCAAGGGCAACATAGATCAAAATCTTGGGCTAGAGGCAATATATTTTTAAGGTTGTTGTCCTTTCAAAATTTAGTTACGGATGCCACTTTTTCTAAAAAATCAAAACTTCTCTCCGCTTAAATGTACCACCCATCATGCACTTGGGCTGATTATCTATTTTTTAATTTTTCCATAAATGAACGGAAATTTTTAAATATAATTTGATCTGAAAGTATCTAATTATCAGACAGACTATGTTGGCACATCTATCTTTCGAATAACTTTGGGGCAGAAAGGAAAAATTAGTTTTTGAAAAGTATAATTGTAAGACCCATCTCAATGGAATAATTCTTACTACACCTAAGGGTATTTTGTGGGGAAGGGGGGGGGTGCCAATCATGTATGGAATACACTTACATCGAGTAGAGCTTTGAGCCGATGATCAGAATTGATTGTGTCTCGAAACTGAAAGCAAGGAGAAATAATGTTTAATTCAAGAATGTTTAGCAAATCAGCCATGTATAATGAAAAGATAATTTGAAAAATGCTGTTTAGAAAGACAGTCGAGGTATTATAAGTGAAAAAGGCCCCGATGCCAGGACCAATTTTTTATGCATTTGAAGTCTAGAAGCAGCATAATTCACAGAGGAATTGGCGTTTTGTAACCAAATTTGTTCTTATCATGACACATATCCTTCAGAAGAGGGAACAGCTTGAAATAGTGAAATTTTTCATTAGAGTAGAGTTAAGAAACAGTATGAAAGAAAGATCATCTGAGGGCCATTTCTGTGTAGAGTGGCAATTTTAGCCACTCAATGAAAGTGATTTAATGAGACAAACACAATGAAAGGAGGCGTAAATTTTCTAAACTATGCTTTTGAGCATGTTGCAAGACTAGGTTGTCATGATCATTATCTGGTGAAAAGGAATTTTAGCAGAGCAGAGCAGTGGGGAAACTTGGTCAACTGGGACAAGATGTGTCAGTGTCACTGAAAGTCATCACGCTACAAGCCATCTATAAGCGTGTCAATTTTTTCAGTGTTTTATTCTTTCATTTATTTGTACAAAATGGTACACTTATTCTTCTAGAGAAAAATCTATAACGCTTAGGATCTAGAGGAGGATTTGCCTCCTAAAATTTTGATAGTTTTCAAATAATGGATCAAAACTGTAGTTAATTGATGAAAAGAATTTTTTACTGTCAACAAGGTGCGAGTCCTGCGAACAGTATTGTTCGCATTAAATTTTCCTGTGCAGCATTATTCCCCAGCAAGTTTCCCAGTACAGATCAGTTCATCTCTTTTCTCAAGCATCATAACTGCTTTGTGCAATGCAGGTGAAAGAAGGAGCGTTGATCTGAGGCAAGGTTCACTTCCTCATTTTCTCAGTTACTCCATTAACAACTGGCAAAAATGGGATGTCTCATTTAGGCGCCAGTAACATTTTTCATGTGAGCGATGATACGGCAGTTTCAGAGAATGAATCAGGCAAAGTATTTCACTTACAGAACTTTTTTTGTGCAACATTTCTCGGACCATTGCATCCAACAGCCTTTCTCGTTCTTCATGGTAGGATCTTTGTTGTTCGATGATCGAATCCATGTTTCTTGATGAATATTTAAAGACTAGAACAGTTTCATTTAATAACTTTATTCATACTTATTTCATAGTTTTAGCAGAGTTAGTTTGGCTGAAATACTTTTAGTTTAGTTTCTGAGAGCAGAGGTGCTTCGAAGTGAAAAGAAAACTGCTGCCGGGAGGTGGAAGAGGAACGTAGTTAGGTTAGGTAAACATTCAATATAGAGAAACTGAGAGGGGCCGCAGAGCGATTCAACTGGATAACCTCGGACCTCTGAAAATAAACTTTGATTGGTTGACTGTTCCCGCGCCTTAGGAAACCACTGTACTGACCAATCAGAGGCGACTTTCCTAAAAGCACCGATAGTTATGACGATACGATAGATGTTGTTGTGTCTGTATTTGCTGTAGTTTACCTGTTTTTGGCTAGAAAACCCTCTATGGTCTGGTCTTGGCATTGACGTATAATACAATCTAGACCGCGCATTACGAAATTCAAGCGAGACGATAGGCAACCCAGCAACACACAGCAAGTGTACCGGCGAGACAATGGTGGAATTCGTGGAAATGCCAGTCTTGCCAGTGCCGTTGCCTGATACGGGTACACTTAGCTCGTATATCCGGCGGTATCAACTAGGCTGAAGGCGCGTCTTTACCCCCCTAGCTGTCTTACCTTCCCCGCCTAAAGTCGGGCCCAATGCGCGGTCTAGATTGTATTATACGTCAATGGGTCTTGGTCGTCTTGGTCTAGGGTTAGGTTATGTATGTTGAATCATTCCGTTCCGTGAGTGAATGTCATCGTCATCATCATTTTAGTGGGAAATAGTGGTACAAAGTTCAATACTGATAGTAAATTTGGGCTTTTATTGAATGCTGTAACTAGTTTCAAATAATTAAAGCATCGTTATCATTATGATGAACTCTAGGTGAGACAATTCAGTTTTCTTTCTCCTCGGTCCCTCCCTCATCATCAAGTATTTATACAATACATCTTTAAGAAGTAGAGGATTATGTCCAAAACCTTTTTTTTTTCGCTGTAGCCAAAATTTAAAGCTGTAGTTTATTTCCAAGAGATTTTATCCGTTACAATTTCAACCATGCTCCAAGAAATGCACGTTTTAAAGTTATAACTGTCACAACTCCGTCTTGTTTTAATGCGACGTGTAACACCCATCTTGTTTACTCTCAAACTTAAATTAATGACTTATTGATGAAGTCGAAGTATTATTTCTCACTTCTGCACCTCATTTGAATTGCTATCCTAAGTGATTGAAAGTTCACTTGAACCTTAAATATTTTTTTACCCCTAAGTTCTCAGAATCAGAGTTTCAGTACATTGCTCAATTGGCAAGCAGAGGCAAGTTGCAAAAAGCAACTTGTTAAGTGTCATGGTTGTGAAATAGCATCCGAAGTTCACTATCACTATGATAAAGCTGTAGCTACCAATTTGTTTTCCTGTTTTTTCCATTAAAATTATGATCAACTTATTGAACCCATCAAGATCTAACTGAAGAAAATCCTCTATGAAGGACAAGGAGAAGTCCTTTTTATTCATCGGTTTGAATTATCATCAATTATAGACTTCAGACAGCAATTTCTGATCCTATTTTACTTTTCTCAATGAGAGATCAGCCTATATTTAAGTAGGCAAAGTAGGCAAACTTTCAGTATCAAAAATCAGAGAATTTTGGTCCCAGAAAACCTGAAAAAGTCAAGATAATTTTTCCTGACAAGGCTGTGGACACCCAGACATCCTGTCATTATTTATTTCGTATTTTCAGGAGGTTGTCGGGACTTACAATTTTTATTACTGGTGCAAGTCGTGGAATTGGAAAAGCAATAGCTTTGAAGGCAGCCAAAGATGGTGCCAATATTATAATTGCTGCCAAGACTGCTGAGCCGCATCCAAAACTTCCTGGAACAATTTATACTGCCGCACAAGAAGGTATTATCCAAATTTAATAAAGCAACGAAAATTGCCTCGTCATATTCAGGCTTTCTCACAATTTTTTCAAGGCATTTTGAATTGGACAGTAGTTGAAAAATGATAATGCCTGCATATTTCTGATTTTCATGTAAGTAATCAAATTTTAGCTGAGAAAAATGCTATCTAAGTAGCCAACAATGCAACCCCATTTCAAACGGAAAAATATCATGCCCCAAAAGATTTGGTGATTTCAGAAAAATTATTGACCACTGTGTACCCTTGCACCGGTGTCTGTTGATTTACTTTCAGGTCGCAGTTGTACCAAAAAATTATATATCTAGGCCGTGCTGGCAATATCTATTGTGTTATTTGAAGTAAATATATTTTTCCCTCTTTTTTTAATGAAATTTTTGTTCATGATTTGAATCGTAAAGCAGCCATGTTGCATTGGGTTCAAGGTGGTTTAATTTATGGATGGTTGGTGTTCTCAGGGGTAATGTCAGAATGGATATAGTTCCTTTTGATTGAAAAATTTCCAGTTGTAGTACTGTAATACCCCGGTATTCGCGAGGGTTACGTTCTGCGAAAACCCTGCGGGTACCAAATTTGCGGATACGGGGGCATTGGTCTTATGGAAAATGAAGGGTTAGAGGACATGTTAAATGGAAAATGCTTACATTCACCTATGGTTTGCGGAAGAAAGTCACTAGAGTTGGTTGTTTCATTTTACACCATAGATCTTTTTGTATTTCAATGTATGGAAGAAGTAGACTGCTGAGGCCTCGTTGGAAATTCAGTGCCCTTTTCGTGTGCAGATCGATACGAAGTGCTTCCTCACCATCGTTTTGGACATTTCTTATGAAGTCGCTTAGATTTTTAAGATGAAGCTGGGGCAAGTTCTCTTCCTCTTCTTCTTCTTCTTGTTCATCATCCACAGTTTGTTCTTCAATCATTTCAGGAAGATCCTCCTCAGTAAGTTCATTTGAGTGGCTGCTCAAGAGATCTTGGATTTCTTTGTCTGTGACGTCCTAGAACCAAGCCTTTTTGGCTAGAGCCACGATTTCGGCAACTTCAAACTTTAGTGCAGAGAGCTCAGCCTCATCCTCAATCTCCTCTTCATCCTTGTCCATAGCTTTCTTCTTTGAGCTTTTCTTTTTCCTCTGCACTACTTCCAGCCATAACTTGCGCCAACAATTGTTGAGAGTGCTAAGTTTCAGTTCCTTCAAGGAACCCTCAATCATAGAAAGGGAGTGTGCTGTATTGAAACCCTTCCAAGCTTGCCGTACGTCCGCATTTGAGTCCTTATCAATGACATCCACAATATGCTCAAACGCCCTGCAAGTGTAGTGGTTCTTAAAAGCTCTAATAATTCCTTTGTTCATCGGTTGTATGAGAGAAGTGGTGTTGGGGGGTAGAAACTCGATAATGATGTTAGGATGAGCATATTCTAGCTTGTTCCGTGCGCTGTCGTGTTTTCTAACAGCAACAATGCCTTGAAGGCAAGATTTGAATGATTTGAAATGAAATAATTAAGTAAGGTTGGGAAAAGGAAAACTTTATCAACTGGCGCTTCACTTCCATGACAACCTTCCCACAGTCATTTCATTCATGGTTGCCAAGATTCTCTTCCCCGATCGCGGGTTAGCGAATCCGCAGATGGCGGGGTTGTGGATACCGGGGTATTACAGTACTTGTCAACAATGAAACAGCATTGGAGCAATCTACTCTCTACCTCCAAGAATTTTGTCCGTATGTTTTTTGATTCATTTGTAAAGCCTGGTAGGGGTCACCATTTGATAAATAGTGAGAATGATTTTCTAGTTGCGCAAAGTTTAATGTTTCTTTCATGAAGCCTGCTCATCACCCTTAAAGATAAAGTTGTGTAATCAAGGTGTTGCCAAAGGTGGTCATCATCATATATCCAGGAAATGGTAAGGATTTTTTCAAAAGTCCACGCTCATCCACACATTTTGGATATTGTAGGAATTCTGTCTTATAAATTTGAATGGGAATAAGTTCCCATAAAGCTAACCAACATCCATAGGTAGGCACTGAATGCTTTACAGTTTTTTTTCAATTTTTCTTTATCTTTTTTTAAATGTGGCTGATCAAAAACTTAGTCAATTTTTTTTATTTTCTTTCCATTGATGACAGAACGTAGAGGAGGGTTATGTGCAAACAGTATAGCAAAGAATACCCAAAAATTCACACATAAAATTGAATTATGGCGATTTGAAAGATAGAGAAAGGACCCCACACACTCCTTACAGGAAAGTGCACCACAATCAATTTTTAATTTTTTTATTGCATTCAATTATTCTCAAGATGCTGATCAGAAGTCATCATTGTGCCAACTTTCTACGATGCACCGTTTTCCCACTAATTGAAACTTTCCTGGAGAGTTTCAATTATTCGGTGATAAAGAGTAGAAAAGAATAAGACATTTGAGAACAGGCCTGATGCAGATAAGGAAAAACGTTGCACGTGTATGTCCTCTTATCTGTTCCTGCCTACTCTAGAGCTATCTCCCTCCCGCTCTCGTCCGTTTGACGTTCACTGTATTTCTTTAACTGCCCTGTTCTTATGCTCTACACAAAACTCATTTGGATGGTCAAGCTAAAAGGCGTGAGGAATCCAAGATAAGACTGCTGCTCGGTGCTGGAGTTTTCCTGATTTCCTTGTTGACACACAGCCGACCATTCACTCAAGTGCTGAAATGAAGAATCCTTCTGACTCTTCATCGCCGAATAATTGAAACTTTCTGGGCATGTTGTGCGAAAACGGTGCATCGTAGAAAGTTGGCGCAATGATGACTTTTGATCAGCATCTTGAGAAGAATTGAATGCAATACAAAAATTAAAAACCGATTATGGTGCACTTTCCCATTAAGAGTGTGCAAGGTCCTATATTTTCAGGAACAAATTGTTTGAAAATCTAATCCGGTCTGTTTAGGGCTCAAAATTGTCGTAGGTATCATAGTGTAGGTTTACCTTCTATCAAGACGAAAATGAACCCTACCGATTGTAAATTATTCTTTGAGACACCTACTGAAGGGAGTTTTCCATTGTAATCTAAACTCTGATCTTTGATCAAATTCATCAAAAACTCCCCCTCTGAAAATCTTGTTCCCATGTTGGTATGCCAAGAAAAAACGTTACATGAGCCTCCATGTTGCCAATTTTCCTTTAATGAAATGAGTATTTTCAGGAAAATCATATTCATATTTTCTTCAATTTTGCTACCGAATTTCATTCGTGATCAGCAAATTATCTGAAAATTTCAAACTAAAATATCCATAACTTTCCTCAAAAGCAAAAATTTAATCGGAGGAAATTCGGCAAGGGAATATGGTGTTTTTTCCTTTGCACGGCACTATAGATTGAGGTCTCTCTCCTTGAGGTCGGTCAAAAATCATAGTACCTATCTGCAGTTTGACTCTACAGAATCAAGATGAATTTTTTTTATTACACTAGAAAGGTGTTCAAATTTGGTTTGATTGCAGTGGAAGCAGCAGGTGGGAGGTGTCTGCCATGCGTTGTTGATATTCAGCACGAAAATCAAGTGCAGTCAGCAGTTGATGAAGCCGTTAAAACTTTTGGCGGAATAGATATTGTCGTGAATAATGCTAGTGCTATCATGCTAACAGGAACGTTAGAAACACCTATGAAACGGTATGACTTGATGAATGGTGTCAATGCTCGCGGCACTTTTCTTGTGTGAGTATCAGTGGTTGCACATTCTTTCTTAGAAAATTCCACCTCAGCTCATGACTCTTCTTATTACAATAAATCAAGGAATTGAGAGGTAAAGTTGCAAATACAACAATCAAAAATATAGTTTCCTTGAAATTAATTGTAGATACTCTCTTTTTAGAGCAAACGACTTTTGGAAGGTTTATAAGTCTCTCTCAACCTAAGTAGGTTTAAGGCTAGCTCATAAATGATCAGGATAAGAGGTTTCCTCCATCCTTTTGCTTCCCCAAATTTTCTTTCCTTTTTCCTCCTTGTTTTCTTTCTTTTCATTTCTTTTTTTCCTACGTTTCTCCTTTTCTTCATTCTTATTGTCTTTCCTCCTATTCTTTTACTTTTTCTCTTTTTTTCTCTCTCCCTTCTTTCTTTATTGTCCATTCCCCTCTTTTCTTTATCTTTTTCCTCTCTTTCTTTTCTCTTGATTTCGCACTCATTTTTTTTCTTTTCTCTCTCATTTTCTCCTTTCATTCATTTATTTTTTTGTCTTTTTTTTGCTTCTCCTTCTCTCACCATTGTTTCTTCCTTTCCAGCCATAAAATTCACAGTATTGCTCAGGTAGCACCATCAATGTCTTATCGTCATTGAATGAAATCCACAATCTATCACACTAAGTGTTTAATTCCCCTTTAGATTTTCAGCCGAAATAAAATTTCTTTAGACCGAAAAATTTTACCTATTTGATATACATTGTTTTGCTCGGGCATACTCTCACGAAAGTTTTCAGACTTAATCTGTACAGTCCAAAGGTCCACCACCAACACAAGACATCACCCCTGTGCTTTTTGAAGAAATTGAGATAGAGACTTGAAATTTCGTGAGTACTCCAAGGTCAAAGGAAATAACTTTTGGGAACGCCCAAAATTTTAAAGGGACCACCCTGAGAAGGGATAAGGATCCTAGGGGTTATACTGTTGTGCTGAGGAAGGACGCCGTATGAACATTTGAGAGTTGCCAAATTTCCCCGGATAAAACATGTATTTTTGGGAACATACATGCATATTTTTCCTTGAAATTTGCAGATTTCCAGATAAAATTTCAAATAATAATGTCTAAAAAATTTAAGGAAAAATATTCACAATAAATCCTGTAAATTTGTATTTAATTGAGGGAAAGTTGGCAACGTCTGATGGCTCATACGGCGTTTTTCCTAAGCACGACAGTATATGGGTGATGCAGGACTTTAGGATCACCAAGTATGAGAATGTGCAGAACATTTTAGAGCAGATACTGAGGATCTAAAAAGTTTCTTCTTTGTCTAGCTTTGCTGCATATTTGAATCATAAGTTTTATAAAAAGAGCATTTTTCATGTTTTACCTGCTCCTTCACAGGCACCAAGTGATTTCAAGCACTTCATAGTTTTAATCACTTTTTCCTTATGTGTTTGTTTCGCTTGTTTCAGATCCAAATCATGCTTACCTTATTTACAGAAAAGTAAACATGCTCATATCCTGAACATTAGCCCTCCTTTGAATTTAGATCCATTGTGGTTCAAAAATCATGTTGCTTATACCATTGCCAAGTACGGTATGTCAATGTGTGCGCTCGGGATGGCTGAAGAATTCAGAAGTAGTAATATCGCGGTCAATTGCTTATGGCCTGCAACAGGTTATTATCTTATTAAGTATGTCTACTTTTAAAAAAATTAGGACTTACAACAAAATACATGTGTTTTTAAAGTACAAAAAAACTGACGTGTAATGGAATCATTCTGCATGTAAGTTTACACTTAAATTGCTGAAAATTCAGTCAGCCAAGAACGAAAAAACGTAAACCGCTCTTGATGAGATTACAAAAAATATGTGAGAAAGTCACATTGTAGAATCATAATGTTAATCATCACAATCAATATTTGGATGTATAAAGTGCCCCAAAACATTTTACAGAAAGGAATTTATGGCAGTTTGAAGTCAGTATGCCATGAAATTTGCTTTAAAAAAAAACACTGTTTAAATTTTTAATCTTCCATTTTTGGAGTCTAAAATTTTTCTGGTGCGATGTAATTTCATTCCTCCTATTAGTGCCTGATTAATTGAATAGCTTACAACTTAATTTTTGGGAGTAATATTGAGAGCGTTTTCTGTTACAACTCAAATTCGGATTTTTTAATGCAACTCAAAAAAAAAAAAAAAAAAAAAAAAAAAAAAAAGGATTCCCTCTTTTGAAAAATTATTCTCTCTGAAATTCAAGCTCCTTGTTTCATAGATGGCGTCCATTGCTTTTTTTGCATTTTTAGCCATTCACACCGCTGCCATTGAGATGCTGACTGGCCCGGATTCCTCCAAGTGGTCTCGGAAACCAGATATTATGGCTGATGCAGCATACGCCATTTTAACCAAAGATCCTGCTGAGTACACTGGAAATTTTGCAATAGATGAAGATGTGCTGAAAAAAGAAGGAGTAACTAACTTGGAGCAGTATGCTTGTGACCCTGGTGAGTTTCAAGCTATATATTCCATCATCTCATGAACAAAAAACCAAGTCCTGGATGTCATGACTTTTCATAATTTGAAATTTCATTTCTCAACAAAATTTGCAATTCAGGATTGAGCAATGTGTCAGTTGCGCTGGTCACAGAATCGTGTTCTGATGCCTGATTCTTGTAGATAAGCGAAAAATAATAAGATCCGCCAAACCGCAACTTTCTATGTTCAATATTAACCGAGATATCGCCCTTTGAAAAGTCAGGTTTTTGATGTCTCAGATTCACTTCTTATAAGACTAGAAAGCCTGTATCTCTCTTTGATCATGACCTGTCCCCTCTCTATTCCTCTCTCAAAATGTCTGAGCTAGTTAATACATTTAGTTACAATGATTCCTCATTTCTATTTAAGCTCTTTCATGGTTTCATAAACTCACCTGAACTTCTTAGTAAATTTAATTTAGCTGTTCCAGCCAGGTTATTGCGATCTAGGAACATTACGTTTAATACTAATTCTAACAGTTCTGATAGGTCACTAGTCACCAGAATGAGTGAGGTTGTTAAATCTGTATCAGTTGACCTCTTTAATTCTAGAATCTCTAATTTTAAAACTGCCTCAAGGAGGACATGCCTATCTGATCCTAATTAATTAGTTAGTTGTAATTATTTCTCTTTTTATCAAATTTTTATAATTTTGTTACCTACTTTATTATTGTACCATTGTTTTTTTTTCTATTTCTTTTTTTAACCTTATTGCCATATTGTTGTTTCTTTATTTCATTGTAATGTCTAGCAAATGGGTCTTTATGACCCGTAGGAACTGTAAGTAAATAAATAAATAAATGTCATCCACTGCGGCAGTGACACCCTTGATTTCTTCCTCTTTTGTTTGATCAGTGATGCAGAGGGTGCAACGCAAAACTTCAACGACGTCAAAGGTAAAAACTCTCAAGAAACAGAAGGATTCGCACTGTAAAGATCTTCTTGTCAGGAGATAATGCACTCACCGCGAAGAGACTAGGCGGCCAGTCAGTTCACTTCAGTTTGTTTACGCTTAACATCGCTGAAGTTTCGCGCTGCACCCTCTGCATCACTGATCAAACAAAAGAGGAAGAAACCAAGGGTGTCACTGCCGTGGTGGATGACGTCAAAAACCTGACTTTTCAAAGGGCAATATCTCGATTAAAACTGAACGTAGTAAGTTGCGGTTTGGACAAACCGTATTATTTTTTGCTCATCTACAAGAATCAAACAACAAATTACAACTCTGTGACTAGTGCAACTGACCCATTACAGTCTCTGTCATTCATGTGTCTAATTGTAAGTGAGCAGTGATAAAATCGTAGACAATCACCCAGATACAGAACGTCCTCGGAAACAGCGTTTCTGTGAAGTTAAGTTAAAAATGTATTTGAATAAAACTCAGTGTTTTTGAATAGCTCGAGGGACCTTGTAAATCAGAGAGAGTCAAAGCTTTCAGCATGAAATAAAGAGTGGTAGTTTTCTCAGAAAGTTGGAATTATGACTTGGCACAAAAGTTGGCTCAATAAGTCCTATCATCATAGAAAACAACTCTTTTACTGAAAACTAGCATGACTAACTGATAGNCATTTTGGTGCCCTTATCCTGGGATACCCTTTCCCCATTATGTGAGCAGCAGGCTGATGATTGAAATTAAGAGACGAAGAAGACAATAGGTAAATTGAGTGATCCTTTTGGTTGAAACCGATGGTTGTCGCTGAATAAAGGCGAAAATAATGGACTATTTATAGGGTCTCTCATGGGTTGCTGATAGTTAGTCTGTCACTTAGCTCTTCGGTCCATTGCGACCACTTTCTGCCAAGAGGATTACTCTTTGTCTATAGCTCTTTCTATCAATTTCAATCATGAGCTTGCAGCCCAGCTAACAGAATTTGAGGAAACCCTGCGATGACAGGAAGAAATGCAGGAAAGGTCTCAGAATTTATTTGATATTATTTTCTATAGAGGGTGCTTTTAGGTGGAAAAGTCTAACTCTTGGCAAAATAAGTTTTTTTTTTTCTTTTTTTTTTTTTCTTCACTCTCCTAGAAGGAAAGGAATACGAATCAAGATAAAAATGAGGGAAAGCCAATTAATTAGACCAATAGACATGGAACTCTTTGCATCCTTGGGACCTTACAAAGCTCCCTAAATATCCTGGTTTTTTTAATGATAAATCCAAGTTCTAGATCTATGCAAAGAGTCATGAAGGCTTCTCCTTGAACCTCAGAATGTTGAACCTAAGAATTGGAGTAATTTTCAGTGAGGTCAAGTGGTGGAGGTCACTTCCTGCAATAAGATTTTGAAACCCATCTTCTTCAAGACAATGAATGCGGCCCATCATCAATAATCAATCAATGTGTTGCATGCCTTTTGTTTTCGTTTTTGCAGCTCATGCCAATGAACTAATGCCAGACTTTTTCTTGGGGTCTCCATCAGATCAGTCTCGTGAAAGCTCTTCAAAAGGTAAGAAACTGGCATTTTATCTTCTCCAAGGCTTTTTTTTCCTTTTTGCAATAATGGTTCCGAAAGTATTTTTCTTTTAATTTAGTTTATCTGGAGGGCCTAAGGGTTAGTCTTCAGAGAGTAGCAGGACCGGAGTTACAGAGGGACCACAAAGGCTGCGGCCTAAGCAGCAATTTTGTAATTTTTCAGTGGCATTACATATGCTAAAAACAGCATCAATGCGTCTACGCATCCAAGTTTTGGAACAGCAACAGTTTGTTAAATCTGGCGCTGAAGGTATTGCTGACCTAGCAAAAAGAGATAAATTTGTCCTTTGACCCGGAGTTCACTAGTCTATAAGAAACAATTAAATTCCTTAATGATCATATTGTATTACTCTGCTGACCCGGAGTTCACTATTCAATAAGAAACAATTTCTTAAAGATCATATTGTATTACTCTGCAGGAATTTAGTAACATTTTTAAGAAACAATTGATTTGGACAAAAGTTTCATGTAGATCCCTCTGAAACCTTCCAAAAGGCTCCAGGTCCATAACTTTTCCATCACTCAAATTGTTTGACAGAGCAACTGCCCCTCGTAAGTTAGTATGGAGCTCCAGTGCTTCATGAATGGGTTTAATTTATTTCTTATGTATGTAATTGGTAAATAAATTTTTAATTATTTTTAAATGTATAACTTGAACTCCTTAGGTTTTTGAGAAAAATAATGACATTATATAAAATAACTCACCTGCGCGGTAAACATATGAATATTAAAATCAAATTGTTGTCTTTAGCGCTTGAAGCAAATTCAATTTCATTTTTAAAATTTGACTCTGCAAAGGTGTTAATTTAGAATCTTCCTTCTTTTCTTTTGTTTAAATCACTTAAAAATGATGAAATCTTGGATCCTCTAAATCCTATATTTTTGTCTTTGATGATTCTAAAATTATGAAGACTTGTGAAACCCCTGGAATTATTAGTCAATTGTTTATTAGAAAAATGCTTCTGAAAAAACCCTGCTTGATGTAGCATTAAAAAGTGGTAATGGAGATGTAGTTGGACTACTACCAAAATTTGGTGATATTACTGGGCAATGAAATATATGAGCATTAAGAACATGAAGAATAAATTAGGTTTTAGGTATTTATTTGGAATATCGGGAATAGCTATCTGTGTTTTGTTTGGTCATCATATTTTCCATCATAATTTCAGGTGATAACGCTACCTCTAGCACGGGTACAATCGACTCAATCTTTGCTAAAATTGAACACAATCTGTCCTCTGAGTTAGTCTCCAAGACACAAGCAATTTTCCAATTTGAAGTTACCGGTAAGATTCAACTGTTTAATTTATTAAAAGACATAACTGAACTTTCACTGTTAGGTATTAATATAAATTGATCGATTGTAAGGGTAAGATTCATTGCATCACTTCCAAGCTAGCAGCTCAGTTATTCAACACTTTTACCCTAGCTTTTTCTCAAGTGAGGTAACTAAAGGGTAAATGAGGAGCTCGGAGGACAAGGAGCGTTAAGTGCAGCTTTTGAAAAAATGTATATATTAATGATCTCAAGTAAAACTAGTCATAATGCATATGCCGTGAAAAATTCGCTCCCAGATTCCAAGTTTTAAGCATCAAAAAGTCAGTTTAAACTTTCTCGCCTCCTTAAGGATCGGTGCTATTTCAAAACTTAAAACACGTATCTCTCGAAATAGCAAAAACTTCTCTTATGCGCCTTAGCCTCCCAGCCCCTCCAATGATATTCTGCCTGCTACATTTACTGATTCAACTAAAATCAGCATAAATGCATTTAATGGCATTAGTCCAGGCAAACAAGGAAAAGAGCCTGCAAAAATCCCGGGTATCAATGTTTACATCGATTCCTATGTCATTTTTGACGCTGAATCCGAATTTCAACTTTGCACCATTAAATTTGGACCGGAAAGTTGCCAAATTTGGCCAAAATGGCCTAAAATCGGACTTTTTTCCGGATTATGGCCTGTAACTTGCCAAAAATTGATCTGACGATAAAATTAGTTATTTTCAGAAATAAAGCTCGTTAAATTTCCTATAAAAAGTACCTATACACTTTTTTGCTCAAGGCAAAATCAAGCGCACTGGCGGGCTCCAAACTTTGTAAAATGTGTGAAAATTGCGCATACTGTTATGTGTTGGGTTATCCTTATTATTTGCATCAATTCATTTCACTAAGTGTAAATTTTATCATCTTCACTTAATTTGTCCAGAAATTACTCGTCGGACGATTAAAACAGGAGACAGCGGGCAAAAACCGCGAAAAACACAATTTTTGCTCATTTTTCAAGCCTTCATTTGCCTTGAGCAAAAAAGTGTATAGGAACTTTTTTATAGGAAATTTAACGAGCTTTATTTCTGAAAATAACTAATTTTATCGTCAGATCAATTTTTGGCAAGTTACAGGCCATAATCCGGAAAAAAGTCCGATTTTAGGCCATTTTTGCCAAATTTGGCAACTTTCCGGTCCGAATTTAATGGTGCAAAGTTGAAATTCGGATTCAGCGTCAAAAATTTCATAGGAACCGATGAAAACATTGCTCACCGGGATTTTTGCAGGCTATAGCCCTTTTCATGGCTTATTTGCCTGGACTACATAAAATTCCCCTCGAGTTCTAATTTTTTAAACAGGTGATAAGGCAACAACTTGCTTTAAAATCTTTAATTTTGTAAGTTAATTCTGTGTTGTTTACACTATTTTATCCGTGTATCGTTTTGTTATTTTTCGTTTCATGTTATCTTTTCAGAAGATAATTTTCAATGACCTGTCAAAAGAATTTATAAAGTAAAGTGTTGCTAAGGTTTCTGTTAACACGTTGATTTTATCAAAGCGGGCCTTTAGAGATGAGCACTGCATTTGCTCTGTTCGGACGTTGTTTATTTCGATAGTTTACTGTCAGGGTCCCTGGCCAAATTAGAATTTACCCCTTTTTTCCGAGAAAGGGCGTCTCTGTTGCTGATGTTGGGACAGTGTCTCATTTGTGCATTTCTTTCCAAATGCTTTGTTGCCGTTTACGCTGGAATCTGTGGCAGTCAATGTGTTAAAAAATTAAAACGTGATACAAGTTTTTTAATTGCATCTAGGATGTTTCTGCTTCAAGCCACTTGATGGATATAATGATATACTTCAATTGACACAATATTCGCTAAAATTAAAGGCAATCTGTCCTTTTTCTTCTTTTTTGATTTTCTACAAACCTATTCCATATACGATGGATAGGACGAAGTCACGACACAAAGTCATGCTTTGCAACGAAGGAGGGGGTAAAATACGAGTGAAAAGCATGACGTGAAATAATCGCCAGATCAGTTATTTAGTGTGAACTTTTATCAAAATTTATCTCTTTCATAATGGAGAAAAAAGTAGTAGCCACCGAATACAAGCTTTTTCTTTACTAACTGCTGGATCATGATTATTTTTCTCATTCTAAGTAGAAACAATTTTTCATCTAGAAGATTCATTTGACATTTATTGTTGAATGCTCTCAGTCTCTCTTTCGCCTTTTTGTTTTTAGGAGATGAACATGGAACATGGTTCGTCGATTTGAAAAATGGTGGCGGACAAGTTGGGAAAGGAAAGTCTCCCCACTCCCCTGATGCAGTTCTATCGATGGAATTCAAAAACTTTCTCGCTCTTTTTGGAGGTGGGTATTCTATTCAGGGCCCGAATATTGTTGGTCAGTTTACGTAAGGCTGAAAGTGACCATAAGAATGTCGACTTTGTTATTCAGTCGCTGATTAATGGTTTGCACCGTTAAGGAATTAAGGATGACTGGAGTCTGCTGTAAAAAAAGCTCAACTTGTGTTCAGCTTGAGTTCGGAATGTAGTTTTCCCGACTTCTAGTCAAAAGAGGTTAGGTTTCATAATTTGTGGTCAACCATAGCCCTCAAAATTTGGGCCCAAGGTATATTGGTACGGACACTCTGTTTTCCTAAAAATATTGGTTGCGCCACAGCTTTTAGACGCGTCAGGCACTACCGGAAAATATTTTCGAATCTTCAATCATAACTGTCCAGAGAAAAAGGAACCTAGTGCCAAGCATTTCAACTTTGAGTAATTTGTGCCTATGCATGAAGGACAGTTTCATAAATATTTTTTCGCCAAAAGAATCCTGTAAACGTGAACTAAATGGAAGTTATTATAGTTTAAGATTTGCAGTTAGAAGAATCTAGTTTTTAAAGAAAATTATATGAAAGTTGTGTTGGTAGTGTTGAGGGCTGAAAATTACTTGATCAAAATTACACTCAACACCCTTTATTGGCACAACATGAATCAAAACAGTGGCAAAGTTTTGTTTTTTTGGGATACTAGAAAGTATGAGCTGTTAAAAGCTCAAAAACTAAAAATTTTTCCTCGGTCTGGAAAAATGGCTCCTCTAAATTTTTTTAACTAGGGGCGATTTTTCTATAAAAGGTTGCAATAAGGCATTTGAATGATACTGTGATGTTGTGGCAGCAATGATCCTTTCCTAATTTAAGAGTTATAAACCAACTGTCAAATCATAACTCCAATTGTAAGGCTCGAGTATGGTTTGCTTTGATCAGTGATCATGTCAGCACTTTTGAAATTTTTCCTTGTATTTCCCCGATTTTTTCTCTGTGATTATTTTTGTACAGCAATGATTATTTTGACCAAATTATTGCCATCTGTAGGCAATCCTGACACGTACTTGCTAGGTCTCAAACGCTGTCACTTTTTGGAAGTACAATAATTGCAAAATTTGTGTAAATACGATAAAAATAACGGATAATTATGATACTAAATAACCAAGGCTTGCAGGTCAGGCAATTAACCATGTCCTTAAGTGTCCAGATCTGTGTTTGTCTTTTTGCTCCAATCTGGAGGTAGCACTGCCTGGGGGACAATGCTGCCAGCCTCGGTTTTTAAGCACTGTAATTATCTATTAGTTTTGTCTGGCTCATACAAGTTTTGCAATTTTTGTCTTTTAAAAGAGTTACTGCGTTTGTGGCCTTACAAGTGCATGTCAGGATTACCTGAAGATGGATAATTTGGCTGAATTCATCGTTGTGACGTTAAGAAAATCACTAAAGAAAAATCGGAAGGTGCCAGGTAAAATTTCAAAAGTTCCAAGTCTCCAACTGTTGCAGTGACGTTTTTCAACAAGCAATTTTAATTATCCAACCTTAATGTATTTTTCAATATGTTCCTTTTAGGTAAACTGAAACCAGCAACTGCAGTTTTAACAGGGAAACTGAGAGTGATGGGTAACTTGCAACAAGCGAGAAAACTAGAACCTTTGATGACATCTTTAAAATCCAAATTATAATGCTTTGATTTGCTCAAAGTAACTGTTAATTTATTAAGACTGATCTAATGGCTAACTCTTTTTGGTGCTTGTTTGATTAGGCCTAGTTATCGGATCTTTGAAAGGGGGTAAGAATAACCAATCATGGAATTTTCATAACCCTGAAATTAGGGTAAAGTGTAATCGTTTATTTTAGTTTTCTTTATGCTCTGAAAGCAATTATTTCGTAAAGACACTGCACACTGTTTATGCAGCTACCTGTCAACAATTCCTGCCCATCGTGTGAAGAGCAAGTAGTAGCTCTTTATTTGGTTTAAACTCTTCAGCAACTGAACTGCAAAATGGAGTATCTCAGTTACAATGGCTCAGAATTCCCATGGATACTCTATTTTTGAAAAGAAAACAGATTAACTTTAACCCTGGAACTTTCGAACCATTGCAATTGAGATACATTGCTTTGGCGTCCAGCCGTCCTATTTAAAGGCAACAGTCAATGAGGGGATTACTTAATAAGTTAAAAATTGTAAGTTTACTTCATAATGAGGCTGAGAGAACATACATTTTGAAAATTCACCTAATTACCAAATAAAGTTACTATTATAACATATTAGTTGTCAGAATAAGAATTTAAGTTGGAAATGACTGAAAGCTAAACCTCACAGTCCTACAAACTGGTAAATCACTTACCTTTTTCCTCAGTGTCATTTGTTTTTTCAGAAATGTCTCCAATTTCTTGATCAGCAGTTTCAGCCGTTAGAAAAATATGTTGTGAAATTAATCGCCAAAATCGTCGCCACTCCACCTTGTTATTTTCGTTATTAAGAATCAATCCCCTAATCATTGTTGGGGTTGCAGCAGAATGCCAATAATGGAAACAGAATCATAGGCTGTCAAAATTGAAAATCATGTTTCTATACAGCATCAAAAGACTTCATAAAAAATGTCAAAATTTTAAACCAATAAGCTCACCACTTGTTTATTGTTTTGGGCCTATGTTTACCATAAGCGTTTTGTCTGTACAAGCCACCAACAGAAGTGAAAAGATCTGGAGGTCATAGAGAGATTTCATCGAGAAGAGGTAAATAGGAAACTTAAATAATTCATTACTCAAATACTCGATGTTAAAAGAAAGAAGACAGTATTCTGTAGGGCATCTGGTCTAGTCTTTTTATCTAAGTAACCCAAAAATTTACCCACGAATAATGGGTCCCAATGTTTGCACAGAACATTTTCTGTCTATGAATTAATCGGTGGAACTTAAAGAGTGAGTCTAAATTATACATGAACGCAAGTAAGTTTATATTTTAATATTTTAATTTAAAGTTTTATATTTTTCTTAAATAAATATATTTTTCTATTTTTTATTTACTTTCAAATATCTCTTGTAAGTTAGTACATTTAGAAAGTTGAGTGGAATGGATATCACAATGATAAAATAATTTATTGATGGAGAGGCAAGTACAAGGTGGAAGCCAGAGAGAAGCATTTATCCTAATTGGACTGCATTTTGCAATTTGGAACTATATATTCTGGCTCTTCTGGAAAAACACTTATGTGCATAGGGAAACTAATGGCACATACGTTGATTTTATACTGGGCTAGAATTTATAGTTCCAAATTGCAAAATGTAGTCCAATTTCAGGCAATTTGTCCTGCAAGTTCATTATGGTTGAAGTAGCATGCGCTACATGACATCCGTCTGTTGTAAACTCCGGGCAAATTTAATTGTTCATGCCAAGGAAGAATGATAGCGTCTATTGGTTTTAAAAATACAAAATACTATGAGAAAATGAGGTGGACTAAAGGAATTCAGCCTTTTGTATTGAAATTTATCAAGACTTCATGACCTAACACAGCCAAGTGCTTACTGTGCTTTATCAGGTACAGAATTTTTTCATAACAAACCTCGTCTAATTAATTTTATTTAATCAATCTGTATTGACTCTTGTATGAGGGTAGATAACATCATTTGATTAGTTTCATTCACCCTAAATTGAAAAATTTATCGCCTCATAGTTGAACAATGTTTCAGATGAAAAAGGAAAAGACTTGAATGAGATAATCAACAGTTTTTATTAATCTTGGATTACATTTCACAGCCAACATTCAGAGTCCACAGAGAGAAAAAAAGGAAGTGATAGCAGTTGCTGAGTGGTTTTTACCATCATGTTGGTGGATACAACATGGCGTCCATATTCCTGCAAAGTCTGATAATGGAAAACGATGCGTCATTTTGGCATGTTTCCACACGAAAGATAATCTTAACCAATTCTTGGGAGGTGTAACTTTCTCTCATAAACCACACCATTTTCGAGAACTTTGATCACAAAAATGTCATCAATGTCCTCTCAAAATGCAAGCACTTGCAGTTTTCCTCTATTCTCCGAAACCAATTTTCTCTGCTTCTAGGGTGAGAACTAAGTGAATTCAAGGAATAATTAGCCCACCAGGAGGCAGATGAATTAAACGGTTAAAGAGAAGAAAAAAGAAACATTCAAAGGCGTAGGAAGGGGGGGCCTGGCCCCCCCTAGAATTGAAAATAGTATCATCTGCCCCCCCCCCCCAGAAATTCTGGATGGTGCAAAAGCACCTTCTTCAACGGTAAGTCTCTGTTGCCGTGGCCCGTGAGAGGATGCCTATAAATAGAATAGCCTGTTGAATGCAACAATTTCAAAGTATCTTAACCTTAAAATGCATTATACTGGGTGATTTTTAGGCAGAAATTGAAGGAAGATTAGCGCCACTAGTGCCTTGAGATGCGCTCAAATGGAGTTACAATTTCAAAAATTTTCTGGGGGAGGCCCCCCAAACCCCCCAATGGTGGGGGGCCAGGCCCCCCCAGCAAAATGACTTAGCTACGCCTATGTATAATGTAATGATATGATATTGACACAAACTCTCATCAGCATATCGAGGCTATCAACGACCGAAGTTTCCACTAGTAATGAATATAAATGGAAAATAGGTATAATCTGGACTAGAAAACTAACACTCTTAAAAGTGCCTTGGTTTTACCATAGAATTAGCAGGAGGTTTCCCTTTCATAATGATAATCCCTTTTAAAGTCAAATCTGGTAGTTTCGCTCATGTTAGAGGTGTTGTCGGATAAGTTAGCCGTTGTTTACTTCTGGTTTGCAAGCGCAGACAACGAATTAAGGCCTCTGCACAAAGTGGCGTTCGCTACTATCCATCTTATAAACATCCGTCTCATGATCGTATTGTAAAAACACCACTAATCAATTATGATTCAAGATTTTTATGTGGTTGTGATTTCTGTGAGGCTAAAAATTGAAGTGTTACAAGGTTTGAAGGTAATAAAGAACTTATCCAAGCTTGTGTTCTCGCTTTTGTGAGAGTTGGATGTTTTCATGTGGATAGTAGTGATGCAAAAACGCCTGCAAACCGAAAGTAAACAATGGCCAACTTATCTGACGACACCTCTACCAATGTTAAATCTATCATTAAATGATTAAACTTTTGTTTCTTTTCTGTTGAATGCAACTTAAGGGCAGCCATTTTGTGTGGCTATATCATGCTATTTTTGTGTCATTAACTAGTTCACGGACAAGTCAACATATTTTAGAAAAGGACTGAACAAAAATTAGAATAATATTTAAACAAATATTCGGAAAAAGCAATTTCATTTTAAAATAAAATGGTAGTTCTTCAAGGCACTCACTGTTTAGGGAATTAATTTATTGATGGCAAGGATAAATAACGAAAAACATACTCTTGAAATTAGACGTTTTTAAATATCCGATTTCTAGCCTCGGTTATCCATATTTTGTTTGATTTTTCTCGCTTTTTATCCTTAACACATTTCAGGTTACTGCATTGTTTGTACTTCTCTGTACATACATTGATGGCTTGACTAATTCAGCCTTAGATAAACTCGCAAGTTAAACCCAGTCTTTGCCGATAGCAGAATCAAGTAAGAGAGGTTGCTGTTCATCCACGAACTGAGGACAATGGTCCTGAGACATCAAAAAATAACTTCAGCATGCAAAATCATTTACCATGTCATCGTGTCTAATCGAAGAAAATATTACAGGTTATTATCCTTCTGAAAACTTGGATTTTCAAAATGCAAGTTACACAAACTTCTTTCTACTCAGTTTATGCGCAGTATTCTTTGCGATCATCATCTGAAAGACTATTGGTTTTGGAATTTTGCTTGTGAATCTGCATTCAAATTTCCCCCGGTAGATTTTCTGTTTTTTTAATTTTGTCATCCGTGTCATCATTTTCAAGATAAGTAAGGAGGTTGTCATCCTCAAAGATTGGGAAGAAAAACTCGGGTTGATCCCAGACTTCTTTCTCCGGTAACCTGAAATGCTTTGCTTCTTCCATATGGACTAACAATGCTGAGTTGGATTCAGCTTTACTATCACAAATAATGCACCGTGTGTCTAAAACTTTCCGTCGAATAAAATTGACTACTTTAACTTTTTCATAAAAATGGAGACCATGAGTCAATTCCTTAAAACTGAAGTTGTGATAAGCAGACATATGTAAAAATATTCCAACATCACTATGAGCAGACCGAGGACAGAATAGACACACGATGTTGGATTCTTCTTTTTCCTCCCAATCGGACCAATGCCCATCCTCGTCTTCGCTGTCAGAACGGTAACCTTGATGCCTACAGTTAATTTGAGTTTCATCTTGCCACGTTTTCCCCATCTCACGATAGTTAACGATGTAAAACTGATTGTAAAATCGATTCCTAGGGTTAGGTCTTTTGTGTCCCTTCTTCCTCATATGCTCACGAAGCACGTTGCGGTCTTTAAACGTTCTTTCGCAGAAGATACAGATAAGATTCTTTATTTTATCTTCAATATTATCTAGAAAATCATCAATATAAACTAAGTTGTCCGGTCGTCCCAACTGGAGGTTATGATTAGAGGCTAAGTGTTCCAAGTATTTTGCTCGGGTGCCCGTTTCCTCGAAACGACAAAAAAGACAGCATCGTTTGAAACTGGTATCTTCACGTTCAAACTGTTGTTGAGTAAGCGCAGCTTCCTGCCAAAACAAAGAGAGAGAAAGATATGAATAATGGCAATTGAGGAAAGATGGTAGAAGGATCGATAATAACACATTGAATAAAACTGCTAGATTAAAAATTGATGGTTAAAATTATCATTTTTATTTACCAACAGATACATTTGTAGTGGAACTCAACACCTCAGTTGAACTGCACTTTGCAAATTGAGAACAACAATACCTGGAGCAGTTTAGAAACAACATAAGTACCAATAGGCAATAGTTTCCCTCTCAGCTAATGAGCCAGAAATTGTAGTTTCCAATTGCAAAATCAAGTCCAGTTAATCAGTGCCTAAGCGAGAGGCAGGAGACTGATGAGCATTGGCGGTGGATCACACTAAAGCCAGCCAGAAAAAAATTAAAAAAGAAAAAAGAAACGGTTCCTTTTTTTTTTTCATCTTCACATTTTTAAACACCTCGTGTCTTGACAGTTCTGCCATCATCTTGCCTAAGTGAGCAATTAGCGAAAAGATGAAGTTTTCAGATAATGAACCTAGTTGCGTCTGAGCGGAAAATTACATCCAACAACTCCTCAGCTTTTTGTAAAATTCTTACTAATCATTCAGAGAACTCTTGGAAATTGTTCAGATGATTGAAAATCCGAGGATTTTCCTTTTTTACTATGAAAAAACGGCTATTTTGATTTTGTGTTAGGCAGGACAGCAGTGAGTACTATCTTGGTTGCGTTTTGGACACAAAACAAACAAATTTTAAGATTACAAATCAGGAGAGAGGGGCACGATTTTACTCAATAAGCACAACTATCTAGCAGAAAAATGTCCCTTACTGCCGTTTTGTTTCTACGTCACTTTTTGCGCAGTTACTGCTTGCTGTCTCATAGGTCTCATTTTTGGACTTATGAGACATATTTTTATGTTATAACTGAATCAATGAGTTCATTTGAATAAGGAAGCTCGATTTAAAAATTTCTCTCTCCAGTCATACAGCAGGGTGGCATGACCTCCCTATTAAATGCAAACCCAAGGGATAAACATCAAATGAGGTTTTATTGGTAGTTTACTTGAAAACAGGTCGTTTGACTAATAAGATTTCACTATTGGAGGGCGCAAGTTAAAATTTTAGGTGACCAACTCGACTAAAATCAAATCGTGGAGGAAAGACTATGTTTTCAGCTGCAGAATCCAAGAATGAACTTTGTTTTATCCCATATGCACTACTCTTCTGCAAAAAAAAAAAAAAAAACCGAATTTTACCTGGAAAAACCAATTTGTTGAGAAAATCTTGAAGGGATGGAATTCTCTCCCTAGCTTGACATTGAAAATATACAGGACTTAATCAAGCTATCTCTCAATATAAGACACAATTTCCAATTTACAGGGCTGTGCTGTTGTTACATAGTAAGCCTTAACTTCACACAGCAACACAAATGGGAGGATTTAAAGTGTTAATTCATCACACAAACAACGCGAAATCTCATACTTACTAATTTTTCCTTATGTAAGTGCTGCCGCAAGCATTTATCTTCTTCAACATGGTCAGAGAGCATGTAACACTCAACATCTTTTTCAATGTCACATTCGTGCTCAATGTCAACCTTGAACTTGGTGCAAAATTTCTCAAGAGCATTAGAGCTGCTTTCAAATTGAATCCTCCAAAAGTCCAAGTATCTGCAAATATAAAAGAAAATATCTTGAAGATGCTGTATGTGAATATTAGGTATTGGGTAAATATGATATCGACGGTGAAACTACCAAACCACGTATCTCAGTTTGCGACGTCGCAGACTTCCTGTCATACTTTATTTTTTAAATGAAAAACTACTTAACGTCCAGTCTTGAAAATTTCTGTGATTTTTCCTCTTCGTGCGGAAAAAGTTCCGCGAAAATTTCAAGGAATGATATTGATTCGGTTTACTTCAAAAAAATAAAATGTGAGCGTAGATTTTGAAACACCGCAAACGAGATACGTGGTTTGGCAGTTTCACCGTCGATATACTTTATCACTCAAGCTGAGAATCCTCCATATTTACCAAAAGAATAATTTCAGTTTTGTGATTATTTGATAAATGCTCTTCAAGACCTCCTGAGCACAATTAGCTTTCGCAACTACAAATTCAATGTGCCAATTTTGAGAAAAACAGCTGGGAAGAACATTTTCCTGCTTTTAACAAACATTTTTTTATGAAAATGCAGCTTGCTACTGTGGCGGATATGCGGAGCCTTTAGTTCTGGAGCAGTCTGTCTTCTCTTCCTTGCTAACATGCAGCAAGGATAGGTACCTTGGTTCAATAGCACCATATTTTGCGTATTTGCCCTGCTTTTACTCCTGGAACAATTGATAATATCTGACCTATAGATTGATGGAGGAATCATGATTGAACGATAGTTGCAATTGTGCTTCTTTGGATCTTTAACACTCCTGATTGACTGGGCATAGTGACTGACGCTGATTTGTTTGAGTGGAAATGATGCCAGACTTGTTCGCCACCCTCTGAAGTGAGGCTGACAATGAGTACCTATCAGCCATCAGCATCGAAGATCTACCAGGACGCAAAGAGGTTAAGTCCCAATTTGAAGACTGAGGCACAGAACTTTTTTCGCTCCCTAAAATTTGAAAAACATGATCAACATTGGTTCTTATCTCTGAAAGGGTCATAAAATTTGGAACAGTTGTGAGAGACAAGAGCTGGGTGCAAGAAAGTCTCAGCTAAAAGGGCTTTGACTAGTATATGGTACAGAATCATAGTCATTCGATTACTCACTTTTTGAGATTACTGATGACATGACCTTCCGCAATGATGAAATGATGCGTTACAAACAAATGCTTCAAGATATTTCCTTCCTCTGAGGGTAAAGTGAATCTTTCGTCGCAAAACAAGCATGTTGCGAACTGATTTTGCTCAAGAGATGAACACGGTGGTTGTGCTGCGGCAGGTCTGTAAAACTGCGACAGCCTGGACATGCTAAAATTTCATTAAAATACTTAAGGGATAGTAAAATTTAATGGTAAAATCACGGAATTTGGGATCGAAGGACAGGATGACAGGAACCCAGCAACTTTCTTAGAACTTTATTTCCTGGGGGGCATCGACACGTTTTTAGGTTATGTTGATATTTAGCTTGAAACTTATTTACGTGTTCACCACCTTAGTAGTCAAAGTTTCACTATTGAGAAAATTTATGTGATTTCATCAGTTTTTTTTTAAATCAAATTTTTCGCATCAGCGTGCCAGAAAAATTAACATTTGTGAAAATTGAGCAAAATCAATTAGTTTTTCCTGCCATATTTGTGTTTTTTCTAGGTCTCAGTTTTGAAATTTTTTCCACAATCAAAGAGTGAAAAGTAAATAAGAGTGGCACCCTGTATGTGCGTGTTTTGCTTTTTTGTTTAGTTTTCATAAACAACAACAACAACATAAACAACATAACCTCACATGTCCAACCGGTTTTCATATCAATTTACTGTTTGCACTGTTCTAATTTTTAATTTTTCGTATTTCCCTCGCTGTAATTAGGCAGTGTGAAACAGTTTTAGCTAAAATTAATTACTATACATCGCGATCAAGATGAAAGAAACAGCAAAATTAGAGCCCAACATGGTGAAGAATAGAGAGCTGCTTTACCGACTGATGATCAGGTACATATCTTTCTGATGAATTTATCGTCACAGAACAATGCTACATCAATGAAATTGTAATTTTTTTATCTAGCATCACTACGGCGGGCCCCTTTTTTTCATTAAGTGACGTCACATCTGAATCTGGGGATGTGCTCGTTTTTCTAGAATGCCTTGCTTCTCTTCGTAGGACATTCTAAGTTTTTCTTTATTTAGACAGAGGAGTTTGATGTTTTTACAAAGCGTCATTGTGCGCTATTACTCTACAATTTGGCAATGCTTGAAGGCTTGTGAGGCGTCCTTCCTGAGCATGGCAGCAGGCTGATTTTTGAAATCTATGGTCAAAGCTATAGTTGAAGAAAACAAGGGGAATATGAGGGCTTTTTTTATCCGAACCACAGTGGACCGCAACGGAATGCATCACTTTTTTATCGCGTTCCACTGGTGTGTTCCATGTGTTCCAGAGGAACGCTTGGACCACTCTTCTGAGGTAGGTTGAGGTTGGTTCAAGCTGGTTGAACCAGCCCGAACCGCTATCATTGCGTTCCACGGTTTAAAAAAAAGCCCTATGGAGGGATCCTGGTTGGTTGAAACAGGTGATTGCTATAGACTAAGGGGAAAAATGATGGGCTAACTACAGTGACTTTCATAGGCTACCATCAGTGTTTCACCCACTTACCTTCTTTGTCCATCGCAACCACCCACCTCCACCAATAGGATTGCTCCATTTCCCCTCTGTCCGCTTTTATGGTTTCGTCTGTTAATTTCAATTATAAGGCTGCTGGTCCCTTTTTCCATGAATGTGAAGTCAGCATTGTGTGTGTAGTTTGCTTCAACTGTGCGGTGCAACTAAGTTGAAATGAATTTTTTTTTAAAGTTTTGGTTCTTAAGTTAAGTTTTGCTTGAATGATTTTCAGTCAGCTCTTCTATGATGGGCATCAAAGCTTGGCAGTGGGATTGTCAGGGCTGGTGGAGACGGACACCCCTTGTCCACCCTCAGACAGGCTCCTGCACATCATGATGATAGGGCTCCAGCACGAACCTGACAGGCAGAAGAAAGGCGAACCGGTCCCTGGACTCAATCCAATCCAGCAAATCTTGATCGGCCCCGGAATCGGTTAGTCAAATTTACACCTTCCTTGTCCTTTGTCCATCTCGTCCATCATTCATGCAGCTCTCCACTTCCCCGAAAAACTACGTCACGCCAGACTCCTCCTTTTTCTAAACTCATTGCATGGACACAAGAGTCGTCTAGACTGTAAGTAAGTTGAATGTGTAGCCAACACGCTTAAAAAAAAAAATTTTTTTTGAAGCATTGCTTAATTTTTTGTCTTATGAAATTGACATAATATTACATCTTATCAACAGCTGAAGTGTGTTTTCCTCTGAAGTCAAGAGGGAACATCATAAAGAAAAAACTGAGCAAGACATCAAGGAATGAGAAAACTCACTTCTTTTAAGAAGTAAAAGTCATTGACTCTCTTATTGAAACCAGAGCCAAATGTAAGGCAGGTCTTGGGTCAAATAAAGTTTATTACATGTTTGTCTTTTTTAAATTTCAGACTTAGAGTATGAAACTGACGTGGCTCCAACAGCCCCTGAGCCTGCTTTATATGAAACAGCTTATGTCACCTCGCATAAAGGTAACTGCCGAGCAGGAGCATTTAGTTATGATGGGCAGTTAGTAGCCACAGGAAGTGCTGATGCATCTATCAAGGTTAGTACAACTAATTTTATTTCCAACATCCTTGATATAAAGAGTATAAAAAAAGAAACATCTTATCTACTTTTACATTCTTAGCTAGTCAACAAGTGCCTACCAAAGTTATTTATTGTTAATTGTAAAAAAAATGTATTTAAATTTTGTTGTCTTAATACAAAGGTCCTGACGATGGCAACTGTGCCGAAAAGCTTTGACCAAAAACTATATCAATAAACCATTTTATGTAGATAAACACTTGCACATTTTTAGCACTTTGGCTACACACCTACCTAACAAGAAAAAGAGTAGCTAGGGTAAAGGTGTACCCTAAGAGAGAAGGGCAACAAAGAAAAATGGATTTTGCAGCTCTCTGATGGTATATTAAGGAACTATCCATTTCAACATCAAGTCTTAACTTACCTTCAAACTTTCCATTAATTCCGGTCTGGATCAAAAGAACAGTTGGTATCGGATCGGGGCATACACACGAGCTATGTTCTTAAACTGAGTTTTCAAATTCAAATGTTCCCAGGTATAAAATTGATGAAAATTTAAGGGCAGATAGGTAGGATCACCAATTTCAAATGAAGTGATCAATTTTTGAGATATAGTAGAACTGCAGTTTCAAAGATAGCAAAAAATAATGGGGGTGAAAAAATTCATAATTGAGGAGGGCCAAAAATAATGTTTCAAATGGGTCTCATTTTCGGCATTTTTATGACAAAGTTCCTTCGCCATTCATGGCTCAAAAAACTCTGAAAACATTTCTAGAAACTTAGTTTATTCTGTATTTTCAGAAAATGAATTAAAAAGAGATGAGTACCATCTGACCCACTTGAAACGCTGGTGGACTGTTATTCTTTTTTTCAGATATTAGATGTTGACCGAATGTTGGCAAAGTCTTCTGCAGACGGACTTGAACCTGAAGGACAAGGTCATCCTGTGATTCGAACCCTCTATGATCACTTGGAGGAGGTCACAGCATTAGAATTTCATCCAACAGCTACTGTCCTAGCATCAGGTTCTGCAGATCACACGATCAAACTATTTGACTATGCCAAAGCGTCGGTGAAAAAAGCCCATCGAACCATAACGGTAAGACACCCCAACCTTTTGATTTAAAGCAAATGGTTTCTTTTCTGAACAGTTCTGAATGTGAAACAGAAAAAATTAATGTATTAAAGAGAGGGGTAAAAGTCTTCCTCTGTGTTCTCAATGGGCTCTGTGTTAACAACAGCATGATTTTAAAACCATTCAATTTCATTTTTCACTTCTCTAAATAAGCGCTGGAAATATCTGAAAACTCTCGAAAAATTGCCCAAACTCTGTCATGTGTAGAGACATCATACTCAGTGCTACATTAACTCCAATTTTAGTCACTAGTGAGCTTTCTGATGAGTGTCGACCTCTCCACTTACAGGAAAAGGGATTCTAGTTCTGTAGGCAAATTTTTTAGAAGGATAATTCATGTCAAATAAAGTTGGGTTGAGACCTGTCAAGATTTTTAGTTTATGACAAACATTCTCTCTTGCATGTATCCTTAAGAAAAAGTTGCTAGTAGGTGAGCTGGTTCATTTTTGTACCTATAAAAAGAGGTTACTACAATTCCATTTTAAATGACAATTTTAAGCCTCAATTAAGGTATAAACTTTTTAAAGCCCCTCTCAGAACTGTGTATCTTTGACTGCAAACTTTGAAATGTCATGATTCCAGTCTAATTTGACATTTTTAAATATTTGTTGTGCCATGATGTTCATGAAATTTTCGTCCATGCAATGACACCAATAACTCAATCAGTACTTTTTCCGTACTGAGGTTATCTTATGTTTATTATTTATCCTAGTTCTACTCTATTCTTAAAATCATTATTTCTCAGGATTCGGAAAAAATTCGTTGCATGTCATTTCATCCAAGCGGAGATTATTTGATCGTCGGAACAGAGCATCCTGTCTTACGACTTTATGACTCAAATACAGGGCAATGTTTTGTTTGCTGCATACCAAGCCATCAGCATGAAGGAACCATAACCTCTGTGAAGTAGGTATAATTTGACTTAACTGCATAATTTCAGGAAAAGCTCAGTTGAAATTAAGAGAGATCAAAAAAAAATATTGTGTTCATTGCTGTTTTCCTTCAGTTTGCACTCTTTTTTGATCTCTAGCATATGTTGTCCCGATTTCTTCACTGGAACCATTTGAAAAAAAATGTTAAAGGAGGAAAGTCAAGGAATCTATCAGAAGTATTTGAAATTTACTTTTTGGATTAAATGTTCCATGAAATCTCATTATATTACAGCTCTAAGTGCGCCTAAAATTCGTCAGAAATTCGTGTGAGGAATTCCTCCCCCACGCGCCGCGCAGGCCCACCGGCCACTCGCCGCAGCGGTAGCCTCCTTCCCCCTCCCGGCACCGTCCTCTTCATTGGCTTTTAGAACACTATGCAGCCGCGGCCAGTGGTTCCTTTCCATCCCTCTCCTCTGTTTCTGCAAGCACTGCAGCCGGTACCGAGGAGGCTCCCGCTTTTCTTACGCCCTCCCAAAACTTTCTAGGCTTTTCCTAGACATGAGGAGGGCGTCAGATGGCGACGAGTAGTAACTGTTTCTGAAACTTTCCAGAACTCTCTCGAATTTTCATCATTTAAGTGACCGTTAGTAAAGCAATGACCCTCATTAATCCTCTCCAAAACTTTATACAATTTTCTCAGACTTTCGTAAGGTGTCATGATTGACAATACCTTTTCTCGAATTTTCTTGAACTCTCTCAAATTTTCTCCAGGCAATGCGTAATTAAATTGATGCCCTCACCATGTCCTCCCGAGAGCTTTCTAGAATATTCTTGAACTTTTAGAAGAGTATTGCAAGATGATGAGTCGCATTTGTTTCTGGAACTTTCTCGAATGTAATTAAAGTGGTAGTGACAGGAATGTGGCTCGCAAAGCGAGTACAATCGCTTGCGAAGCGAGTGATGGGGTCCAGGTGGTGAAGCCCCCTGCCTAGTAAATATTTATCAAGAGAATTGTCAACAAATTTTTAGTTACAGTAACTTCATATCCAACAGTGCACTTAGCAGTATGTAGGAGAGACTGGGAAGACCCATGAAAGTTAAAGGCAAAACTGTTTGAAAGGTTCAATATTACTTTTTACCAATAAGCTGATCTCTCAAGTTCACCAATTCATTTCTGCCGACTGAGTTTTTCCCATTTTTTTTTTGGTCCCTTTTTTAGATGGGCCTTAAATGGAAAGTATTTTGCTTCAGCCTGTCGAGACGGTAGCATTAAAATTTGGGATGGTATTTCAAACAAGTGTGTCAACACATTTTTAAAAGCTCATGATGGTGCTGAAGTCTGTTCTGTTACCTTCTCGAGGAACAGCAAGGTAAGCAAATTCCTTTTTTTAGTTCATCTCACTTCAAGCCTTTAGTAGGAAACCTAGAAAATCTAGTTTTTATGCGTGATGGTTTACAGGGAAGGGATCCTTTGTGTCAAAAAAGTATAAAGAATAATCGGTGTCATGGATAGAAGAGTGTTCTCAGTAAAGTCTGGTGTTAGGAACACCGAAAAATGCCAAATTCTTCTTAAACCACTTTAAAGTCAGCAGTTAGAATGATTAGTATTGATGATACACTAACCAATACTTTGATCTGCTATTTTTGGGGTTATTATATTTGGCGATTAGAACGCAATTTTAAACCATTTTTAGCACAGAAATAAACCAAACTGTTTGATATCTACTCTGTACAACCCTGCAGAAACTTGAATTCAACTCGATCAAACCAGAATACCTCTTCTGAAAAATTTGCCCATGCACACTAAGGTCTTTTTTCTTGCAAACTGTCACTTATTGTGTCATTAAGTGATCTATTTTACACAAAGAGAATGAGTGATTCCTTTTTTGCTCCTCTGTTTATAAAGGATACGCCAAGGAAAAGTAATTGATTTTATATTCCTAAATCAAGTTGCGTGTTTCCATTGAAACATCTCTGGTCAAAAGTCATGTCGAGGAGTCAGGAAATAAATCAAAGAATTGCTATCACTCATCTTTATCAAAAATACATTTGTACACTAAAATTAGGGTGGTTTCTCAGTTATTATCTGGTCTAATCTTTTATTGTTTTTTGTCTCACAATCAGTATGTGCTATCTTCTGGGAAAGACTCATTGGTCAAGCTGTGGGAACTTTCAACAAGTAGATGTCTAATTGCTTACACTGGAGCTGGCACAACGGGTAAATTCTCATCTTTTGATCCTAGATTTATCATATTGATTTTTGAGTTTCATTAATTTAAATGGAGAACCCTTTTAAAGAAAAAAAAGAGGCCAATAAATGAATGATTTCCTCAATATTGCCTATTTTCCTGTCATTGCAATCCAATCATCAATGCAACCCAATATTTTAATGTACTCTCTTTATTCTTTGGATGAAATTCGTACCTTGAGAAAATTTTTGTTCCTGCAGTTAGAGTTTGTAATAACGGCATCCGTATTTGCCTTTTAAAAATTGGTGAAAAATTTAAAAGCCCAACAATATGAAAATCTTTAATAAATGAGTATGCAATGTAGGTGCTGCAAAATAGAAAATAATTTAAAACTCTGAATGAACCTGCAAGAATCACTGATTAGGCTCGAATGGTTAAGGCTTTTACATGAAGCTGATTGATTTGCCGTAAGAAAAATTAACCGCACTACGTCAAAACAATCCTAATCGATTTTTGGAATTTTGTTATGTTAAAGTCCTCATGGAGAGCTACCTGTTCTATGCATGTGTTATCGAAGAATATATGTTTTCAGCTTCGCACTGAAACTTGTTTACCTTATCTGAAAGAATTCATCAAAGGGTAATAGTGGAAATCAGTTGTTGTCTTTGTCAGAAAATTAGGGATTTCCAATGCATTTATTCTCAAAAAAAGGTTTTCCCAGTGGGCGTGTTTTTACAGCTGTCTCTTCAATTCTTGGTATAACAAGGAAATTTTGGTAACATCAGATGATGTCAAAAGTAGTTGTCATCTATGCGTAGAATCAAACGTGAAATTCCTCTGTTTTCAGGCAAGCAAGAGCATAGAGCGCAAGCTGTCTTTAATCACACTGAAGACTATGTAATGTTCCCTGATGAAGCTACAACATCTTTGTGTGTCTGGAATGCGCGAAACGCTTCTCGACAAAATCTACTCTCCTTGGGTGGGTTTAAATCAATACTCCAAAGCAAATAGTTAATTCCGTTTCAGCCATTACGTGTTATTACGGGAAGAGGGCATGCTGGCTCCATTGAATCCAACAAAAATGTGTAGCAATTTTTGGAGCTTCAATTCTCATACTTGGCTTGATACAGAGCAACCAACTTTTTTATAAACAAAAAATAGTTACTGGGTGGGTGTAAAAAACGCGAATGACTCAATTTATCCGATAAGACGATTTACGCACTTTCTTGCTCTGAGTACTAGATGATGTCATGCATTTTTGAAATTATTTAATTAATTCCAAAGGAATTGAACGAAACATTTTTCACTAGCCAAATGTGTTATTTTATTACCAGTTTGGACAGAAATTTGATCAAACTCATTAGAATTTAAGAATAGTCCCCACCAGTGAAGCAGCCCAAGTTTAAGGAAAGTTGGGTTTTAAGAGAATCTTGGTTCCGATCAGTTCTGTATTTTCCTGTGAAAGGTTACTCAAAGTATTTGAAGTCTATGTCAAAATTAATATCTTATGTTCTATTTGCAGGTCATAACGGTCCAGTACGATTGATTGTGCATTCACCTCATTCCGCCTCTTTCCTGACTTGCTCTGATGATTTCCGTGCTCGATTTTGGTATCGGCGGCAACTTCATGCAGTCTAATGCGTCCGTTTTCTTCTCTTTTGATCTCATCATTTTCTGCAAGGTAGTCCTGTCATTTTCAACGTTGCCACAGAACTCATCTTGACTAAGAATATTGATCAAACGAAATTTTCAAGTAATATTCAGCGGAATGAAAAACAGAGTTTATTTTATATGAGAAAGGAGCGTACATTTTAAATGTTTCATCATCTGTCCTAATCCATCAACAGAAAAATCAGCTGTTCAACTGAGGACCGTTTTTATGTGATTATAGTGATGAAAAATAGGAAAATTGAGGGAAAACTGCATTTGGTTCGTGCATTTTTGAATCATAGGAATTTATGCCACATGATTAGACAAAAAGTCAGGTGTGGAATTACTTTCTCATGGTGCCTAGTTTTCTCCAGTAAAATAATTTCACTACCACTCCCTGTATCATATCAAGGAAATTAGGGGAAATCATGGCTTCTGAGCAATAAATACTACTCTTGACACTGTAGAAAAAGTCAAGAGTATGACTACAAAATTAAATGTAAAAGAATAGATATTTAGCTGACAACCTTCATTATTTTTTATTCAGGCAAGTGAAGATAAAATAACTTTGATAATTATGTTTTAAAGCAGTTCCTTTTTTGTTTCTCCTTAAGACAAAAGGTTTTTCACCATCAGGTTGTACACTGAGGAAAGTGTGGTCTTACCACAATAGTACATAATAAAAGATATGATGATTCGGCTTTGACAAGTTTGTTTTAAAAAAATTACATACCAGTAACATTTAAATAGGGTTTTTTTTTCTTAAGATATTTAGATTTAAAAAAGTCTATAGAGCAGAAAGTCTTAATTTGTATCTACTGGAGTAATTTTAAAAATATCATCATCCTCATAGAATCAAGTTCAATTGTATCTTTTACTCTCAATCACCATAATACGAGGGTCATCCAAAAAGTAAGGTTCCCTGGCTTGTATCCTCCAAGCGAAAAGAGATAAATCAAATCGGTAAAAAAGCACATATCAGGCATACTGTAAGCTTTAAAACAAGCTCAAGTTTTTGAAAATAGGTCAAAGGGTTCGCGAGTAAACTTAATTTTACAGAGACAACCTCCTGTCGCCGCGTGCCCACCTCCGGGGTCAGGATGCGCGAAGAGTCGATTATTGAAGACTCGGGTTATCGCCTCTACACATCACATCAACAAGGAATTTTAAAGTTTTCATTGAGTAGGCCTTACCTTACTTATTGACGTAGTCTCAACATCTTTTTTGACATTTCTGGTATCATTACAGCAGCTTCTTGATGCCCTCCGCGTATAGAAACTTTCGCCTTGACTCTGAAACCAGTCATTGACAGCTATTTGTACCTCTGAATCAGTTGAAAATCGCTTCCATCGTGAAAGTTTTTCCGCTCGGGAACAAATGAAAGTCACATGAAGCTAAAGTAAGAGAGTTTGAAGGATTGGGGGAAAATTTCCCTACGCAAAGCAACTGATTTGGAAGTGCAGATCGCTGTCAATGACTGGTTTTGGAGTCAACGCGAAAGCTTCTACGCGGAAGGCATCAAGAAGCTGCTGTAATGATACCAGAAATGTCAAAAAAGATGTGGAGACTACGTCAAAAAGTGAGGTAAGGCCTACTCAATGAAAACTTTAAAATTCCTTGTTGATGTGATGTATAGAGGTGGATAACCCGAGTCTTCAATAATCGACTCTCCGCGCATCCTGACCCCGGAGGTGGGCACGCGGCGACAGGAGGTTGTCTCAGTAAAATTAAGTTTACTCGCGAATCCTTTGACCGATTTTCAAAAACTTGAGCTTGTTTCAAAGCTTAGAGTATGCCTAATATGTGCTTTTTTACCGATTTGATTTATTTCTTTTCGCTCGGAGGATACAAGGTAGGGAACCTTACTTTTTGGATGACCCTTGTATTTCATATTCCTGAAGAATGTTTTTCTTTTCATTTTGTTCATCTTCCTCAAATATATTTGTATATTTATGTATGTACATCATTTTTTTCATTAATCCACAAAAAAATTATTCTCATTTATCCCTTGATTACCAGCATATTTTGCCATGAGATGAGGCCTTTGACAAATTATGTCTTGTTACATTAGTGGCAATCACGTAAAGGCCCAAATAAAATTGTAATAGTAGGAATCACACAGCCCATCGCAGATGCAATGAAATTAATTTCTAAAGAAATAAATATAAACTATAATTCAAATTTTAGTATATATATCCCACCTATAATAGTTACCCGACCTATACAAACCCTCTTACATGCGATGAACCTAATATTGCCACCAAAATTCTGAAACTCTTCACCTCTCTTAATTTAAAAATCTAAATTTTCGTTTATACTCCTATTTTCAAAATTACCTGTAAAGACGTTAATAGCCTGAGTCGCTGAATGTCTCAAAATTATAATAACTAACTAACTAACTATGTCAGCAATTCTTTCGTTCACGATAACTATCGTTAGATTTACGTTAGCTTCTTCAAATTTTGCGATTTTGTCCATTTTGGTCTTATGAAGAACTGTATAAATTTTCGGTTAAATCGCATTTACCGTTTACTTATAAACGGTAATTAACGTAAGTGCCCTACTTACGCTGTTTTCCACTAAACTGTTTTTATGAAAGTTCCATTCCTTGGTTTCCTTGGTAACCTTTGTTTGCTATCAGCTGATGTTTTANATTTTTTGCACAATTTTGGTTATACGATATTAATTTTAGCGTTTAAACGCACAAACGTTTGAATGTTAATTTGATTGAAATTTAATTAAAAAACGGGCCCCTTAACCTACGTCACAAGGTCATGTGACACATACTGAGGCTCATGGGAAATTTTCAACTTTTCCATACCTGTGTAAATCTACCTTGCATTTTTCTAGCTCCAACACCCTCTCCCCACAACTCATTTTTCTATCGATTTTATCATTTTTTTTGTATGGCATGTCTTGCTCCCCTACCACCATTTTTTCGGGGTTATAGATATTTTAGCGGCCTCTAGACCCGTGACTCCAGTCACGGGCATTTCGCTAGTATATATATATTAGCCCCAATACTTAATATTGATTGCTCCTTGGTAACATGGATTATCTTTCCATTTAGTTACTCATTTAATTTTATGAAAATAGCAGTACTAATAGTACCAATATGTATGGCGTTTAGTGTAGTAACTATCATAATAATAAGATGATCATCAAACTCAAACTATTCCTTCATTGGGATAATTCGTACCCCCTGTAACCCCCCTGTGACCCCTGTAACCCCCTCTAAGACTCCACCATATTGCAATTTGCACCAGAAATCACCCAAAAATCTATGCAAAAGAGTATTTGATTACTTTACTAATGTTTGTTCACTTTAAATTTCGCTCAAAAATCTATCCTCTAATGCTCCTCAGCTGTGCCCATCCTCAACTGTAATGCAGTTACAACTGAAAAATGATTCAGTCCCATACTAAAGGAGACGCCAACCACTCACCTTCCGCGGCATCATATAACACAGCCCTCCGTTTTTTTCCTCATGCCGTCTTGCATGCCATGTCTTGATTCATTCTTATGTATTTTTTAGTGCTCAATTTGGAAAAAATATTCAAAACATTTCATCACGTCAGGATTTTCCGCAAAATCAAAATTTTGGTTTTTTTGGGGTAAAAATTTCCAAAAAATTGAATTTTTTTTTTTTTTTTTCAATTCAACCATTGAATTTGGTCTGCAGTACCTCCACTAAGTATGGAAAAACCATTGCTTGTCAAAAAGAAGCTTCCAAGAATGATACTTGTCCGAATTATGTCAAATTGTATGCATTTTTAGGTGATTTTTATCCCCCAAAAAATTGTTTTCCAGTCAAAATTTTTGAAAATACGACTCGAAAAGAATGTATTCCCCCATATTTGACTTCCGTTAGTACCCACTAATCAATCACCAGAAAAAGTAAACACAAGTTTCTAAAATATTGGGAAGATGGGGGCGGCGCCAAGATGTCATGAGAGCTCCACGCAACTAGCGGCTTCTCCCCACCGCGCGCCGCCGCACCGTGTTGCAGGTTCCGATTTATCTGTGTTTCACACACCTTTTTCATACCTCGACGTATTAGGTTTAGGTATAGACGTATAGGTTTAAACTTGTCTAGCGTTCTATCATGAGTTCAGTGGGATTTTATCCTGAATTACAGGGCTAAAATGGCAGACAAAGCGGTACGTTGTTTGAACGAGATTCGGTTCTTTTTTATGCCGAAAATTCGTAATTTCGGCCAACTGGCTTCCAGAGGGTGCCAAAGAACACCAGGTGTGTTTTTTTACATCTTTGGTGAGCTGATGGTGCAAAATCAGCGACTTGATATCACAGAACTTTTGAGGAAACCTGTGACGCGGCGGCGCGCGGCGGGGAGAAGCCGCTAGGTAGCCGCGTGGATCTCTCATGACAACTTGGCGTCGCCCCTCTCTTCCCAATATTTTAGAAACTTGTGTTTACTGTTTCTGGTGATTAAGGGTATTAACGGAAGTAAATTATGGGGGAATACATTTTTTTCGAGTCGTACTTTCAAAAATTTTGACCGGAAAACGATTTTCTGGGGGATAAAAATCACCTAAAAATGCATAAAATTTGACGAAATTTGGACAAGTATCACTCATGGAAGCATTCTTTTGACAAGCAATGGTTGTTTCATACTTAGTAGAGATACTACAGACCAAATTCAACGGTCGAATTGAAAAAAAAAAAAAAAATTCAATTTTTCGGAAATTCTCCCCCCCCCAAAAAAAACCAAAATTTGGAATTTGCGGAAAATCCTGACGTGATGGAATTTTTTGGATATTTTTCCCGAATTTAGCACTGAAAAAAACATAAGAATCAACCAAGACATGCCATGCAACACGACATGGCCAAAAACACGCAGGGCTGTGATAATTGATGATATCAATAGGAATTTGACCTGGAACTAGCTGAGCTGTTTATCTTCCTCTATTCTTGGGATTAGCACAAAGTGGCTCATCAGTTGATTCAATAATTTTCTCTCTTCTTATTGCAGGAACGTCTTCAATTTTCGGTTCTAAAAGGCTTAGGTTTCATAAGGTTTATTATTTAAGACCGCAACACAGAGTGCGCTTTAGTGCCATTTGTAAAAAATTGAGTCCATCGAAAAGTTAGAATGGTAATCATTTTATTGCGCAACAATTGTCAAACAAATTTCCAACGAGGTAAGTACTTGGTCAAAACAAGTGACAGAGTAAACTTAAAAACAAATACACATAACTTTTCATCTTAAAATTCCATCAGAAAGTGCCATGCTGACAGGGACAATCTATTTTTGAGAAACTCAACTAACTTACTCATAATATTCTTATGTACTTTCCTTCTTGTCAAGTAGAGTATTTTACTGGAAAATTCTCCTAGTTTTTTCAACAGAGAGTTTCCAGTCGGTGAGCTGATAGTTGAAATTAGCTTGCTTCTCAATCGAATAACCTTGATTAATAAAGCTCTACCGTTTATTCATATTATACCTATTCGCAGAAGTGCAGTTTTTGAAAAAATTGAGATATTCATGAGCTCAACTAAATCTAGTTTGAGAGCATATTCTGTGAAAAATGCACAACCAAAATCCAACTTTAAAGCATGAAAAAGTGAGTTTAAACTGAGTTTCCCACCATGAGGCTCCATGTAATTTTGAAACTTCAAACACGGGTCTCTTGAAATGGCAAAAACTGCTCCTATGCGCCTTGTTCTTCAAGCCCCTCAACTAGTTTGCAACTTAAAATCTCTGGATAGTGTTGCTTTTGTGTCAATACTGCCTCAGTGGCAACTTTAGCAGGTGCAAGTTACGAACTTTGATCCAATCGGCTGCCTATTTGCTGAAATTTTGTGTTTATGGGCTATAAGATCGCCTCTTCCTTTACTTTACAGTAAGGCTTTAGGAATTACTGCCAAGGGTGGGATTCTCCCTCAGGCAATGATACATAGGTTTGAAAACAAGTGATTCAACAATTTCCTCCAGTTCGATTGAAGTCCACTAATGAAGGATGTAACAATGCAACTCAAAAGTTCCCATGAAAGTATACTTTGTGATCAAAACTAGTATAAAAACTCTGCCATGGTTTCTTAAAAAACGAAAAAGTAGCTATCCCAAGCTATCCTTACTCAAATTAAAGGACAAGGCAAAATATGTGTGAGTAAAAACAATTGTTCGAAAATTAAAGAGTAACAAAGATAAAGAAGACTGTATTACTTTTTAGTACATAATCGCTAGGCAACAATAAAGAAATTGCTTACGATAAAACTAAAAAAGTGATTCTTATAAAAAAGTACGTATCTATTCTATATTTATCTATTCTGTGAAGTAAGAAATTGCTATTCTACTTTCTTAAAAAAAACATTGAACGGAAGTAAAAATAAGTAGGGAAAAACGATATGGAACACTTGGATAGTGGGTAAAAAGTCTTATCACATAACAAGGAAGCACAGGCATTGTTTGAACTATGAAAAATAATTTTTCAAGCACAGATAAGTGCTCTGAGAAATCATACGGTCAGTTTCTGACAAAGGAATTAAATAACAAGAGTAACATTACTATCCAATATTAACTGCAGCAAAGATATGAATAGAACTTTTATGATGGGGAACTACTATTTCTAGCAAAATGCGCAATGCACGATGGAGACAGGTGGTATGCCTTCTCATTAGTGGTAAACAGCCTTGTCTCCAATGGTACTCTCAAACAACTGATTGCTGCTGTGGGTACACAGCAGCAAACAGTAGTTACCAAAACTGGCCAACCTATCATTAACTCTTTGGAGTTTTGCACTCTGACCTATTTTCAAATTTTGTTTCATTTTCCCACAGAGTGCTGTAATAAAATATGTTTTGGCAATTCATTGCGATGATTAATTTCACAAAAACGTCTAATGGAAACAAGAAGTAAAACCAATAAAAAAAATTTCACAAGGACAAAATGAGATCAAAAAACCAATACAATTTCATAGTCTGAGCCAGAGGTAAAAAACGTCAACTGCTGACTCGCAATTCAGCGTTTTGCCTCAGAAATTTTCCAATCAGCCTTGAGGAAAAATGAAAAATAGCTGATTTTACAGCAAAATATGCCATTTGCTAGTGTTGTTAAAACAATGCACAGGAGAAAAACTACCATTAGCGAAATCTTGAAATTCTGCATTTTTTCCACCCCTGGTCTGAGTTAGTGATGCTTGAGAGAATTATTGTCAGTAACTCATAGTAAGTTTGGTTTCAATGCGACCACTAAGCCTTACTGTGAGCTGGAATGACTTTTNGGGGGGGGGGGGGGGTCTTTCAGTGTCAATTTAAGAAAATTCTGATTTCAAAGTGGTGGATAAGTGAAAAAAAATCATCTAGGTCCAATAGTCTGTTCAGAAGTATAAGCTTCCAAATTTAAAAAAAATAAGGGGAAGGCAGTTTCCTTATCCGTGGACAGGACATCTAAAGAACTCACCTGTCACAATGATTTTGTACTTCAAAATATTCAATACAAAAAAGATTGACTAAAAAAAGGATCTAATATAATTTTAGACAGTGCCAAAAAAAAAAGATAAAAAGAAAACACTGTTTCCATAAAGAAAAGTTAGGAGAATCACCCAATGAGAACTTACAACTAAATAACAATATAACAGTAATATAAAGATGCAAAATTACTTAAGTAAGGAAGTCCATGAAATAGGCCATTTCTGAAATGATGCTCGAAAAATAATTATTAGGACAATGAGCAGTCTTTGTTATCTGAGGCACTGAGGTAAGTTCCTTCAAATGTTCTTAGGTGAATCTGGAAAAATGCCATAAGAAAATAATCAAGTTGAGAAATAACAGGGCAATGAGACTACCGCCTGGCAGTCTAGTATCAACCTCCCAAAGAGAAGGGCGTATGAGAAATTCGAAGATTCCTTTCTTCTCGTTTTTTCTGAAAGGAAATCTCTTCTCTTGTGTTGACCCTTTTCATGTTGGCCACTCACTCTCAAACTCTCGACGTTACAAACTGCGCTAAATAAGTGCCATTTGGGAATGAGCGGTGTGAGAGAGCGAGCTAGACAGATTCATTTGTATGCAATGATCTCAAGACATCGCAGGTGAGTTGAACCATCGCCACAAGAATAGGGACCAATAGCATAATAGTGTAACTTTAAAAAGACACAAGATATTTAAATAAATTACTATACAGGGTGATCCAAAAGTCCCTTCCACCCCCTCTAACTTTTTACCTAATTGAGGTAAAGATTTGAAACTTGGGGGATATTCCTAGGTCAAAGGGAGCTACTTTTTGGCCCCCCTAAAATTTTCAGGGGGGCCCCCTTTGGGGGGCAACGGCCCCCAACTTTTAATTTTCAAATGGGAAGACCCCCTTTGTGATAGCTCGTTCGAAAGAGCATAAAAAAAGAAAACTTTTCGCGCAAACCCGAAGTCAATATCTCAAACCGTTTCAAAATGGCGGCCGGTTAAAGTTCAAAATGGCCGAAAATTCACACCGGTTATTTGTCGATGGATTTGCGCGAAAATCGGTATGCAGGGGTATTTTGACACGAGAAAAACGAATTTGACGTTAGATTTTCAAAAAAACCGAAATTTCCAAAATGGCCGCCGGTTAAAGTTCAAAATGACCAAAAATGGATTTTTTTTTAGAAATCTAAGTTCAAATTTGTTTATCTTATGCCAAAATACTCTTAAATTCCATGTTTTAGGCAAATCCATCAGGAAAAAACCGAGGTGAACATTTTCGGCCATTTTAAACTTTAACCGGCGGCCATTTTGGAAATTTCGGTTTTTTTGAAAATCTAACGTCAAATTCGTTTTTCCCGTGTCAAAATACCCCTACGTACCGATTTTCGCGTAAATCCATCGACAAATAACCGGTGTGAATTTTCGGCCATTTTGAACTTTAACCGGCCGCCATTTTGAAACGGTTTGAGATATTGACTTCGGGTTTGCGCGAAAAGTTTTCTTTTTTTATGCTCTTTCGAACGAGCTATCACAAAGGGGGTCTTCCCATTTGAAAATTAAAAGTTGGGGGCCGTTGCCCCCCAAAGGGGGCCCCCCTGAAAATTTTAGGGGGGCCAAAAAGTAGCTCCCTTTGACCTAGGAATATCCCCCAAGTTTCAAATCTTTACCTCAATTAGGTAAAAAGTTAGAGGGGGTGGAAGGGACTTTTGGATCACCCTGTATAGTGGTTAGGTATTGAAGAAATCTTTTATATCATAGTAGACTTCACTTTAGAGATATGCTTCCACCAGTCAGAAACTGTTTAATCTCTTTTTTTTTAATTCATTTTTTAAGAGTGGTAATAATGTTAAAAGCACTTAACTGATGAGAGTCTTATGTTCATTTTAGATGCATTCCAAATAATTTGTTGGTTACTGATGTTAAGGTGCTTAATGTTGTAAGTTGTTGAAATCGTTCTTCAGGAGTGATTATGGCATTGGATATTGAGTATTTCACACATTCAAGAATGTATGTAGAGAGGGGTGAGCAGTTGGGGTTGGTTAACAAATTGAGTTTCTACCTTAGGGCCCCTTTTACTTAGTTTTAGCGATAATTAATAGCTTACTTGGAGACTTGCAATTTTTAGAGCTTGGCAATATACTACAAAGTGTGTTGAGTAGCGGTTGAATTTGGAGTTCAAAGTAGAAAAGAAAGGAATGGTTCAATGATTTGTTCTTCCTGAAAATGAATAATTTAAAGCGATTCAAACATTCGCTTAAAGTCCCTATAATGCAACAAGTATTTACCATCTGATTTCAAGCATGAGAAATTTGAGTTTACTGTGAAAAATTAGGACAGAGCGAATAAAGAGAACTTACTTGGAGGAACAGATTGACTTCATCGCTCCTGCTTAAGTAGGGAAAGTTTCCTCCGGACTTTAAATGGGCGAGCTTTGCGTTTTTGTAGCAATCATAAATTTTCTCACGCACAGGGGTGGAGAGAGCACATTCATCGAAAACATCCATGATAGTGACCATTCGGACGTAACTCAATTTTTCCGGGTTTACCCTCGAATGAACACAATTTATAGTGAGCCGTGATGCCAGGTCCTGCTGCGAAAGACTGTCCAGCTGAAAATTAAAAATACATAAATTTATTATACTTCAATTTCTCAGGTTTTTCACAGAAAATATTGGGTAACTATTGACTTTTTGAAATGTGGCCTTCCACATGGAAAGGGACTTTGGGGCCTGGAAACATGAAATTAAGGTGTCAGTGCCTTTGCTTAGAGAAGGGTTGGACTAATATTTCGGCACTAAAAAATTTCTCTAAAATGTTGCAAACATGGTGGTTTGAGGTTTGCAGGTCAAAATCTGCAGGTCTGAGAAAAACTTCTTATCTACCAAAGTCAGGGTTCAGAATCTTCGAACTGAAAGTCAATCAGCTGCTTTTGACATAAAGATAAGCTAAACTATTGACAACTTACTCTTCAACTGAAACATTGTTTGTTACTAAGTTCTCAGGTCCTTTTTACTGCAAATACACAGACTTTAAACAGCCTCTTTCAAAATTTTAAGCTAGTTTCTTGGAGACATATAAAAACTTCTATTTAAGGCAAATCTTTCTTCTATAAATCAATGTGATAAGTCAACATTAACACAACACATTCAAAAGTTTTTGAAAAGGAGGAGTAACGTTTTGGGCCTTTTCCGGCCCCACCTGGATTTTGCTAAATGTTTCATATTTTCAAAGTACTAGTCTTAGGTAGACTCTGTGCCAAATATTAGACCGAACGGAGCCCATGCAAGAGCGCAGCAGCGCCTCAAACCCAAAATCCTGGAATCGAAAAACAATTATTTTCGTCGACTTTTTCGACTGTTATCACTCTTCCAGCACATGTTTCTTATGTATTTTTTTGCGTACTTTTCGTTTCTGGCCTTTTTAAAGGCCTCCGATAAATTTTAAGGGGCCTTATGGCCCATTGTTGCCATTTTTGGCCCATTTTTAGGGGTTTTTTCCATTTAACACATTCAAAACTCAATTTAATCCAAAAACTGTGTACATTTTTGAAAAGTACGTAAAAAAATGAATAAAAAATGTTCAGTAAAATTTTTTCCTATGTTGCCAAATTTCCGAGAAAATTGGTCCCAAAGTGTCAAAAACGGCAAAAAATCGATAAATCGCCGCGTCTAAGGTTCAAGAAAGTGGAGTACATTTTTCATACTGTACCAGATAACAGCTCTTATCCATCCATACAACATACTAAAATATCATAGTTGTACCTGGATTCCCACGATGTGAAAATTGACCGAGATGTCGATTTTAGCGGCCTTTTTATACTTGAAGGCAGCTCTTTTGAATGTTTTTCGACCTTAGTCACCCTCTATGGGTGTGTACTATATGTATTTTTCTACGTACTTTTCATATCTGGCCATAAAAATGGCTTCCTGTGAATTTTAAAAGGCCTAACGGTCCATTGTTGCCAATTTTCACCAATTTTTAGGGGTTTTTTCAAGTTTACGTGTGTGAAACTTAATTTAATCTAGAAACCGTGTACAATTTCGGAAAGAACGTAAAAAAATACATAGAAATGTGATTTGTACCTTTTCCCTACGTTGCCAAATTTTCGAGAAAAATCGTCCTGAAGCGTCAAAAATGCCAAAAATTGGATTAATCATCACGTCGGAGGTTCCAGGAAGTGAATTTCAAGTTTTTTTTCACTACAAATAACGTATCGAAAATGGAAAATTGCAATGCATCTCAAGGAACATGTAATGGCGCAGATGAACGTGACAAAACGGGCCCTCAAGGTGCTTTTACTTTATCCTTCACTCCAGTTCACCTCTTTATTCCTGTAACCTCGAGATAATCCTTGGTTCTCAAGATGCTTGCTACAGGCCAAATATACCGAAGAACAGAAAATGCGTGGAGAAAGTGTCCCACGATCCACATGAATGTCATAATTCACTTCCTGGAACCTCCGACGTGATGATTAATCCAATTTTTGGCATTTTTGACGCTTCAGGACGATTTTTCTCGAAAATTTGGCAACGTAGGGAAAAGGTACAAATCACATTTCTATGTATTTTTTTACGTTCTTTCCGAAATTGTACACGGTTTCTAGATTAAATTAAGTTTCACACACGTAAACTTGAAAAAACCCCTAAAAATTGGTGAAAATTGGCAACAATGGACCGTTAGGCCTTTTAAAACTCACAGGAAGCCATTTTTATGGCCAGATATGAAAAGTACGTAGAAAAATACATATAGTACACACCCATAGAGGGTGACTAAGGTCGAAAAACATTCAAAAGAGCTGCCTTCAAGTATAAAAAGGCCGCTAAAATCGACATCTCGGTCAATTTTCACATCGTGGGAATCCAGGTACAACTATGATATTTTAGTATGTTGTATGGATGGATAAGAGCTGTTATCTGGTACAGTATGAAAAATGTACTCCACTTTCTTGAACCTTAGACGCGGCGATTTATCGATTTTTTGCCGTTTTCGACACTTTGGGACCAATTTTCTCGGAAATTTGGCAACATAGGAAAAAATTTTACTGAACATTTTTTATTCATTTTTTTACGTACTTTTCAAAAATGTACACAGTTTTTGGATTAAGTTGAGTTTTGAATGTGTTAAATGGAAAAAACCCCTAAAAATGGGCCAAAAATGGCAACAATGGGCCATAAGGCCCCTTAAAATTTATCGGAGGCCTTTAAAAAGGCCAGAAACGAAAAGTACGCAAAAAAATACATAAGAATCATGTGCTGGAAGAGTGATAACAGTCGAAAAAGTCGACGAAAATAATTGTTTTTCGATTCCAGGATTTTGGGTTTGAGGCGCTGCTGCGCCCTTGCATGGGCTCCGTTCGGTCTAATATTTGGCACAGAGTCTACCTAAGACTAGTACTTTGAAAATATGAAACATTTAGCAAAATCCAGGTGGGGCCGGAAAAGGCCCAAAACGTTACTCCTCCTTTGCCAATGTTGATTGTTCAGTAGAATAGCAGAGTCAAAAAGAAAACTCAAGACAGTAGAGAAGACAAAGAAATTAAGGAGCATTCCGGATAAGGGGCACAGAGGCGTATGTGCCCCTTTTCTGGAAATGGCAGAAATGGATTCCTCGCATCTTAATGTACCAATGTCCCGAGTTTCAGCTTTATTGATTCATTTTTGGAGCTAAGAGACCACGTTTTGTGAGGCTAAGTCAGGGGTCACAAACGTATTTCATCTATTTGCCTCTGGGTACGATCGCCACGACGTTGAGGAGATAGCGCGCAGGCAGGCGGGGAGGTGATGGGTGCTGATAAGGATCCCTCACTATACAGATACATCGCACTGATTCTGCTACTCAATGCAATAGCATCGGGTTGTAAGGATTGTCTACGCGTTGCACTGGTCACACGTGAATTTTTGTAATTATTAATGATTCAATTTTTAATGGTCTCTTGTGAGTTTGAATTTGTCGATTTTTTTGCGTGTTTCGCTATCTTTTTCATTAATAATGATCGAAGATGATCCAACCGGGCGTTCTCGATTGAAATTATAATTTATTAGTTCATCAAAATTATTTATTTTCGTTTAGAAACTCGTTAAAGTCTCGAAAATTCAGCTTCAAAAGCCAAAACCTATGACCACCGGTCCATTTCCGGAAAAAGGGCACATAGCGGTAAATTTTAAAACATTCTTGCCACAACACTGAAAGAAGTGCAAGTTTTACCAATGGTCGTTATTCATTCTAGGGTGTATGAACGTTGATATGAGTGCCCCAGTTTCGATGTATGTCATCATCAGTGGCCAGAAAGTAAGAATGAAAACTTCAAATGCGTTTTTCTCACAACATTTTTTTTCGGTATGTGCCCTTTTTCCGGAAAGCTCTTCAATTTTGAAGTACGTATGTAGTACTAATCATTGTGAACAGCCAATGATGAGGGAGAATCACGCAATTTAATTTCGTTGAGGAAATTAAGATCCTTTGGAATCTCTAATCAGAACAAAAGAACGACAGATCAATGTTTAAGTACTTTCATGACTGTCTCCATAAATTAAGATCATAATGAAAAAGGGGAAAAACTGGGGAGGGAGGGAGGGCCCACAAATATTCAAGAACTGTTCATGAACATAGTTGTATTTTAGGTTCATAAGTAAATACTTAGATGGTACCTTTTCAACCATAAAATCAATGGAATCAACAATATGAGAGTCCACATCGCTAGTATTGAAATTTCGCATGACCATCTTTTTGAGCACTACTGAGGGTAACATCCAAAACCTGAAACAAGCATCGGAAATTCCATTATATTCCTTGGAAGGCAACTTGCTTTCTTTTCACTGTTTTCTTCTTGCAAAATAGTGGCTTCTGTCATTAAAGCTAGGAGTTTGCAGTGAAACATCCCACAAAACATATTGATTGATGGCCTATTAGAAGAATTAATTGTAAGTTTTCTACCAGCTGTAGAGTGGCAGTGAAGAAATCTCCAATCTCCTTCCTGTCTACTGAATCATTACGATGGCCGAAAAGCATGGTATGATTATGCCTCGGGTGTAGAAACATCTCAATCATGCAACTGGCAGGTCATGATTGGTTGAGAGCGGAAATGGGCGGACCTCGAGAACGAGTTACAAAATGGGACGCCTGCCAAAAAAGGTCTTGAGATAGGAGAGTGTGAGAATGGCGTCTTTTTCACAAAATTTTATAAATGAAACGAAGAGTGACAGAGGAAGAGAGAGAAAAGGTGGAGGGAGGAGGAGGAGGAGGAGGAGGAGGAGAGGAGGACTTTGAAAAATTTGGCAGGTAAAGGTATTTTTACAATTGGCTGACTTGTTAGAATAAATGGAGGGTTAAGGGCTTCCTGTATCTCTGTGCTATACTTGGAATTTAATTAACAACTTGCCGCCACTACATCTGCCTTTCGTAGGAAAAAAGTGGCTGCATGTATATTTAGACTGAGAGTACTAGTGGTTAGCTTTCTGCGTTTACCTTCCCAAATCTGCATGATTTAGGGAGGGGGGGGGCAGAGATAATAATTGTATACATGACAGGATGCCACTAATTATGGACCTTTAAAAAAGGCAAAACTAAAAACAGCAAGAGTTTCTGATTTATTGATATGAACTTGCTTTTGAATACAGATTGAAAAAGGACCAATGAAATAAAGGTGGCAATTTAAGAGATGGGAAGAATTCAACTCACAAACTAGCTGACTCGCTGTAACTGAAAACAGATGTGTCGATAAAGGTGTTGCATAGAAACAAAGATATGACTCGTCGTGAACTAGATACATGCTCTGCAAACTTCTGAGCAAGAAAACCACCTGAAAAACAAACAAACTTTTAGTAGTCATGGTGTTCCTTCCGATAATGGCTATTACAATTAGAATTTTTTAATATTTGAGCTGTAAGTACTATTAACAGATGCAATTGGCAATCAAAAATTATTATAAGACTAGGAGGAGGTGATATTGTCCACTGATCAGTTTCAAGAAAACATTCTTAAATAGACAACAACAACAACAAAAAAACAAGTAGCAAAAGCTACCTGCTGAGGGGGCGCCGCCCCCCCAGACCCCCCCTTTCAAATTATATATGTGAGACTTTGAGTATCATAGAAGTCGTGCGGCGACATGCCGAATGAAATGCCACAATTAAAATTATTGGATCAGATGATGAGCTGATAAAAGCCTTACCTAGTAATTTGGGAACATTTCTGACACAGTTTGGTTGCTTTAACTATCACTTTGATTTGCGAAATACAAATCGTTTTCACTTCGTATGTAGTTAAATTTGATTTTGACTGACTTAGTTTCTGATGGATTCAAACTCATAATATACATTTAGGTTCCAGGGAAAGAAAAATGCAGATGAGCTACACTTNCCTCGAAAATTCTCCTCTTGGACTTAGCCTAAAAGTGTGGACACTTTTTAGCCTCCGGCGAAACCTAGAGTCTATACGGCTTCGCCGCACGACTAAAAAGAATGTAATTTGATGGAATAGATGAAGAGGAATAATGAAATTTTTGTGGTTCAATAAAAATGATTAAAAGAGATGGTTGCTTGCAAAAATGCATGGATAAGTGCACTGTAATACCAATCTTATTCAACAAACTTTCCAAAGGAGAGAAGTCTACAAATAAGTAAGGGAGAAGAAATTTCAATGTGTTCTCAATGTGGGAAATTCCAATTATTTTCTTAACAAGCTGAGAGATATCGTCAGACCGAATTCATTTGATAATGGAAGAGAATACACTACGAAAATAAGAGGAATTTCTTTTTTCATTGTTCTTGGAAAAGTAATTTAATTTTGATCACTGGAAAACATTTCACCCAAATTCGTTTGTGACTCCTGAAAATCCTTTGTACGGTAAGAATGTCTTCATTCCATTCTATGATAAGTATATTTGCCTAGTACACCTTTAAGATAAGTATGTTAATATTTGTCTTTTCTAGGTGCTTGAGTGTACATGATGAAAACAAATAAATAAAATAAAATAATTGACGCTGTTGAGAATACTGTAGAGACTTAATTTAAAACTTCCATTATACACTTGAAGGCTTACCAATATCATTTTAATGAAATTCTAAAAACATACTTACTTACTTAGTAGTGATAGTTTAAAGCAAAAGAGTGATGTCTCACCTAGAGATGCTCCAAAAATGTGGACTTTATAAAAGCCCATGTAGTCAATTAATCGTCTAAATCCTTCACACCATTCCCTGACACTCCAATAAACAGGATGTTCTGCCTAAAAATTGAGAAATTCATTTTAAATTTTATCAAGTCTTTAAATAAAAGGATTAAATTTTTAGAGGGAAGAAACTTAGTGGGCTTAACCAATACTGATGAAGATCCAAGATTTTTCATGAAAAAGTCGAAATCCATTTAATATTATTTTACTTCTTTAAGTATTCCCTTTTCATTCGATTGAAAAAGAGAAAATTTTAACAGTTTTGGTTGTTTTAAAACACAAAAGAAGGCCAAGGAAAAGAAGTTAAAATCTTTAATAGCACTGACTTGCACTCTTCGCAATTTATCAAATGCATTTTGGTGGTCCAGCTGACAAATGACTCACTGGACAAGAATTTTTTGTTGTGTGTGCTTCATTGATGTTTCCAGTTAATTTTCTCAATATTGCAATCAAATGTTTTAATTCCTGAATATAAATGCTCCTTCAATTTTTCTACGAAAAGGAAATGTAAAAAATATGGAGTCAAAGTGTGTTCTTCAATAACGAGATTGGTTTTTCTGTTTCTTATTGGCAAACCAGATTGTCTTTGCCAGATGAATTTTAAATAAACCAAACATATTTTTGCTTTTTTGCCAGTCGTGAACCATGTTAACAATAATTTATCTTAGAAATTTCTTCCAGTATTGATTAAAGCTAGGTTTGAATTCCCCCAACATTAAATGGAGGTGTCGTCAGATGAGTGGGGTGTAATTTATTTTCCGTTTACAAGTGACTAAGTTGGAACCATCCAATAGCCATCGAGGATTGACTGCCAGCGCCGCTGCTGCTGTGTGCAGAAACGTAGATCGGCCTATTGTTCATGAGAATCAAAAGTAAACAGCTTCCCACTTATCTGACAATACCTCTAAATGGAATTGAAAAAAAAAAAAAATGAATAATAATTGCATTGGGAAAGTAACTTACTGAAATAACACGATAGCCCTTTGCACCAAGTGATAGGAGCTGCTTGAAATAGACGTCTGCTGTTCCACTTACTGGTGGAAGAAAAATCAACGGAGTGTTGATTGATCTTGGTCCAGAGTCATAGATTTTCCAGCCCTGAGAAAATTAACATGGATTAATAAAAATTGATGGATTCAAAATTAGAATGTGAGAGTATTATGAAGGAGCCACTTGTACCCTTGTAAGCTTTCCTATACTGCTAAAGAGAAACAAGTTACTTTGGTGCGATTAGTTGAAAGAAATCATAGGTTCCTATGACCCCTGATTGAACAGGATGCATTGGATGGAAAATTTTTGCGACAGCTTCGGCTATTTTTATACAGAGCACCCAACAAGACAGCTCTTGTTCTAGTATTTATTTTCACATGAGTCTGTCAGTGCTTCTAATCCATTTTCTTTCTCCAACTGTCTAGATGGCCCAAAAACCATTGGCATTAATTTCAAAATCACAGCCTCTCTTTGACAGAATATCTCAAAAGTAACATATCAACAGAGAAACTTCTAAACCATGTGCCTCAGTTTGTGATGCTGCAGGCTCCTTGTCATACTAAATTTTTTAAATTGAAAGCCACTGAAAGTCAACTCCTGGGACCTTCCTGAATTTTTCTTCTCGGTGTGAAAAATAATCTATTTCAAGCTAAAAGTAAGTAGTGTTGAGTTCTTCTTCACTCAAAGAAAAAAGTGGGAGGGGCAGAGAATTTGACAGACTGCCAGTGAGATACATGGTTTGGTAGTTTCACTGTCAATTCTGTTGACACGGCATACGTACATCATTTCATTAAATTCTATGAGAAGATCAGTGCTTGAAACCCACAGGCATCATACACCGTATGCGCATGAATAATTAAAATTGTGGCCAGAGTTGGCGCTTAAATGAACATGCACAGATATCAGAGATATTCCTCAAGCGTGCGATCGTGATTGGATGAAACTCGATTCTGCTGAGTCGCGAAAATTAAACCAATTCTAACATTCCGAGCGATATACTATAACATTTATCTTCATTTCCCAGAAAAAAGGAAGAACCATTTAGCTCCTACTTAAATTTTCAATATGCTGGTCACAATGGCTCCTAAAGATTTTGCGGAGATTCAAACACTGGAGGACGAAACTCCCCAAAAGAGAGCTGTGTAATCCATTATGATCTAAGAATAATAGTTACCTTAGAAGAGTCCGGATCAACAATGATTGTTTTTAAAGGAACACTGCTTCTGAAACTATTATACTCATTCGAATGAGCATAATCACTCACGCAATTCATGGTGGGGAGGTGTTCTGAGAGATACTAGTGCTTCCAAGAATTGAAGCGAGCAGATGTGAAACCTCTGTAAGAACACAAAGCTAGATAAAACGCACAGCTGATTAACTAATCCTTCTCATGAGAGTGGCTCTGGCTCGAATTACAATTCTCCATGATTTTCTTCTTTCAATACATAATACATATTTGAAGGGCTCTAAACAGGAAGATTGTGGGGGGATGAGAGGAAACCAGAAAATTAGAAAAACCAATAATCAAAGACTGGGAAAATTGGAAAGATGCACAAAACCCAACAACAAAACCAAGAACTCAATATAAAAATCAAAATAGATGAATATATCCATTGACGTATAATACAATTGTACAAATCGATATCGATTGTATTAATTTTACGTCAATGTCCTAAACATAACGTAACATAACCTCAACTGACTGTCACTGTTGTCTCTGGTCTGGACCTGATCAGTCTGGATTGAGCGTTTTTGCAGGCAAAGACCCCCTACGAATGAGCAGGCGATCACGATCACAGAGCGGGAGTAGCTGGTGGAGCGTGCATGAAGCTCGCTCGGACTCCATGATTATACTCTGTTGCTCTCTCCTCTCCTCTACTCTTTGCACATCACATAATGGCGCCAAGCACAAATTTCACTCTCGGAGAAAAATTAAACTGCTCAGCTCAGGGAATTGACCTTTTTGATCGGGATTAAATTTCTAAAAGAGTTCAAACCAAGTACTAACCAGGGCAATTCTCTAAATTCTTTGGCAAGACATTTTTCTGATATAATTTTAGGATTACCTAAGGAGGGAAAATCTTTAGCATATCTGGAGAAATCACAAGCTTGTGTGGGGGCCCCGCAGCGTTCTGAGGCATTGAAATCAAATTCTAAACGTACCTACTTACATTTTGAATTTTGATGGAAAATAAGGGGGGGAGGGGCTTCATTTATATCTGAGCCATGGGGATGCCAGATGATGAGGGATGAGTTTGAGGATTTTTGCGCTCAGCAGAGATGTTTTCAGGAGCATTGGGGGAACTAGTTAGGAGGAGGGGGGAGAAATATTACCCTCTCCTGACTTCAAGAAATATGAGGGCTTTTGCTAAGTTAGCTGTGTTGCTAGACTTTCATTGCGGAATTTGTAATTCTACCAAAAATATTTCCATGTGAAGATGAACCATCAAGCTAAAAATTTAACTCAGCATTCGCACAAATTTATAAATTTTTTTTGTGGCACAATGGTACAACTTCTGGGAAACATCCTGTTAAAGGTAACAAGGCACTTAGCATATTTCTTGAAAAATTTGCTAAAAAAATATCTTTGCACATTTCTGCTTTTGATAACTTAAGTATACCTACAAAAGTACATAACGATCCAAAAAGTGGTGAATTTTACCAGTCAGGCATCAAGGGGTGAAATATGGGAGCATAAATATAGCATTAGGTACCTGAGATGACATTGAATCAGTGAGTTCGAAAATACACCAACTCGGAAAAAAAAATTTTCAGGAAACACCTAAAACTTCGCAGCGGGCGAAGAAGTTAGTTTAAGAAAAACTTTTTTGGTGCCAAAGGACGCAAGAAGTACTCTAGAGACTTTAACGCACCAAGTTTCAGATACTGATTTTTCATGGTCTGCCCTGAAAAATTTATATTTTTTGACCTGAATAACGCTTGAATATTTATATAACTTGTTGGCACAAGGTATACTGAACCGAAAAAAGAAAACCGCATCGGATAGTCACCCGTTTCCCTTGATCGGCCAAAAATTGGTATTTCCAATGAAATTCTTCGATTCTTCCCTTTTCCCGTCGCCGTTTCAAGCACTTCCGATTGCAATTTCGAAATATCCTTTTGCGTGCAGATGCTTCTACTTATCCAGAAGTGTAACTAAACCGCAAAAAAGTGAAAATCGAAAGTGATTCGTTTTACATTATTGGAAACATGATTATTTGGATAGATAAGGTGGGGAGACGGCAGACGATAGGATGGGTTAGATTAGGTATTGGTTAGAGAGTGCTCGAACTGCTCTGAGTTCCCGTCGCGCCACGCAGCCATCTTGCCTGCTCATTCCGAGGGGGTCTTTGCCTGCAAAAAGTAAACATCGATCAGTCTGATCTCCTGACTGAATTCCTGATTAGATCTGATTTCTTCGGACGCTTCGGACAGTTGTTTCTCTCAAAAGATTTTTGATAAAGTTCCGTTTTCTACTTTCTTTTCATAGCTTTTCCTTGCGTCACTACAAAAATGTTGCTTGTTCAGTGTCTTTTATTACTTCTTGTGGTCGCTTGTTTATCGGAGGAGCATGGCTGCAACATTTTTGCCACTATTCTCCGTGAGACCAGCAATGAGGGTTTTCACAGGTATGTTACAATACGCTAAATTCAATGTATTCTATCGCTGCTTAAGATCAAACTTAGTTCCAGCAAGGCACCTGTATCACACCTCTGAGATGTATTCACTGGATTAGTCCTTGCCATGAAGCACCTAATGCAGTGCTTCCTAGTTCAATGGCTTGGTGGCAACCAGTCTTGTCAGCTGATTTTAATAGAGCTGCGCTGTCGAAGTAAACTTTTTGGGAACGTTGGGCAGCGGAATCACCCGATTTCAAACGCTCGGCGTTGTTCGACTCCATTTGGATTGCCCAGTGCCTGGGATTGTTTACCAAACGGAAGTCAACGAGTCATTGTTCTCAGGAGGTAGTTGAGAGCATTGAGCTAACCTCTGAATGTAATTGTGTATGCAGAGCAGAGTCAGAATGTCTAGCTAGTCAACAGAGACGACTGACAACACGTTTCCCAATGGGTAAGTCAACGGCCATGTGATATCCGTTGATACAGCGTTGAGCACCCTACGCCAACTGAAAGTTTACTTCGGCAATGCACCAGTTGCTATCAGTAAAACAAACCACGTCCTGACACGAACTGCGCATGTTCCAGTATTTGCATGCGAGATCTGATAGAGGGTGGATAAGCGCGAGAAATAAATAACAATTATTTCGAGTGTGAAATACATGGGAGACAACATTGTATCGAAAAAAGGGCTACATGGACATGAACAACGAAAGTGAGGATAATACGAGAAGGCAAGTGGGAGCCGGCCAATCAGAGAGCGGCATGAGGCTACCAATCTCAGAAAGTAGAATTACCCTACTTCAATAAGATCTGTAGCACTTGGGAGCCAGTTAAAAATAAGTGCTTTCTGCTGTTGAACAGCGGAACGACGGATCTCTAAACTGCGTTCTTAAGTTGATTGCTGGTGCTGATGTCATGACCGCTGGTGGTTTTGGTAGCTCAACCCCACCGATCAGCACCCGTGTTATGGAGCAAATAATGGTATAAAATCAAGCTTTTCGCAGTTTTCGGTCTATGTATTCACCTGAAAGTGTGTTTAAAATGCTTTCATCATTTATTTTTTTACCTTCAGACCGCTTTAGAGCTCATGACTATTAAATTTGCGCAGGAAGACCTGACATTTTTTACTGTTGTGACTACTTTTTAGGATTTTATGTGCAAAGTAGTCAAGGTTTTAGAGGTGTCGTCACGTAAGTTGACATTGGTTTACTTTCGATATGCAGGCATTTTTGCGTTACAAATATCCACATGAACACATGTGACTCTTGCAGGAGGGAGAACACAAGCTTGGATAGGTTTTTTAATACTTTCAAACCTTGTACCACTTTAATTTTTAGCCACACAGAAATCGTAACCACACGAAAGTCATGGATCAGTATTGATAAGTAGTTTTTTTCCGAAACGATTATCAGATAGATGTTTTTAAGGTGGACAGTAGCAAACGACACTTTGTGCAGAGGTGTAAATTTGTTGCCTATGCCTGCTAATCAAAAGTAAACAAATGTCATCTTATCTGGCAACACCTCTACCACTGGACCAGCAAGAATTTACATTGAGGGGAAAAAAATTAATCTCTTACACCACCACAAATCGCAGAGTGCAATATGTGTGTAATTATTGATGGATTCTCATAACCTGTAGGTATTTTGTCCGAAGAAAGAATATGACGATAATTTATGAAATAGAAGTAAGATAAGATGCTCACAACTAAAATTGCAGAATTTGCCGGATGATAGCTTTTATTTTCGGCAATATTTGCGAAAATTTGAGGCTGTGTTCGTACTATATCTAGTGAAAATAGCAATATAGGTAATTCTTGGTGAGAATTTGCGAAGTCCCAGCTTAAATCACGATGGCATTTAGTGAATTTTGCAGAATAACTATCAAGAACAGCATAATTGAGCATTGCAATTCAGTTATTGCATCCCAAGCAAAAATTGTAGTACCAAAGAACAATTTAAATTATAAACACTCTTTTTGCAAAATTATTAGTTCCAATTGAGTACTTACCTCACTATGAATTTGTAATTTTTGCAAATTGTTCTGTTTTTCTTGTCACCATGGTGGTTATTCCAGCCAAAATATTGAGATGTAAGTAGAAATGACCAGCCTATTTTGCTACTGTGGTAAATTTATTTTGTGTATCCTGGTGCTACGAAGAATGCTTCTTTCAAGTTTTCTCTTGCGTAAGGAGCTATACAATATCGGTGAATAGTTATTTTTTTCATCATTGTTTTGACCATTTCCAATGAGACGCTGATCGGTCCATTTTCTCTTAGGGAAGATGCAGGATCTAGCCAAAATCTTGAGTGATTTAAGGCTATTAAAGTAATCCGTCTTCCAAAGAAGAGAGCTCCTCATAAGTGTTTGCTTGTGTAAGGAGTTGTGACACTAATGAAAATCATATGTCATACTTGGAAACAAGTGAGACTGGGAGAAAATGAGAAGGTATCTAATCCAGGTAAAATTAGGGTTTTTAAATTTTGCTTGGGTAGGAGTCATGGCTTGAGCAATAAAATCGTATTTTTTAGTGATGTTCATAGTCGACATGACAAAAAGTAACGGATGAGTGGCAGACTCAGGTGAGCAGTTGGATCCCTGTATTTAAGGGTTGATTGGTCGCTAGGTCCTTTGAATGAGGAAATGTACCTGCATTTCAACTTATAAAAAATACCCTGAGCCAGTTGCTGACACCGCCCTTCACCCGCCTTTTCTGGAACTAAGTCTTTCTTGATCGTAAAGTTAAATGCCAGAGTGTATTTAATGAACCATTCAAGAATCACTCTTGTAAATGTATAATTCGAAAATTAAGAAAATACCTACTGAAGTACTTTCAGTCAAGGATTTTTTATTTTATGTACATTTTCTCCTCTTCTTTTTCAGGAAACTGACATCTTTGGTGGAGGTGGTCAATGTGCACTCAAATCTTGATAATTGTCAATTAGTTTTACAAGAGAATCTGCCCAGTAATGTCTTTGTCAATCCTGATGAATTACGAGCGTTGGCTAGAAGCAAAGAGGTGATTGAAAGTTCCACTTTTTCTCACTTTAAATTACAAATACTGCGGTAGTATGACATATTATCTAGTTGCATATAAAAAAATCTCCCCCCCCCCCCCCCTTGAGATACAAATAACACCTTATGAGCTTTTTTCTGTAATTTACTCTCTTATACTCTGTATGAAAAAAATTTAGGAAAATCAAAAAAGGCAATTGCGAAGTTCCTGATTGAATTGGGTAATGCAAAAATTGCTGATGTCCAATTTTCCAGTTTTTAATTTTTTTGACATGACAGGGTACCTAATTCTCTGCTATTTCTACTATTCCTGTCACATGGGCTTTTCTGGCACTCATATCAATCAACAGAGTTTAGGTAAATTATTTTTGATGCAGAATAACTTTCTATGTCAGACGCATACTCGGAAAATATCATAGAACTAAACCTCTGTTTCCTAGCAGGCAGAGAAAGGCAGAAAATCTCAACTCAGTCCCTGCCTTACAACTGAGGTTCCGCAATTCAAACGGCTGTAGGGTACTGGAAACCGAAGTTAACCTACTTAAACTTGACATTTTTAGAATGTATGGACTTTCTACTTTTTATTTCTTCAGTCTGTTTCAAGAATACTGACAATATTCCCGTCATGAGACGAGGCAGAAGGCTTGTCACAAGGTTTTCATCTCAACTCAGTCCCCCTACTTTTTGCTTCATGTGGGAGCCACCAGGGGCGTTGTTTGTAAAAAAACAGGAAAAGTTGTTTGTAAATAAGGATCAGGAATCCTGTGATGTCTGTCACACAAAAACAACAACATCAACAAATTGATCAATTAAAAAAAAAATGAGATTGGTTTGTGAATAATTTCTTAATCTATTTTCATTTTGGACCGATGGAAATAACAATTTACTCTTGATAAACCACAATTAGGTAATATTTTCATTATTCTTGTTCACATTCGAGGTACCGCCGTCTTGGTGCACTTGTTTCGGCCTCCATGAGCGAGAATCAATCAGAATTGGATTTTTTTTTAGGCCACTTTCAGCCCAACCCTGGCCCAACCAAAAGTGAGTTGTCTTAACTCTGGGTATAAAGGGACTCTAGTCCTAATCAAGGAGCACAATTTTTTTTGGCGTTAAACATGACCAGAGTGTCTACAAGTCCGGAATTTATGGAAAGTCCAGGAATAGTTCTGATTTTTAAAGGGCAGTCCGGAAGTACTGAAAAAGTATGGAAATTTCGCAAGAAGGTCGGGAATTTTTTTCATTATTTTGTCATTTTTGTCGCAATTTGAGCGAGAAATTCAAAATTTTGAAATTTTACGCATATCATCACATATTTGGAGGTACTGAAAAAGTACTGAATTTTTCAGTTGAGGAAGTACTGAATTTTTTAGAAATGTAGTGAAAAGGTACTGTAAAAGTACTGATTTTTGGCCAGCCTGTTTTACTAGACACGCTGATTGACCTCAAATTTTTTCTTCCATCAAAACAAGCAGAATTTTTAACTCAGTCCCCTAAGTGTAATATTCTATGAGGGGACTGAGTTGAGAAGTAAGGACTGATTGTGAGTTCTTGAAAGTCCTCATTGAAATGAGTAGTTTCTGCTGTCATTAAATGGGTTTGTTACTTTCTTTTTACTATTGAATTTGTCCGTGTGACAGGATAGAATGTTGTCAAACGGTCAGTAATTTTATTATAATTTTATTTATATAAATGGATATGATATACAGAGGAAGACAGACAAACCGAGTGTGAGATCACTTGTGCCTTTGTGTCTGTCTGTCTGTCTCCCCTCCCCCCCCTCCCCCTTCACCCCCTCTCTTCTCTCCTCCCTCCCCCCCCCCCCGATTTCCTCTTAAACACTCTCCATCACATCTATCTCTCTATCTCACCCATTTCCTCTCAACTCATTTTGGTATGTTTTGGTTTTGAAAGAAATATGAGTTTCTCTAGCACTGAAAATTGAATGTATTCTATGCAAAACTCCACCAGGGAAATAAAGAAACTGGCAGGAAGAAATTTTAATATATTTCAGTTTTTTCCCAAAATCTGCCCTTTTTTAGAGATAATTACTTTCCTAACAATTTGAGGGTTTTTTTATGAAAATTCATTGCATTTACAACACATTTCCATGGAGTTTTAAAAAAATTGGGAGGACAATTATATAAAATAAAGATAAATAAAAAAGCAGAGGGACTGAGTTGAGATTTTATCCAAGTTCATAATTTCTGCCTGCGCGGCGGAAGACTGAAACTCTGTTTCTTGTGGAAACCATTATTGATTCCGAGTGCCAAATGACGTGAAGTTTCAGAAAAGCATGTCTGCCAAGGCGTCTTTGAGAGTTTATTTTTCGAAAATTTCGGCCTAAAATAGTAGAAATAGCAGAGAATTACCCGACAATTCTTTTCAAGGTTAGGTTGTATCTAACCGTTAGATACAACCAATGAAGTAAAACACCTTGGTATTCACCTAGGTTAGCACTTACCTGGGTATTTACCCAGAACTATTCGAAAGATAATTTAACAGAGCATTTTGCATCAACATTTATTTTCTCACATAAGGATAGTGTAGTTGCTAAATTTTGTCCTCAGCACACTTTGTAAATCCATAACTCATGATTGAACCAATTTTTAAACCTATGACTTTGCTTTCCTGTCTCAAGACTCACTTTTTTCCATGAAAAACTCAAACACCTTTTCCTTTTTTTTCTTATTTTTTTGGGGAGCAAAAACAAATAAAAACTTCTTTTTCCTCCTGGTGTGAAAGAGGCATTTTTGACGGACATTTTGAGCACGGTCTCAGGATATAGAATAGGTAGATGGGCTCCAAAAATAACCCAATTTGCCTCCTCCAAAATTCGATATCATGCTCAATTTGAAAGAGAACAAAACAATTTTGATCCAATATTGTGTAGGACATGAAGAATTAGAAAAGCTGCTCTTTACTAGGAGGCCTTGAGAGCTCTAAGGGCCCAACCTCCTCATTTGGGCCCTCAAGTAGCAAGATCAAAATTAACTCTAACGTTTGTTTACTTTCATTCCAGCTCTTCGCAAAAAATAACTTAACAGTAGACGTGGAAGCAATTGAATCAACATCATTACCTTTCTCAACAGTTATTTATGCAAGGGATAACCATGTCACGCACAACCTGCTTTCGGCTCAGTTTGTGCTTCCTATCCATTTGCGGTACCATGCCCCGATGAGTGGCATCAACTTTCACCAGTTTTATATCTCTAAACCAACGCTGCTAATGAAATGCTCAAGATCCCTAAGCACATTAAGTGGTTGCAGCATTCTTAAGAAGCATAAGTTGCAGTGCACTCACCAGTCAGCAAAATTATGCGAGTGGCATGAACTACCTTATAAAACGGTAAGTAGAACCGATCACAATACCTGAGTAGGGTGGCCCAAATTTGGCAATGTCGGAATATTTTGGTCTTACCCCCTGAAACTGATACATTTGATCAAAAAACACTCTCAAGCAATAAAATGGTAGTGAAAATTGTTCAAAGTATTTGTAGAAAAAATTGAATATCAGAGCAACCTCTCTATACAAATCAACGGGATGAAAAGATAAAACAGCAGTCTAAAACACAAAAAATACCAAGAAAAACCCTAATGATCTCCAAGTACAATGTCGAAATTTCCTATGAAAACACAAAAGCGCTGTACGTTTCGATGCCTTGTGACACCCATATGAACTGTAGCAAAAACAAAGAAAAAAAGAATTGAAAAAATACTACTAAATGACAAGTACATAGTGATAGGATGAATATGATCCAGATTCCTAGTTTTCTTTTTTACCCTGCAGTTTATAATGGCTGAGGTATTAGAGTGGCCCAATTATACACGGCAAAATTTATTCTGCGAATTTTTTTTTTGATTTTACCCCCTAGAGCTGATCCATTTGATCAAAAAACACCCTTTGCCAAGTCTCAGCCAAATCGGATAATAATGATCCATGCTGACAGAACCATCTGTTTTGGACAGGATTTTATATTGGGAAATGCCTTTTTTCAGAAAAATCCATTTCTCAGAAAACGCTTTTTCTTGGGATGCAGAACTAATTATTTGAGATTTATTACCGTCATTTTACCCTTTTTTAGCGTTTTTTAGTTGTTTCAGTTGTTTCACCGCTATAACGAGGGGTAAACATTTTTTTTGAGGTGTCCTAGACATTTTTCCCCACTCAATTTTTCCTGCTAAAGCCGAATTTGACCTCAGATTTTTTCTAGAAATTTTACGTTTTCCGGGAAATAGATTTTTCTGCAATAAAGCGTTTTTCAATATAAAATCCTGTCTAAAAAAGATGGCTCTGTCAGGACGGGTAAATATTCTCCGATTTGGCTGAAACTTGGCAGAGAGTGTTCTTTGATCAAATGGATCAGCTCTCTAGGGGGTATAATCCAAAAAATTCGCAGAATAAATTTTGCCGTGAATAATTGGGCCACCCTAATACCTCAGCCATTATAAACTGCAGGGTAACAAAGAAAACTAGCACTCTGGATCATATTCATCCTATCATTATGTATTTGTCATTTAGTAGTATTTTGTCAATTCTTTTTTTAAAATTAAGGAACCCTGCACAGACCTCATGGGCAATGGCTCTCTCTAGAATCTGATGAAACTTGGATATGTTGCTCAGCTAGTCATTCTGATCAAAAGTTCTTATGGGCCGAAAGAGATCCCACGAGCGGTTTTCGAGATATTCACCCTTTTATGTGCGTGAATTGAGGTTTTGCTGGCCGCACCATTGTGCGGCGCCTCTTGTGCCCTTCCCTTCCAGTCCTCTTCGGCCGCTCTCCGCTTCCCCGCCACCCATACCCGAGGCTCCCGGGGACTCCGACGCTCACGAGGCTTTGCTCATCGCCGCCGAGCCGGGTAGTCTTATCACCGTGAGCGTCGGAGTCCGAGCCTCGGGTATGGGTGGCGGGGAAGCGGAGAGCAGCCGAAGTGGACTGGAAGGGAAGGGCACAAGAGGCGCCGCACAATGGTGCGGCCAGCAAAACCTCAATTTTCGCATATAAAACGGCGAATATCTCGGAAACCGTTCGTGGGATCTCTTTCGGCCTACAAGAACTTTTGATCAGAATGACTAGCTGAGTAACATATCCAAGTTTCATTAGATTCTAGAGAGAGCCATTGCCCATAACGTCTGTGCGGGGTTCTTACTTTTTTTCTTTGTTTTTGCTGCAGTTCATATGGGTGTCACAAGGCATCTAAACGTCCAGCGCTTTTGTGTTTTCATGGGAAATTTCGGCATTGTACTTGGAAATCATTAGGGTTTTTCTTGGTTTTTTTTGTGTTTGATTGCTGTCTTATCTTTTAATCCCGTTGATTTGTATAGAGTAGTTGCTCTTGTATTCAATTTTTTCTACGAATACCTTGAACAATTTTCACCACCATTTTATTGCTTGAGAATTGATCAAGAAAATAGAAGGAAGAGAATTTTTTAATGACTGGATTTTACTTCAAGACAGTTTGACATGTTGTTATTATACAGGGTGTCCCAAAAATCCCTTCTACCCCATCTAAAATTTTACTCAAGTAAAATTTTGAAACGTAACTTTTGGGATGTTCATCGATCAATGTTAGCTACTTTCGGGGCCCCCCAAAATTTCCAGGTCCCCCGTTGAGAGGGGCTTCTGACCCCAACTTTCTTTTTTTCAAATAGCAACCCCACCCCCTTTTTTGTGACACATCAATCGAAAGAAGATGAAAAAAGATAATTTTTGGGGCTAACCGCAAGTCAAAATCTTAATTTTAAACAAAATGGCCGGTCAAAGTTCAAAATAATGGAAATTTGACATCTCCGTTTTTTTGACGGATTGGGACGAAAACTGGTATCTTTTTTTGGGACGAGGAAAACGATTCTGGCATTAGTTTCCCAGACATCCTGTCCTTCTATAAATGGCGGTGGTCAAAATGGCAACCTGAAGCGGTAAGGGAATATTTAGGCTGTTTATCTGTGGACTAGCATGAAATTTTGTATTAGGGGGTCATCTGTCAATCCAAGTTGACAAATCAATTTCCAAAGTGCAAAACCTTGTATCTCTGCTTATGACGTTGCAGACTTCCTGTCAGACTTCATTTTTTCTTCGGAAGACTAATCAACATAATCTTTTAAAAACTTTCTTGATTTTCCTCCTCTGTCATCAGAATATTCTGTATAAATTTCACTCTATGTATTTGGCATTTTTTTCTTCCAAAAAATATAATAAAAGTGGAAATTTTGAAGCACCGCAATAGAGATATGTGGTTTTGCACTTTGGCCATTTATGTGCAGGATGTCTAGCAACCGGGAAAGTCAGAGGAATAAAATTGGTCCAGGGGAAGTCAGGGAGAGGAAACGCGAGACTGGGGGAGTTGCGAGTTGCAACTCCTTTGCAAGATTTTGATGTTTTGCATATTTTTACGGGGCTTTGGCACTGTAACCCAATGCTCTTCCACAGTCTGTAGCAAATATTTTCCCCAGAAAATAGAGCCCCCACCCATCCGTCCCATTACTTTGCCGTGAGCTATGTTTATTTTGGTGTTTCTTTTGATTTGAAATAAAAGGTCAAGGAAAATAAAAGAACAATGTTAGGAAGCCAGAAAATCCAAGGGTCAGGAAAAACTTGGCAAGTCAGGGAGAAGGGAAAGAAAATTTTACCAGACACCCTCATATATTTATACATTTATTTATGATTATATTTCAACCAGTATCTTAATATTTTCTGGTAAAACTTATCAGTCTTTTTGTCCTTAATGTGGTTTTCAGAATGCTGAGAAAATTCCCATGAGAGTGCCAATCGGCAATACCAACAACACCATTCTTGTGGGCATGATTACATTTCTTGTCACAATCGGTGGCTGCGTTTGCATCCTCAGCTCTCTTATTTCTTTGCCTGTAAGTGTCCGTCTGTAAATGATCTTCCCAAATTTTCATCGAAATCGATTCACTTCAACAACTTTTTCCATGATTTATGGTACAATTTTTTAATCCTATAATGCAGATTGCGCTGGAAGAAAAGTCACACACATGATCCTATCATAAACTACCAGATAGTCTAGGAATCTATACTGTATTTTCTTCATTTCTTCATCAATAATTTTTGTGAAAAATGTTTTGTTCTGTGAAAATTTCCCTAGCCAGCTATGGCGATTGTTTTCTTCGTCAACTCCAGCCCCCTACACATCAAAAACCAAATTCTACTGGGATCAAATCATGCATCAAAAGTTGCTATTGGCTCAACAAATTAATCAATAAATTTTTAAAAACGCAGGACAAATGATCACAAAAAATAATACCAAGAACACCGTTTCATTGAAAAACTTGAAAAACTTTTTCAGTGGTTTGGCCCAAGAGTTCCTACTTCAATTTTTCCTGTGAGAGGCACGAATAAATTTTTCTCCATCGATGCCTATCCTAACCGATAACACCTCATTCAAGAAGTGATGCATGAAAGTTTCAAGGAATGCCAGAATTGTTTTCTACTGGATTCTTTGCAAAGGAAATACGTAACACAATTCTTAAACTCGAGCCTTGTTTAGTGGTCCATTTTGATGTAATTGAATAGAATGAAAGTTATGCGGCAACCGCAACTGTCAAGCTGTGCTTCATTGATTGGCAGGTGCCGAAAACGAACTAGATTGCTTTTGCTCTGGTCTAAATCAGGAGCATATTCTTCCTCATACATATAGAACAGGTGGATGAATGATTGGCTCAAAATGTTCAGCAGACGGACAAATCTTGTTCACGAATGAGCCTGGAAAGCAGTAGACTGTATCAAACAGTAAGTTTCCATCACTGATTCCCCATTCGATATGTTGCACCAATCATAGAGCTTGAATGCAATCGTTTTGATGGTTGCTTTTGTTTCCTCTCTCTCCCTTTTAGTCTTGCACATTATTTGTTTCCAAGCCCACTTTTTGCTTGTTGTTGTCCTCCGCTCTTTCACCTAGTAAAGGGGAAAAAAGTGAAATAAACAAAATGTTTAATTTTATTTAATTGGTAGAATTTATGTCAATTTATGGTCAAAACATTCATCAAAATCAAACTCAGATGGTTGCAGATTATATACCAGCAAAAAATTATAAGATCTGTCGGAACACCTTTTCATTGCCAGTAATAACAAAGATATCACTCTCCAAAAAACAATGTCTAAACCCTTCCGACTGCAGTTTTACTCACTATGGTTTTATCAATGTTATTTTTGCATAACTCTGATTGATGCTTCTGAAGTGTAGCAAATGTTGTGAAATTAGGATACTGTATTTGAACAAGTGCTATCATTTTTTGCTTAGCTTTAATCTATGCCCATGAAATTACAATATTACACATGTTCAATGGACTTATTGTCAAGAATAATACCATAATCATGGTATACCAGATTTATTAAATGCTTTCTCTTCTTAAGGCAGAGCAACATAGTGCACGGTGCCCCTGAACTGACTTTAAATGCGACTTTAATGTACATCAAAAATTGAGGTTGGAGGTTGTAGTGGGGTACTCCCTGATGGGTTTTTGGGCAATTTCGAAATAGGTTGTCGGAGCTCCTGGAAAAATAATCGCATTTTTGTGGTTTTTTAGGGGTAAAATAGGAAAATTGGCCTCGGGGCGACAAATTAAACGCCCTCTCCCTCATCCTTGCTTTGACCGATCTGAATTTTTAGTATGTTTTTACCTGGTATAAGATGGGACTTTTCTGAAATTTTCATGCCCATACAATTTTTTTTGCTCCCGCGGCAGCGTTGCCAAGTTGCGGACTCCAAAATATCGAATTTAATGATAAAATGAAGGTTTCGGAGTGTAATTTCCATTCAAAATCAAAAATTCAAATTGTAAGTTGTAGTAGGGTACTGCCTGATGGGGTTTTGGCCAATTTTGAAGTAGAGTGTTTGAGATTTTTTAAAAATAATCGAATTTTTCGGTTTTTTAAGGGTAAAATAGCACACTGAGCACGGGGCGGCAAGTTAAACCTTTTCTCTCTCATCCTTGCCGTGACCGATCTGAACTTTTAGTATGTATTAACCTGGTATAAGATGTGACTTTTCTGAAATTTTCATGCCCATACAAAATTTTTTGCCCCCCGCGGCAGCGTTGCCAAGTTGCGGACTCAAAAATATCGAATTTGATGATAAAATGAAGGTTTCGAGGTGTGATTTCCTCCAAAATTTCACGAAAAATGTGCAATCTGAGAGTTTTCGATAAGAAAAGGCATATTCGAACAATTTAGAGTTGCAGTGTTGCCAGCTTTCGATTTAAAATTCGTCAAAATGACTCAAATCGCGTTGCAACCTCAAGCGCTGGATTTTTATTTCGTTCAGAATTGGTTATTACGGTTCTTCTGTACTCTATGCATTTAGGTACCATGAAAATTATGCCATTACTTACTTGATGGGTGCAGCTAACTCAAAAAGAGAGGCCGGATAAAGCGATGAGTCGGGGGAAAACGGGCGGCTCGGGTTGACAGAAAGTTCTTAAATCTACTCCATCACCAGAAAGTAGAATTTGAGAACTTTCTCCCACCCCCCAAACCTTATCCCTGTTGTAGTCAATCCTTTTGATTGAAAATTACAAAAGATCACAATAAATTTGAGTAATGTTGAAAATAAACTCCCTCATAAAAAAAATAAACTAGATGACGAAATTAAAAATGCTATGTAAATTTTTGGTTGTATAAGACATGTTTGACATTCCGAAAAATAAAATATTTCTGGACTAAATAAGGAAACATACCATTCATGGCAAACTCTGTTGCATGAGATTCCAGATGATCAAGAGGCCTCTTGAATTTAGATGGACTCCATCAGGTTTGTTCCGATCATAAAAAGTCATAATTTCGTCATCTAGTTTATTTTTTTTTTTATGAGGGAGTTTATTTTCAACATTACTCAAATTTATTGTGATCTTTTGTAATTTTTTTATTCTTTAAATTGTCGAAGGTATTTTCTTTACAGTAAGAAGTCTTCTGGATTCGAACTATCCAATCCGCTGTATGAGAGGAGGTCGAATTCAGGGACTTCATAGCGTTATTTGAATCGTCGGTATCCAACCATTTTATTTGTGTTTTTATTTTTCATGTTTTTGGGGGAAAATTCGGGGGCAAAATTTCAGATAAGATGTTCAAAGGATTGACTGCAACAGGGATAAGGTTTGGGGGGTGGGAGAAAGTTCTCAAATTCTACTTTCTGGTGATGGAGTAGATTTAAGAACTTTCTGTCAACCCGAACCGCTCGTTTTCCCCCGACTCATCGCTTTATCCGGCCTCTCTTTTTGAGTTAGCTGCACCCATCAAGTAAGTAATGGCATAATTTTCATGGTACCAAAATGCATAGAGTACAGAAGAACCGTAATAACCAATTCTGAACGAAATAAAAATCCAGCGCTTGAGGTTGCAACGCGATTTGGGTCATTTTAACGAATTTTAAATCGAAAGCTGGCAACACTGCAACTCTAAATTGCTCAAATATGTCTTTTCTAATCGAAAGCTGTCAGCTTGCACATTCCTAGTGAAATTTTGAATGGAAATCACACTTCGAAACCTTCATTTTATCATGAAATTCGATATTTTGGCGTTCGCAACTTGGCAACGCTGCCGCGGGGGGCAAAAAATTTTGTATGAGCGTGAAAATTTCAGAGAAGTCACATCTTATACCAGGTTAATACGTACTAAAAGTTCAGATCGGTCACGGCAAGGATGAGGGAGAAGAGGTTTAATTTGTCGCCCCATGCCCAGTGTGCTATTTTACCCTTAAAAAACCACAAAAATTCGATTATTTTCCAAAAAACTCAAACACTCTACTTCGATATTGGCCAAAATCCCATCAGGCAGTACCCTGCTACAACGTACAATGTGAATTTTTGATTTTGAATGGAAATCACACTCCGAAACCTTCATTTTATCATTAAATTCGATATTTTGGAGTTCGCAACTTGGCAACGCTGCCGCGGGGGCAGAAAATTGTGTATGGGCATGAAAATTTCAGAAAAGTCACATCTTATACTAGGTGAAAACATACTAAAAATTCAGATCGGTCAAAGCAAGGATGAGGGAGAGGGCGTTTAATTTGTCGCCCCGAGGCCAATTTTCCTATTTTACCCCTAAAAAACCACAAAAATGCGATTATTTTTCCAGGAGCTCCGACAACCTATTTCGAAATTGCCCAAAAACCCATCAGGGAGTACCCCACTACAACCTCCAACCTCAATTTTTGATGTACATTAAAGTCGCATTTAAAGTCAGTTCAGGGGCACTGTGAGTGGTTAACTACAGGTCAAAACTTGCGCTCAATTCTTGAATTCACTGGCTCAATATTGTATCAATATTGAGCTTTGTAAGATCAATCCATTCTGGTGGTGTTTAACCAATAATTATTAAGTACATCGTCAGTGCTTTTTGAACATTAAATCAAACATTTTTTTTTGGAAAGCTCAACAAGGGAAATTTATTCTAATGCAAAAATATACCATTCGATTTGGCTAATTGAAGGCGATATTTTTTATTTCAGATCTTTTGAAACCTTCTCTGCCATGTCGGTCTCATTAGCACGACACCACTGAGTTTTCATAGCATGACGCTGGGATCACAAGGCAAAAATCAGTAAACTGACATCAGACCTTGGCGTCAGCTGCTGGCCAACTTTGAGCTATAGAATTTTCTTGAGCCTGGTAGCAGAGTTTTTTAGTTGTCCACAAAGTTTTTCATTCTTTTAAATTTGGACGTCATTTTGCAGGATCAAATACACAAAATCACAGCAACTTGCAGCAGGTAATTTGTAACTTCTTTTTTACTAGAGATTTTTTAAGGGAAGGACAGTCGAAATGCTTCAAAATAAATGGTTCTGTTTTTTGCCCAAAATTAAGGAAGAAATGAGTATTTTAGTCAATTTGTTCGACATTCGATGTTAATCCACATCCTTTATACATTATCTTGATTGGTTTTCAGTTTAGGTGTGAAGGATAATTTTTACACAGGCTTCTCAGATTATAACAGATTTTTTCAACTTACTACTTTCTGCAGGCTCGTTCCATTTCTGTAAATTTCCAGATGCAAATATGATGTAGAATAAATTACCGAAGAATAATATTGCAGCTCCACTAAAGAATACTTGCCTCCACTGTATCATTGAATTCTGGAGAAGAAGCAGAATAATTTATCATTGGAAGGATGATTTAGGTAATTCATCTTAGGTTTTTGAGGTTGAAAGAAGTGAGGAAATGAAGAGAGTTTTCATCAACGTTTTCAACATTTTTAACAGACGTTTTTAGCAGACCATCAGTCAGGGTAAGAACTTTAGGACCTCAAGACATGTTCCCTCATTGAAGTCTTGTGCAACATGTGAATGTATTGAAAATTTCCCAATCTAAATCCTTGTACACAAGAGCGCGGTTTGCGGAACTTGGGGCAAACTTGTTCCCTGAACTTATTATAACTCAGTTTTAGCTCCCTCCATGAGACCCCAGTTTTTTTAACTAATCCGCCCAAAGTGAATTGCGCTTGTGTGGACACAGCCTTGATCATAAGTGATGGTATTTTACAGGAACTGAAAAATTGAAAGAAATCCAAAGGTGATTTTGTTAATAGCAATGTCCGTGTATCCTCTATCCTTCCTTACTTATCTTTGATGACAATCAAGCAACGTTTTCATTTCCATGTATTATTTGTAAAGTATCTTTTTCGCCTCTTGACCACTTTTCACTCAAAGAACAAATGGACCGTATTGTACAATTAGGAACTATGATTTCTGACTCAGTTTAGAAAAAACGTATGTACCATTAGTTTCCCTATGCACGTAAGTGTTTTTACAGGCGAGCCAGTAATTGTAGTTACCAATTGAGGCGGCGGCTGCAATAAGAGCATATGTGGGAAAACCTTGTTTTGAGAAAAACGCGTTCGAACTTTTACCTTGTGAATAACACGTTGTGTTTTTTAGAAACATGGAGGGTTTTCTCACTAGTTTAAGGTTTCCTAAATTAATTTTTTAAAAACTTTAATTTTGGGTGATTTGTAGATTTTTCAAAAAAGTACGATATGTGCTGTTTTTGCATCCAACAATTTAACTTGCGGAAATTTGAGTGAATTTTTAAGTAAACTGAAAGAATGATGAATCTTTAACATGTTTGTATTGAATGAAAAAATAAATTAACGAAAAACAACTTCTGAAAATAAAAAAACTTAACAAATAAAACAAGTCCTTTTGACTGATAAAAAACTGAGGGAAGACTTTTAGAAACTGCTTCCTTGCCTTTAGCTGTAATGAAACTCAATCTTGACCCGCTATTTTATCGTTGAAGTTCAAATATCTTTACATTCAGGCCTGGGTATGTGTGTTGGTTCGCGTATGTGCCGTTATTGCACCCAACAATCGTAATTCGCCGTAGAATCATTGTATTATCGTAATATTTACAGGGGTGATACCTCTCTAGTGCATCATTCAAATTCGCCATGCGCCACAAAAACGACTTATGCGTGCATATGCTGTTATTGGTGCGGCCGCCTCCATTGCAAAATGTAGTCCAAATAATCCTCTACAGCATTCAGGAAACCTTTAAGGGTTATCACATAGAATAATTCTTCGGATTGTGTGCAAGAATTTTTGGTTTAGTGACCAAATTTCAGAATGGTCGACAGTGACAACAGTTGTTAAATAGCAAATTATCATACCATATCTTTGACAATATAAGCAACGGACAACGGAGCGAGTAATCCCCCTGCTGATGCGGCTGCATTTGTCATGCCCATTAGGATCCCAGCAAAATTAGGTGAAAGGTCCATATGGTTGACATTGAAACCACAGTTGACGCTACATCCTATTGCAACGATGAATATGTATGTAATGATTGCGGTCACTTCTTGGTCATCCAGGTATCCCAGAGCTGCCAAACCAACACAACCTCCCCACATACCTGAAATATAAATTCTGCGAACTGAGAAGCATTCTAGAAATTGAGCCTTTTATCACCGATTCATTTCAAATCATGATTCACAAAAACTACATCTTCTAATATTATCTTGCCCACGTCTCGGGCTGGTTTTCACAACCTCTCTGAGCTTGGTAGTAGAAAATTCAGGAGGCTGCGCTGCACTGAGGATTGGCCCAACAAGGTTAAAACGCGTCTGCAGCTGCCCTCCTGAATGGTCGTAACTAGTGTTGCACCAAACAGCATATCTGTTCGAAGAAAAATTGTGCTCATATGAGCTTTTTCCCCCTGTATTGAGCTTTTCAGCTTCATGCTGAAATTTTAGTGCACGTTGGTTAAAAAACTCCAACAAAAACTGGACTGCCTTTTGCAATTTGGAACTATAAATTCTGGCTCATCTGAAAAACACCTATGTGCATAGGGAAACTAATGGCCTTTATGTTGTTTTTAAACCGGGCCTGAATTTAAAGTTCCAAATTGCAAAATGCAGTCCAACTGTTCTAATATTATCCTTCACCACATATTTTCTCACTCTTAATTCATTTAGCAGTTCGGCACCAATTTATTCCATGTCTATGGTAAAAGAAATTTACGATCAAATTTATAATTTAATGTTGTAGATGTTGTGTCACATTTTCAATGGGCCACAGATTTGTGTATCGATGGTCGCAGATCATGAAGTAGCATAAAAAATATGAGCTGCACAAGCCAACTTCTACGCTCAATATTTATAGAGATATTGCTTTAAGAAAGAAATGGTGATGGATGTAAATTGTAGCAACAAGTAATACTTGTTACACTTTCTCCCGCTTAGATATCTATCAACCAATGATGCACTTATTCGTGTTAATTGCTCAAGGCAACGCTGACAAAACTAAGGTTAAAGAATTCATAGAATGAGGTGGATGAAGCAAGCCACGTTGTATTTTGAGCAGCAACACTTTGGTCAATATCGGGCGTAAGTACAAGGTGTCTTGATAGATCTCATCATATTTTACTAATCTGTAAACTACAACCATCAAAGCATGGATCCCCTGAATGATTCATAGATCCAACAGCATTATGTCTTCGAACATGAAATGATCATTTTCCATTTTTAAAACCTTCATTTGATTCTTGTCGGCATTTCATCAATTTATAGTCTCCTGGAGCAGGGTTCAAACTTGACACAGTAGCTGCTCGGTAATTTGAATTTCGAGGGATGGAGGGAGATAAACAGAAAAGCAGATTTCTCAAATCGCGAAGTATCAAATCATAGAAAGCTGTTCTGGAAAATTTTAAAATAAGAGGATTTATATTTTACGCTACTTTAGAAACAAATGCTCTCCTCTCACATACTTGACAAAGCTTGACGAGCAACTTTCGTCAGCTCTGAAATTGCCAATCCCCAATTCTGCTACATACTTTAGAGCCTTCTCTTTGAAAGAAAAAACTTCCTTCAGGAATATTTTTTGTGCGGCACTATCTGAAGCAGAGAAGTAAGCCCTTTTCCAACTTAATGAATGCACACTGCCGTTTGTGGTTTGTTTTTGCAATGCCACTTCTACCTTTTAACTTACTGTCTTTCTCATATCTTAGGATTGTCACAGAATGAAACGGTTTTTCGATTATAATCCATAATAAATGGAGCAAGAGGTTGAGAAATTTTGAATTACAGAGCATTCAACGGTGTCTTTCTGAATCCCAGTGCATTTTGGGGCAGCTGTTTCTAATTGGACTACATTTCGGAATTAGAAACTACTATTCCTAGCTGATTGGTAAACTTTTATGTGCATAGAGAAAGTAATAGGACATATATTGCTTCTAAACTCAGAAGAAACTAGAAATTATAGTTCCTAATCTCAAAATTTAGTCCAATTATCCAGCTGTTGAATGACCCCCTTGGCGACAAAAAAATTCGAATGCACAAGGGGGACTGACCCATTAGTTTTTTCTAACTGAACGAGTTTTTATCGACCTTGCTCTTGAAATAATGGGCTTTTCGAATTGACAGGTCTTGATTTAAGGAAAAGCGACTTTATTTTGTAACACTTTACCAATCGAGTTCCAAAGTTTTCTAGTTGTCGTAATTGATGCAATTTCTCCGTGAATCATTTTATCTGCTACATAACTGACTGGGAACATGAGACACCACATCGCAAGGTATGGAAGGGCCGACAGCAAACCATCCTGAAATTGTGTATTTTTTGTTACTAATACTACAGTATTACAATTTTTCTTTTTTTTTATTCTTCAGAATCATCGCCTTACAGAACAAGTGAATGACGGACTTCAAGGCAACTGACATGTAGAGATCATAATGAACCTCTGCAAATGGAAATGAGAGACAGAACGGAGAATCATTAGCAGAAATTTACAAGTTGAAGCTTTAACTCTCAGACAATGAGATTTCTCCTGTCCAAGAGTTTCAGCTTCTTCACAGACGGTGTGTATTTTGGCTTTTTTTCCCCCTTAAGTTCAGCGGACTGATTATTGAAATTAATAGACAAAGCAAGAGAGCCTTAGTTTGATTTGCTTAAAAAAAGAAGTCTATCCAGGGAGTTTTACAGAATGTTCTTGTGCTGTAGTTTCTGACGGTTAACACTTTGCATGCCATGTATTTCCACTTGATTCACACCTAGTGCCACAGGTTTCCGACCCCTTTTCAGACTACTGTATTTGTTTCCAATTTACTCACCTTTGTCTTGTTTGGAAGGTATTCACATCCAGTCTACGGAAACCTGTTACCAAATTTTTTTCCAAAAAATCTGAAATTTTTACAATGTTTTTAAGTGGGTCCATTTTCAATTTTGTTTGGCCCTGAGTTCCCATTTTTCAAAATCGAAACTCAGAGCTTTTTGAGATGTTTTCAGCTCAAAAATACAATCCGACCAAGTGATTTTAAAATTTATCATTGATTATGTATTTAGTAATGTGTCTAAATTTGTTTAATGTAACTGATCCTACCCGACGTAATGAAATTTAATTAAACCAGTCAGTCCAAGGGCGCAGTTCTGTCTAGCGATATGATACCTGGGACTCATTGAGTATGGAATCTGGTGGATAAAATGCAAACTTAATGCATCTAGTTACTCCCTGTATAGATATCAGGGCCGTTTGTGAACGTAAGGGCTCACAAAAACATAGAAATAATGAAAATGCTTGGACACCAAACGGGATGAGCAGAAAAATGACAAGCGTGGCAACCAAGGGACAAATAACATGCAAACAAGAATCAAGACTTTACTGAAAGCCAGAGGCAGTTCTGGAGTTTGTCACTATTCTGCAGAGAAACCTTCTTTGTGTAATAGGTTCTTACTCGGAGCTGTATTCTTTGAAACAAGTCCATTTGCATGGAAACTGAAAGGAAAATCTTTCATCTACTCGAGACATATTCATGTCCTTTTGTTGCTCAATCCTCTCATACTAATGCCTGAGCATCAAATTTTTCTGCGACTATTCTCTCATCTCTAATCGTAAAATCCAATTCACCCCTTTAATTTTCCATAGTAGGTAGGGTCTTTTTCCATTATCCATTTCTCCTTCTATACCAGGCTAGACTTTGTGTGCTTTTGCGCCACAACTAAAATAGGTTGTAATGGAAATAAATTGGAGCGCGCTCTGTTAGGAAGTAGCTAAAGTTCAATGTTCCGATTCTACTCTACAGGTAGAACAATATTTGTAAACATTTCTGACCAAAGGTTTAAGTAATGGCAGAAATGCTGTAAGAAGGATATAGTTTTGCTAAATGCAGATCCCATGTTCGTCATATAGAAAGGGAAATTGTGGGGTGTGAACGTGTTGGAAAACGTGTTTCCAATTAAGGAGGAAATCTCCTATTGTTTCTATTGTTTTTCTTGTTGATGCTTTAAATTTACTTACTTCTTTTATGTTAATTTTGAGTACGCTGGAGAAAAATTGTGGCATTTCAGTGAGGAGTAGCCAGAAGCCCCAGTTGTGAGCAGTGTGGGCAACTACGACAGCCCATACTGGCAGTGATGTTAAGATGTGACGCCAAGGTGTTTTCATCCTCTGCAACAACAATAATTAATTTTCTCAAATCAAGTAAAAAGTCAAGTGAAAACATGGCATGAGTCTGAAAATTATGTTCTTGGTTATAAATGGTATACAGTTGTGTATTCAAGCGCAAACTTTCATTCAAAGGTTTGTTGTATTACATTGTCAACGATGGAATATACAAAACTCTTTAAAGAACGTTTGAAGTAATGTAACAACTGACTAATGAGAAAGAGCAGGGGTTTTCAACTCCTAACAAAGTTTTACAACGTATTAGGTCAGAAAAAAGTGTAGTATGGTTTAAGTTGTTTTCCTGGTTGTAGGTAGGAACAAATTTTGAAGGCCTTCTAAGGATCATCTTTGTTCAAATCATCTCCAAACGTCCCTTTGCGCTTTTTGCTTCTCAAGAGCAATTTATTTCCAAACCCTCTATCCACATTATTGATTTATTAATGCTGACTTTAAAATTATTTCTCAGAAAGAATGACTGAGTCAATGGACCACAATAAAGCTGGCCGATTATTGAAATTGATAGGCAAAGCAATAGACCTGGAAGACGAAGGGAAAATGGAGCCACCTTATTGGTTGAAACGGGTGATTTTTATTAACTAAGGGAAAAATGATGGACTAACTCTGGTGTGAGTTGCTGTTAGTTAGTCTATTACTTACCTCCTTTGACCTTCGTAACCACCCATTTCCGCCAATAAAATTGCTCCATTTTCCCTCAACTCCTGTAGTTCGTCTATCAATTTCAAAAATCCGCGTGTAGAGTAAGAATTAAAATACCACAAGACATCGTTCCTTATCCAAATTTTACGCAAGGCATGTTGGACATTTAGAAAATCTCTAAAATCTTCTCACAAGAGCAAAATTAGCATTTTGATGGTGAAACTCCCAGACCACCTATCTTGTTTGCGGTATTTCAAAATCTCTGTTCTCATTTTAGTTTTTATAGAAGTACAAATCAACATCACTCCTCAAAGTTTTCATAGAATTTTTCATTGAGGAAAAATCATAAAAGTTTTTAAGAATTGATGTTAAGTGGTTTTCTATTTGAAAAATAAATTATGACTGGAAGTCTGCAACATTACAAGCGGAGGTACTTGGTTTAGGAATTCCACTGTTGATTTTTAGTTTTCATTAGAATAAGTGGATGCAAACTTTGCTCTCACAAGAAAACCAAGTTCAACTCATGTCAAATCGATCTTTGAAAATCTAATCTGTTGGATAAGTCAGCAAAATTTATCCCAGCAAAATTTGACCCCTCCTGCAATGCATGGAACTCGTTGACTTGTTAACAAAAATTAGCGAACACAGGAAATTCTTCAGCCATACAACGCTCTAAAATGTTGTTGACACCCAATTTGACTTTGAAAGGCTTCAGCTATTATTGATGTCTTATTTTCTTACCTTGTCTAGTGATCCATTGTATTCAAGAATGAAACAAATAGTTGCTCAAAACTAATAAATTCTTTGTTTCTTGCATCTCTACTAATTGAATCAGAGTAAATTTATGTTAGTGCTCAACATTAGAGAAGCCATAAATTATCTGGTACTAAATGTGATCATTTTTTTGAGACCCTTCAGTATTCCTTTAACTTGAACTACTTTCATTGAGACATTATTAGGGATTATTAAAGAGAAATGACTTCAACTTGAAAAATATTTATCACACTGATTGATTCTCTCCTTCGGGAATGCCTAATTCTAATGCTTTTTTTTACCTTTTCTTTTTCGTCATGATAGTTTATGTTTTTCACAATGTACTTGAGTTCTTCCTCTGAGATAATTTTAGAGTTGGTTGGACTTGTATCTCCGAATATCATCCAAAACACAACCCAGGCTAAGCCAAGAGCACCAGAAATATAAAATATCGACGGCCAGCCTAAAGAGCTGCTCGCCAGGAAACCAGCCATCACAAGAATTATCATGGTCCCAAATTGAATCCCTGAAATAATGATGAAGAAAACAAATTTCATACCACCAAAAATAAAATAGTCTTTTCAGGTCCTATACTGCTTGGCTTCAGCAGAAAAACCCCCCTCTGCCTTTTCTATCGTCTTCTCAACTCTTTTTTCTTCTACTCATTTTTCCCCTCAATTTTCAATCAATACATATCGATCGATGGCTAAAGTGCGAAACCAAGTATCTCCATGTGCAATGTTACAGACTTCCTGTCATACTTTATTTTTTCTTCGGAAAACTAATCAGAAAAATTCCTTGAATTTTTTTTCAAAATTTCTTCTCCATTAGCAGAATATTCTGTATAAATTTCACACTGTGAAATTGGCTTGCTTTTTTTCTAAAAAATAAAATAGGAACATAAATTTTGAAACACCGCACTGGAGGTATGTGGTTTCGCTTTTTGGCCATCAGTACGGTGTCCAGGAAGTACCAGGACTAGTTCTGTAATTAAAAAATTAAGGTAGCTTGTAGTTTTATCTTACTCTTTTGAAAGATCAACTCAAAAGCTTTCGATTGAGACCAGGATGAATTCTTCTAATCGCAAGTTGATGAAATTACGGTTTGTTAAAAAACGCAAATGACTTTCTCACCGATTTTTTAAAAAATTTAACTCGTTTTACATACTACGGCGGTTTCAGGCATCCCCCTGTCAGGTATAATAGAAAACTAGAAACATAGTAAATTATGTCAATCACCATAATCGTAGTTTGTTCACGTTCTGGTTTCAATTAGTCATCAATGACAGTGCGGACATCTGAAACGACCAATGTGTAAGAAAGAAAACAAGTATTTTTTAAAAATTGGTCAGGAAAACTGATGTACTTTATTTTACATGGAATGTACGCAGATAAAGTTGCATAACAACTTCTAAAGTTAAGGTAGTTAAATCATACAAAAAATCTGGACCCTCTACTTCTTCCAACTAAGTACTTCTCTTGTCAAACCCAGTCTCTAAAATTAATGTCAATTTACGTGCATTTGCTGCCAGGAGCAACTCTGGTTTTTTGTAAGTACAACAAATTATGTCGTCTTAGCGAACTTATCAACTTCATTTAAATTAAACTAGTAGGATTTTGAAGAAACCTTGCTTCCTTATGTTGGTTCTTATTGTTGTCTCGTATGACATGGCAGTTTAAATATGCTTTTCTTACCTCCCAAAATAAATCCAACCAATCGGCCTCTTTCTTGTGGTGGAGCCCACTTAGACATGATTCCATGGACCATAGGCATCATGAAAGCCTTCGATAAAAAAAATAAAAATAAAATCAACCAACACTTATAAAAATGAGAAAAGCGGTTTGTTTCAAAATGTCTTGCATCTGTTCTGCACATTTTTTATAGTTTCTAGTCATGAAGTATGCTCATTGTTTTTTGCTCAATCTTGAATTGACAGCTTTTTTGCTCTGGTGGCATAACAAAGAATTCATGTTTTTATGAGTTTGTATTTACTGCGCATTAGATGCACCTGGCAAGTAGGAAATCTTTTGGTGTTTATCTACATCTCTCATGCTGCTCCGCAAGTTTCAACAATAATTAACGGAATTTCGTGTCTCACTTGTAATGCTGAAAGTAACAATACTGATGACTTGTTTTCAGCTGTGGAATCCATTGACTTCTTTAAGTTTTGATATTTATTTAACTCTGTTTGTATTGACCGAATTTTTTTTTTAACATATTTCAATCTGGTATTCCTCCTTAACTTTGAGCTGCTTTTCATAGTGAAATTCCCAATGAGAAAATCAATAAATTTTAAGGCCATGCATACAAAAGGCTGATCAGTTCCGTCTAAGTTTGTGAGGTTTCGTCTGTTCGAAGGGGTCTCTTAAAACTTTGAAGTGACTAGTGTGTAGTGTAGTGGAGTTGAGCTAAGGGGAGGATAATCTGACTTTTTGGTTGCACTTAAATATTTCCACCTAAGCAGAAATATGATTGTTGAAGCCATTGTATAAGTTTGGCCTATTCTCTACCTTAGTCTTATGGAGGAACGCCTTAAGCACAGTTGTAGTTGGCAGGAATTCTAGAGGTACTTCTAGAGAGCTTTTATTCTAAGAACCATTTCATGCTCAAGTATACAGTAAAAAATTCATCATGCATCCGAAATTAAATATCATCTGTCAATAAATACTGAATATTTTTAATAAAACTCTCCTGAAGATTGTTTATCTCATTATTTCCATGATGTTTGAGAGTTAAAGATTGTTAAAAATCGTAATTACCTTGGATGTTGATCTGTTAGCACCATTGGTCTCAGTGTTGAGCAAGTCAAGTTGTAACGCATTGAAAGGCAACAAGAGTTAAATCAGAGTTTTAACAGAGTTTTGACTCTGCTATGTTTTTGACGGTATAACTTGGGTGAATATAATGAGACTGGAGAAGTTTCCAAACTTGAGAACGGGGAACTAAGCCATGCTTGATGAACCTTGAATTCCACGGCTGCAAACATGTCGCATCAATAGACTTAGTAAGAGTTCCAACTATATATCAGATAGAAGTTATCACTTTTGAAACTTAGACCTTAAACAGTGATTGAATAAGCAAGAAAAATGATGAGTATAATCAAGTTTGGTTCCTGTGATTCAGGTGAAGGAGAAAATATTTTTACCTGGAAAACCCCTTGGAACAAGCGGAGTCCAGTCAAGCCTTTCCAGCCCAAATACGAAACGATGATCGGCGATGTGCAGGCTAAAATGCTACCAACTGTCGTACTCATAGCCAACAAGTACTTATTGTTAATGAAACGGCCAAGAACTGCAGCTGGAAGATTCATCACCAAGTATCCCCAAAAAAAGGAACTTAATATTGTGCTCCGTTCAGATGTATTCCAGTCAAATGTCTACAAAGCAGAACAAGAGCTATAAATCCAAGTGTCTTGTTTTGAATGTGCGTAAACATTAAAGCAGTCTAAGTTTAAAGCTCTAACAGTTGCTCCCGAATAATAACCAATTTTTACAAGAACCACTCACTCGGATATCTTTCCTCTACTAATCAGAGATGAATGAACATGAAGGGATAAGCAACATTTGTCACTCAAATTGGACGCATTTCTGTCAAACGGAAGTATGTGCATTGTTACGTAAGCCTTGTTATGCACATATTCTTATGGGTCTCATGGCTCATGTCTTAATGCACATAGTTCCGTTTGATTGAAATACGTCCAATTGCGCTCTTGATGAGACAAAAATAGGTGTCCTGGACCAATAAAAATCCACATTTTTAGGGGAGCCAGCAATCTCAAAAAAATTACGAAATCGTTATTAAATACCCCAGGGAATGTTTTCCCTCTTTCACTTCAAGACTGTATGTTGAAGCAGGTCTTGAAGGCTTTGATGCTTGAACACATGAGAAACAGGAGAGTTCAATCACTGGTTGTGTCACGTAGAAAGTCCTATTCTTCTGAAGCAAGAGTATTAAAGCATGTTGGTTGCATGTTTGTTCTGTTAAAAAAACCGTTTCACTACTTACTTGAGGTTGTTGAGTGTCTCCATTGTCAGTGTTATTTATTTTTAACGTCATTGCAACGACAGCCACAGAAATGTTGACTCTTTGTAAATAGTTGATGAAAACGCATGCGAATAGCAAAATACTTAGCAAGTGCCTTTGTCCGATCCATCCGAAGGCTGGAGAAAGAAATATTTCAAGGATTCATCATAATTGGGATAAAAATAAATTTGAACGAAAGAGCATCATCAAGCTTTTAACAGGGTTGCCACAGTCAAGGAATACCGGAAAAACCGCCAAATTTCAGGGAAAATGACGAAAGTGTGGGGGGAAAATTTTCAAGTCACTTTTATTTACTTTCTAGAATAGCTTTTACATTATCAACAACAGATTTTGCTTGAAAATAATTTCAAATATTGTCATTTCAACCACATGTTATATCTTCAGCTGTCAGGGAATTCTACCAAAATGTATCAGAAAAATTCATTTTCTCAATTCTATGATACCCCAGTTTAAATTTGCAGTCGTTGAGCTTCCCAAAGTCAATCATATTGGACTGCATATTGCAATGTAAAACTACTATCTCTGGCTTATCTATAGAAACATCTATTTGCACAGAAAAACGCATGTTCTTTGTAATATGAGGCGAAACATTACTTATTGCAAAATGTGGTCCATTTGTGAATGCCAAAGAACTCAATAATGGGCTTACCATTCTGGTCTATATTGATCATTCTCTAAATTAGAATAATGATTGTTAAAGGTACCAGTTCTAACTGCCAAGCTTCGAGGAACAGCTGTTTGCATCTTTCCTTTTTCACGTTTAAAGATAGCTTTACACCCTGTATTAGTTGGGAAACCAACAGGGGCGGACTGGCAGTCGAAAAGTTAAGAGGCGACCTAGATTTGGGGGCCCTTCCTGTCGTTCGGGGGCCCCTCCTCATGGAAAATTTTAAAAATTTCACACTTTTTTAAACGCAATTTTAAGCATTTTTGGAGTCAAATTCAAGAGTGTTTGAACTTCAAAATAACCCATTCTCAGGATTCTTCGGAGGCCGGGCCCCTTCATCATTTCTGGGGCCCCAGTGACCCCCTAGATTTCCCTGTATATTCTGTATTATAAACTTTAGACGACCTTTTATGTCTCTTAGAGACAAATTTTCAAGGATTTTGAGGCATGGTAGTGACCGTGAAGGATTGGAAAATTACAACATTACCGGGAACAAAAAAACGACGAATCGAAAAAATCGCCGCGGGGGCCCCTCCAGGGCTTCTGCGGCAAATTTTTAGGGGGCGATCGCCTCCCCGCCCCTATGGCCAGTCCGGCCCTGGAAACCAATTAAATTACTTGCTAATTACTGATGTACTCACATGCTAAAGAATGCTTTCTGTGAAAAACTCAAACTGTTTTCGTGTAACTCGACATGAATTACGATACTCTCCTTGAAATATTTTTTCTCTGAACAAGAAATCCCTCTCCTATGGACGGCCACAATTTTTTTTCAACTGAACTGAATTTGAGATAGATTTTTTCTTCTTCTTCTTTTTTGTGAATTTTGTTTGATTTTTAAGAGTCAGGCTGTGATTTGTTTAAGGTGTAAGTTTGAAACAGATTAAATATGAATAATGGATCTCCGTGGATTATATTTTCAAACACTCTATTCGTATTTTTCGTAAGTAGTACATATGTGTAGCTTAATGTAAGGGAGCCTGTTAAGGCATAAGTATTCCGTGTGAAAAATGTACCATCCGTCAACAGAGCTCAATTTCCATGACCCTCGCTGAAGAATAATAATTTTGTTATTTGTTAATGCAAAAGCAATTGTCTAATATGTTGGCAAATATGTCACGAATTTCAAAATCATGTCTCTATAAGACGTTTCAGCCAAGTCCATGTTAATTTAGTGCACACAATAAATTTATATTGTTCTAAGTTTTTCAGGAAATCAAATCTCTACTAGGAAGTAATGATTAAGCTATGGATTTTGTATTAGTTTGCTTAAAAATTGTCAATTGAGGCTGTATTGCCCACATCAAACGAATTATTATCCGTACCCTCTCTATTTTTTCTCTGTTAGTGTGTTCTTACGCAAGAATCCTTGAAAACCTGGTAAAAACCTGTAGTAGCTTGTTTATCATGATTATGTGTTGCTAAACTTGCTGCTGATCTAATTCTCTATAAAAATTAAAGATCAACAATGAGCTTAATTTCAAGTGGCCATTAAGTACCCACTCAATCTTGTTAGTAATGACATGAATTCCTCATCACAGGCTAAAAAGATAATTAGATTCAATTGTTAATAAATCATTCTGTTCTACTTTCATTGTAGGCGTGCTTGTCATTTATTTTGGCTCAGATACTCCCCCTCCCCCTTATTCCGCCACCATTTGTTACTTCATTTTATCGTTCTTCCACGCTATTTTACTATGATTACCAGGTACTTTACAATAATGAAGAAATTGCAGGTCTCTGTAAGTTGATGAGTTTTATTTGTAAGTAGAAACTCCTGAGTGGACTTCTCATTTCAGAATTAAGAAATAGTCTTGGTTAAGAATATCCTTGCTTTCTAAATTTAATAATATTTCACAAGTGCTGGCTGAATGATCTATTTTGCAGTAATATATGTATTTAGGTATTAAATGTCACCTATTGACATCATAAGACATCCCTCCTAAATGTATTTTGCTCCAGTTTCCATATCAGAAAAAAAGTTTAAAAAACACTTCGAGCTTAGCTAATCAACCTCTTTCATAAGAAGCAAACAATTTTTTTGAAGTAAAGTTCTCCATTCAACGAAGAAAAAAACATTGCCTTCTTGATGGGTTGTAACCAGTGCTGCGCGAAGCAGCATATCTCTCTCTAAGACAAAAGTGCGCTTGAATGAGCCTTTTTCCCTGTAAAATGAGAATTTCAGTTTATACTAAATTTTGACGCACGTCGTGTAATCTTGTGCACATATCCATAATCGCTTGTAGCAATACAAAATTGATGAGATGAGTGAGAGGAAGGGTTGCAAAAATATTCTTATCAAATTAAAAATTGAGTGTTCGTACAATTACATGGTTTAAACAGAACCAGTGTGATTCCTCCCTTTTTCAAAAGATTCCTCTTATCTTGCATTTCCGTAGAAAACTAAGTACGCCTTGACATTTTTACCGTACTCCAGTTCAGAAAATCCAAAGGAAATTCATGAAAACTTTTCAAGCAAAATACTGTTTGATTTTTTGTGAAGAAATGGGGGAAAAGTTATGTAGGAGTAGAAATTTCGATAGTAGAATGTAGTCTTGATAATTCTATTTACAGTGCCTAATTATAATGATGTGGAGAGGAAGATTTTTCAGTAGAGGGAGGTACGTGTGGATCAAATTTAACAGAAACGCATCAAGTCGGATTTTGGAAAGAAAAAATGAGTTGAGAGTAGTTTTTGACCAGTCGGAAATTTTCCCATGTCAAAAATTCTTAAGTTGAGGAAAAATATTTTGTACATAGAAATAGTCGTTAAACTTTGTCCTTAATATTGAGGATTGAGATTGAGATGTATTAATATTGAGCATATGAAGGATATATCCTTAATATCATGAAGGAAGAAACTTGCAGCCTCTCTGTCAGGACTTTTCACTGTTTTTCCAACCCATCTTTCAATCCCTTGAAATTCTACTTTTCTCTTTTCAAAATTCTATACTTTCAATTTGTTTCTCTGCTCAAGCTTTGAGGCACTTAAATTTAGCCCTAGTCTGTTTTATTTCTCGTTATCTGACTGTAGATCATAATAAAGTTAATGAGCTGATTGACAAAATCGGGTGAGGAGAATTCCCAACAACCAATAAGTGGAGGCCCAGTCGCACCATCAGTGACGTCATCATTTGTTCATAAGGACTTTTAAACCCAAGATCTAGGTCTCTTCCTATCTTTTTGACCCGCGTGCAATGCAACTTCAGTACATTTTGCGTTTATTCTAAGTCTTAGTGTAGTTTCCCGTTTCGCACTGTATATTCTAATTTTGAACATCAAAGTCCTTTAGTTTCACATTCAATGTGTTTCTTTTTCTAGTTTCTGCTCTCCTCCACAATTCACATCCTACTATTAACTCCTTCCCAAATCCCTTAACATACAAGCTGTTTTTGCCTCTTAAATTCAATCTCACACGTCTGTCTATGGCCCTGATACTCTCTTTCTTAGTTCAAGCTCAATGTGTTTCTATTAAACTCGCTTCATGTCATCCTCAGATAATTTTTGCTAGAACGCTCCGATTCTAATCAAATTTAAATTTAAGGTAAGAACAGGTCCTTTCATGGACGTAATAAGCTGTTCAGAACTTTCTCTCGAACCTTCAGAATGGAAATGAAACTTTAAACTTATTGTTAGTAAATGTCTGTCACAAATTACTCAAAAAAGGAAATGAAAAGAAAAAAAAGAAAACGCTCCTAATAAAGTTGCATCTGGAAACTAAGGTCCTTTTTCCTGTAAGTGTGGGTGGTTGCTTTTGGTGTGCATTTTTCCACTTGGTCTCCAAAATTAAAAGTAGGAATACAATGAAATTCTGTCTTGAAAGTCAGAGTACCCAGCTGAGAAACTGATTTAAGATGAAACCATGACTTACTTTTGTTTGAAATTTTTGTCTCTGAAGAAATGGACTCCTTTCTTTCGATATCTGTATCCATTTTAATGCGTCACAAATTCACAAAACAATTAGCTAGAGGAGGACAGGTGATAGTAAGAAATTTCTCATTTGAATGAAGGTTTGAGACACTGGCATAAGTAGGGAGGAAGCGAGCACTGGAGCAGAGAACTGTTACTGACAAGGGCCTCATGAAGAGGGCCAGTGAATCCAAAATCTTATCCTGGATCAGATCTGTTTCGGCCGTAACCAATTCATCAGTGTCAAACAGTCAAGGTTCTCAACAGGATAGTCGAGATAAACAAGCAAATATCACTCAACCGTTAGAGAGCACGGTCCTATCAGGTGTGACCACTCAACCGTTAATCATCTCAACTGTGAAGGAGTCACCAGGTGATTTTCCTGTCAAATAATGAAACTCACCTTGATTCTCTCCACTCTTCTTTTCCAACATCGTTTTTTATTTTAGAGGTTCAACACAATTCTATTTTCTACTTAAACATTCTCAGGATGAAGAAGTTATGGTTTTCATTAGATGTACGCATATTTTACATTTTTACTCCTGTTTATCAATTATTAATTTCTGCGCCATGTTATTGCATTAGTAATAAAGGTAATATTCTGCCAACTGACCTTGTTCTCTGTCACTTATTTAGTCTCTCGCATGACTAAATGCAAAGTGTCTACGAATAGATATTCTGAGAAAACCCCAAGCGTACCTACACCCCCCCCCCCCCATAAGATTCAAAGAACATCCTGATGACAATTTTAGTGTGAGGGTGATATTTAAAGAATGTTCTCAGCTTATTGAAGTAGATTCTGTATGCTGAAAGCAATTAAATAATGATCGGCAGGTAACCATGAATTTATTTGCGCTTCGACCCCCTCTCTAAATTATAGAATCGTTAGACAAGTAGTACTCATTGTGAAATTGTCACTTTGTCAGCCGAACTTGTGTTATTTTAAAAAAGTCCTTTCAACGAAAAATTGAACTTCACAAAAGTGAGATGGTTCAGAAAAATGAAACTTAATTCCAAAAATTGCTTCAGAATATTCAAAGGAAGATAATGTAAAGGATGTTTCCTGGATGTTTTATGTATAAAGCAAGTAATTACTCAGAAGAGTCATAAAAATGCTTGGAACAATAAATATATAGTAGCAGTACATGAATGTAAGTCCACCAACGACTGTATTCCGCCAAACATCAAATTCATAAGAAAGGAAATCTCAACGCAACTCATGGCTTTTGTGCTGTAGAAACTATGCATTGGGCTCCTTTTTTCTGTTTATTGATGGTTCAAGCAACACGTTTTCCACTTTTTACTTTTTTTTATTGTCTTAATGCTTCCATTTTTAATTTTGTAAAACGGAATTTTCCTCAAAAATATTCGTGGCACTGAAGAAAATTGAGAAGCCCTGCAATATCCTGTAATGAGGCACTAAAAATTTACATTTTCTAACATTGGTAATCCAAATTAAAAAGGTCGATTTGACCCTAGAAGACTCCCGACCCCATGGGCCTAAGGAGGGTGCATAAGTAGTTCCAAAAATTTTCAACAACTAGGAAGGTTGCTCCGTTTTGCTCTACGACCAACGGTTTAGGAGATATTTGCATTTTCCTCATTCAGAGATCTATCAGTTTTAATCATGATGAAAAATCGACCAGCGTCAAAATTTTGAAAATGAAAATTGAGGCTGGAGGGCCACTGATCCCATGGGCCTAAAGGGATGCTAGAACTGTTCCGGAATTTCAGAAGGACTGCAAGATTAGCTCCATTTTGCTATATGACCAACAACTTATAGTGATATTCTGTCGCAAAAATGCAACCATTTTTGCAGCCTCTTACTGCAAAATTTCGAAACATCAAATCGATATTTCCACGGGACTCCAGGTTCTTGAAAGTCTGTAAGGAATGCTAAAGGAGGTTTACAGAGACTTCTCAGACTGAAAGGCTTTTTTAAAAACGAGGAAAAAAATCAAGTATTTTAAAAATATTTATTATTCATGTGTATAAAGAGTCTGAATTAAAAATAATGATAAATAATGATAAAGTAATAAACAAAATGCTTTTAAAAACTTTGTGATAACATTTGCTGAATTGCTAGTAACTACTTACATTACATGAAACTAAATTTTTAACAGAGGTTTAAATTTTTTCCAACAAAGCTTCAGGAGATCAATCTGAAAACGCATTTAGAGGATATATTTCACATTACTTTGTCAACAGTAGATGGTTGCTTCAAGTTGAAACTGCTGAGAATACTCACAGCATTCCCAATTCATCGTCTCTTTTATAGAAACCCATTCTTTCTTCTTGCGCAGAGGAAGATTCGTCATCAAAAGAATTTGTTAACGCAGATGTACAAGAACAGGTCAAGTATTGAGACAAAGAGAGAAAATTCATTTGGAACTTACCTAAAAGTACAATATTTATAGTTGAACATGAATATGTAAACAGGACTTATCAGCACATTTTTGAGGAAAGCTAGAGGGCAATTATTACATAGCCTTTCTAAAGAGAGTAATGTAGAATGTATAGCTGGGCCCTGTTTTCTAGAGGAAGTCCATTTGAGATATGTGTGAATGGTTTAAGTAAAAACTATAATCTGCGCAGCTTCTGTTTATGAAACAAACCAACTTTTTTCCAGTATCAATCATTTTCCTGAAATAGAAAAAAAGGCCATGAAAACTATTATTTGCATGACAAATGCCATAACAATTGGAGCTACATCTTTTGGGGGGTTGAAAAATACAAACATTACTTGAACCTTAAGAAGGTTAGAAAACTAGATTATAATCATACACTTCATTGAAAAAGAAGGCTGGTTTCCTTTACAATGTTACTGTAAAGAAGTTTTTTCTAGATTAAAGTGCTTACACAAGATAAATACAACGTTTTTCATGGCTGGTGAGACTGCCTCAGTTTGTCTTCACATCTAAAGGCAGGGGCAACTGATGGTACATTGGGCGGTTTCCCTCCTAAGCAATTGGTTTTATAGCGTTTGTAACTAATGGACCAAATATTTGTAAACATGAAATCAAGAAAAATGCGGTCAATAGTAAGCGTAAAACGTTTGTTTGAAAATTAAAAGAAATATTTTTGCGCATTAAGGTGATGAAAGTTGTAAATGATCTGAATTTAAGATGCAACTTCAGTTCTCGTGATGACAGTGAATGTAGGAGGATTAGTAGGTGCGGCAAAGATTACCCACTGAAATCAGTTTGAACATCCATGAATACAAAGAATAAGCACCATGTAAATCTAAGTAACAAATAACCCCAGAAAAAACATTCTGTACCATACCGTAATACATAATAACAATTTGTTAAAACGCACAAAAACTTAACGCACATCTCAAAGCAAGTTTTAAAATTAGGCTATCTATCTTATTAAGCAGCAGGAAAAGGTTAGCTAAAGTTTCACCTGTTACTCAAATTCAGCTCGAGATATATATTACGTCGGTGATAGGAAAATGAGATCAGTGGTTTGACGATTTTGGTTCTTAAGGAGCAGTCGAATATTGCTGGACGAAACAAGGTGAAGGGGGAGGGGGGCGGCTGAGACAAAGCTTTCTGCGACCATCAAAAAAATAGAACAATAAGGCTGGATTAATTTCTGGCAAGGAAGAGAAATTAAGGAAATACTGCTCTGTAGTCCAGGCGCCTGGTAGCTAAAAATGAGGCTCCCTGAAATTTCGGGTACACAGCAATTTTTTTGGCCTGCTGTAGGTTTTTTGGGTCGCTGAATCTGAATCTGCAGTTTCCTTACACGTATCTGCTGTGGTTTGCCGCCATTTAGAAAAAATTGCCTAAAAAGGCCTTTATTTGCGGTTTTTTTGAAAAAAGCGGCTACGCATTAGAAAAAATCCCGGATTTAGTTGATGCTCTGAATAGCTGACGTGATTTGGAAGAAAATGGTATATAAATGTGCTAGGTTTGCTAAAAAATTGAGGAGCCTCGGGACTCGGAACTTTGGAAGACTCCGGAACTTGGCGGAGCGCGCGTTCACGGGTGCGCCGCGAAAACGTGAGTGGGCGCAATTTTCACGATGCTGAATCTTCCTCAATTTTTGAGCAAACCTAGCACATTTATATACCACTATCTTCCAAATTACGTTAGCTATTCAAAAAATCAACTAAATTTGGGTTTTTTTTCATGCGTTGCTGCTATTCTAGAAAAACGCAAAAAAAGGCTTTCTTAGGCCGTTTCTTCAACATGGCAGCAGATGCACACAAGGTACGTGTTAGGAAACTTCAGATTCGGATTCAGAGACCCAAATGACACAAAGTAGGCCAAAAAAAAAGCCAAAAAAAAAGCTGTGTACCCGAATTACCAGGTAGACTTACCAGGCGCCTGGACTTATGCACAAAAAATAAGTAGAGCTCAAGGTTAGCTGTGGAGAAAAGAGAAACAGAAAATAGTGTGAAATGATGCTCCTACTTCTAAGTCCCGTAATCCAGACTCCTTTTTCATTTTATGAAAATACCACTGAATGATCAACTTGTTATTTCTAGCATGATTTTATGATTCAAAGCCCTGTATATAAATTCGTCTTCCTTTGGCTAACATGAACGATAACAATAGTGCCATTCACCCTACCCTAGTTGACAATTAGAAAAGTTCAACAGCAGGTAAAGACCTTTCTAGAATAAAATAACGAGAACTTTTGATTCTCTCAAAAAAAAGAGGAGGTTTCAAATTAGAGCAGATAAGAATGCTCTCTGGTCTAGAAAATGCCGAGCACATTCAAAATAGAAAATGATTACTATGATTAGACAATAATTAAGGAAACTCTCTGGGAAAAAATGTACAGTAAGACACAATAAAAGAAGCTAAAACATAAAAATAGGCCACTAGTTCAAGTGACAAAAGACCTATTGGATGAAGAAAAAAGTGAGTACTAATTTTACAACAACAACGACAAGGTGTAGTCCATGAGGTTCATTTCTTTTTATTACAAACATTCTCTCCAGACGTAGGGTCTCTTCAAGTATTGTTTAACGCACCTAAAGGTAAACGGATTCTCTATCAACATTATACTCCATTACAGAAACATAGGCAAGAACATTATAGGGGGGATGTAAAGGTATCAAGATGAGAGGGAAATGCGTCTACTTGAATAGTCCTTGATAACTGATTTTTCCCTAAAACGAACAATAGAGGAAACTGTACACAAAGAACTAGAAAACTGTGATAAATACTTTATCTCCTGAATCCGCACAAAAGTTGAGAATATCTATAGTTCAACATCAACTCGAACCATTACTAAACAATGCTTCAAAGAAATACAAAATATGGTGATGAGAAAAAGTATTGACAGAAACTAAGAAAATTCAAATTTCTTTTGAGAAATTGGACGGATTTTATCAGAATCAGCCCAGCTCATTATCAATATTGATCGACAAAATAGACAAAGAAAAAATGGAGCAATCCTATGGGTAGAAGCAGGTGGTTATAATGGACAAAGGAGATAATTAATTGACTAACACCAACCAATGAGGGCTTATAGTTCGTCCATCATTTTCTCCCTTCATCTACAACAACCACCCGTTTCAACCGATAGGGCAGCTCAGTTTTCCTCGGTCTTCTCAACCTAATGTTCGGTCCACACATTTTTTTAATAATCAGCTTGCAGAAGTTGCCTAGTTTTCTTAATTTTTATTTTTTGACAAGATAGTACCTAACAATTGACTTGAACAATATTTTTTAAGGTGTAATGCTATTTAATTTTCTGTTGACAGAATGAAACATGAGAGACAATTAGCCAACTTCAAAAACAAATAGGCTGATTCTGGCTAAACGTACCCAACTTTAGACTTACATTATAAAGTTTAGAAAGGAGATTTTTGTGCCGAGTAAAACTCGGACTGATGAGGCTGTGAATACTGAGAAAAGAGCAACTTTCATGCCAGTATCCGGATAAACATCATTAGGGTTTTAGTGCTGTGAGATATTGGATCAACCAGTCCCTGGATTTTTCTAAGGACTGATCAATTTGATAACAGTAGAGGGCACATTAAAAGAAAATCCTATTGTATTCACTTAAAAATTAAGTTAATTTTCCCCCGTTTTTTAAGGGAAAACATCAAATGCACCGATCAACTTTCTGAGGTATTTTTAACATAATAATATGTAATAAAAAAATTAAAAACCGCCAGAAAGAGCTTGTCCAAAAAGTGCCCTTCTCAGAACGCTCAGGAATTTCGCTTAAATGTGTCCTACACAAAACCTTATGAAGAGATGATCTCCCACTGTAAGTTTATGACTGATGTAAAAGCTCGTTTTAGCAAAGCAGCATTGCCAAGTTTACATTTTCACCCTTGAAAAATGCTGATATATTCTGGTTCCTTGATTACAAAACAACTTAAGTGATCCCTATTCATTTTCTTTGGCATAGTATCATCAGCTTAAGTTACTTGGCGATATGGACTGTCATTTAAAACAATGGTTAGAGACTGGTCAGGATACAGCGTTGCTAAGTTTATACAGGGTATCCTAGACCACCAGTGCAAGGCTTTTTCCTCCGTTATTTTGAGTCAGATGAAGTCGGGAACTGGGGGTTGAACAGAAAGTAGACACCAAGGAATTCAAATTGTATCGTTTCAAGGTTTCTATCCTCCAGGTTACCTTGAGGTCAACCCTTGGCCCCCAGTCCCCAACTTTGTCCAACTTAAATAACCAGGAATAAAGTTTCATACTGAAGGTCTGAGAAATCGTGAATAATCTTTGTAACACTGCATTGCGACCAGTTGTTAAACGTTTGGATCAACAGTGGTCTCATTAGCCGAATAACATCAGCTGATGAAACTGAGACTCAGAAAATGCAAAAAGATGGACCAAAGTTGATTTATTGACAGAGAAACCTCAAATTATGTGAATTTTTAAATGATAAAAAAAAAAAAAAAAAAAAAAAACCTTTGCAATGCTGTATTACCAAACAAGCTTTCAACTTTCTATAACTTACAGTTGAGGATTGTCTCATCATTGGGTTTCATTTAAGACACGATTGAATGAAAGAGGTTCCAGTAAAGGCAGAAAATCCCATTTTGTTGACAGGCTTTTTGATCCTGGTAAATGCAGTAATCATCAGGAAAGTGGGACAAGCCGTAGAAAAAGTTCTGAATGGGTTAATGAGCTCTGCTTTTGAAGTTTTCACAGATGTAGACGCAAGGATACTTAAAAATACTTGCTGAGAGGTTGCATTTCGGACTCAGCATGGGGTTCAAGTCAAAAATAACAAATTCAGAAAAGTATTTGTGGAGAGACTTTTTACTTAAACAACAGAATTGATTTAAAGATGCACTGCCATCACCAAAAGTAATCTAAAAAGCAGGAAAAATATTCCTGGGTTAAATTGAACAACTCCTCAGTGTAAATAAAACTATTTGCTTAGAATGGAGTCCTAGATTTGCCGCAAAAAAAGGCTGCGATTATACTATGTACACCTTATGACATAATACATAAAAACATGGGATCGACAGGTACAACTAGGTGATAACTAGTGGATGAGAAGTCTTTCCCCAGCTCTGTGATTAAGAAGACTTATATACAGATAAAGCACATACATGTACAAGTAGCTTTTGGTAAACATGTCAACGAATTGATAATTGACTTCCCAACTGAATATGAACATTAGCTTAGAGTTTGAAGAAATTCAATTTACAATTTTGTCACTTCCATTCAGATGACAGAACAATATTACGCCGACTTGGATGCAGTATCTTCTCTACTTCCGTTGATGTCAAAATGCCGTGCACGTCATGGTATCTCCTCTATTTTACACTGCCCTACGGTGATTAAGCTCTAAATTACAGTATCTTAATTGCAAGGCTCCAAAATTTGGGGGCATTGTTTTTTTTTCAGAGGAGAAACGAATCAAGATTTTAACTTGACATGATTGCAAGGTAACCAAGAAACGGTAAAGAAAATCAGAAAAAATTCAAGCTGAGGGGTTAATTTGCTTCCATTTTGTAACATGAAGCATGCTTCGAAATTTTTAACCCTTGCAACTGAGATATGAGGTTTTATAGTTAGTCGTGACCCTCTTTTCCCATTTATCCCCAATTTACACCATTCGTTGTTTCACTCTCGATCACGCTCTTTTTCATGATCTACTATTCCATGATCAGGTTCTGATTGTACATACCTTTCACTCAAATTTGATTGCTATGATTGGAAGGTAAGTCTTTCTTTTCTGTATTGTTTTTCTAAATTTCTACAGAGATAAATTATTGTAAAATTGTTCAATTATTTGCCAGAGGGACTGATCTTGCCAAGACTTTTTGATACAATTCCTTCTATGGGGTTGGTGCGCCACAGCCAAGAATCAATTGAGATGTGCAAAAAAGGTAAACATCCATAAATTCATAAACCCTGGAATCCATTGTCAATAATGTATATCAAGGCTCGAGGATTTTTAGCCTTGTTTATTGTTGGCAAGACAAATTTTAAAATCAAATGAATATTTCGTCATGAAAAAAGGTACCTCCTTTCAAATATGAAATACTTTATAAGATAGTTTGGTCATATTTATTCAGTCCATCTCAGATTGAAAATCAATGCTTGCAAAGATTGCTTTGGTCAGTGAACCACTGAGAGAAAAGTCACATATTGGGTGGTTACGAACTAATGATGCATTACAATATTTACAATGATTACCGTTTAGGTTTGGACAGTTTTCCAATCAGGTTGAAATATTAATTTTTTCTCACCCGCTTTCATACTGAACATTCTAGATATTAAAGTCTATTGAAAACTAGAGAAACAGCAGAGTGGGGATACACAACAAACCATCAGAAGGATTATTTTCCTCTTGTCAGCGTGCAGACTGAACTCGCACTTACTCGTAAAAATTAGGAACAAGTGGAGGGTCAAACTTAAACAGGATTGCCCTAGAAACAGTATTACGCTGTTACTGGTCCATTGGACTAGGACCATAATTAACAAATCAACATTCAAAATATACAAAAAAAAATTATGATACAATTATTTTGTTATTTGCCAGAGAGACTCATCTCGCAGAAATTTCTTGAAGTTCTCTTGACACTCGGGAGTGTTCCAGTTCTTAACAAGTAAATGACATTCCGCTGCTAGCGCCATGTTTAATTGAGCCCTCATCTCCTTGCGCATCAATGTTTTTGTTGCCTCCATCGCCTGGTTGGATAGAAAGAAACATCAATCAAGATCGGAGACAAAAAAATTCTGTACAGATATTATTCAGAACAAAAACGTAATTCACTTTTGAATAACTACCTTAAAATCTTTATGGAGGCTACTAAAACTAGGAATAGTCCTCGTATAGCTTGTTTAACCATAGCACACGATGTAAATTATTCATTAACATGAGTTTATTTTACTCTCAAAAAACTTATCTTCAATTTCACTTTGAAGAGACTTGCATTGATTTCAACAGGATTTATTTCATATTCCATTTCACATTATGTGTTGATTTTATTTATTATATGTGGTACGTGTTTACTGAGGACCAAATTTCAGGGACAGTAAAAAAAAACCCATAAAAAGAGCAAGTAAATCCTCTATTGAAATTTCTATACCTACATCATTTTTCATTTGCATAAAAACCAAAGAGCAGATTTTATGAAGGAGGGTTGAATCTTTACTAAACTGTAGAAAGAAATCTCTGAATCCTATGGTGGCAAAAATATAAAGTGTTTGAAACTTCTGAACACTATTTTCTCATTGCGCTTACACTTGATGAATCTGCAGTAACAAATAAGGTTTTGAATCCATACAATCCTACCGTCTTCTGTGCTATGAGAGAGCCGACCACTGAAGAAGAGGAAGATGAATAAGAAGGAAAGAGAAAAAATGACAATGCCGAGGGTCCATGGTCAGTTTTTTCATCTCATGAGATACCTGGCCCGTAGACCAAGAGAGAATAAGAGAAGCGCGTGAGATAACAGAGCAGATAAGCGTTATCTCTCAAGAGAAACTAATCAATGCTCCACACAATCAGTCAGAACCAAAAATAAACCTGCAGTGAAAAAGTGATTAGACGAGTTTATTTACCTCTCATCACGAATAACTTATTTGGAGGTTACTGAGATAAATGTCTGATGAATCAGTTTAATCTGTAACCATTACATGTTCCTGGTTATTCCGCACTAAAATCAAATTCCTCACGAGAAAGAAAAATGTCAGGTCATCCGTTTTTTCTGGTGTTTTCCTGCAGTGTGTACCTACTTCCACTTTCCTCTGGTTTAGCTTTCAAGAGTCAGTTGGATCAAGTTGTGCTCCTGTATCCTGGCCAGGTAGGTGACTTATAACCTTAGAGTAAAATTCCTTCTCCTCGATTCTCATACAAATCAACATTCAAAGCCCCAATTTCTCACTTCAAGTTGATGTGGTCATTATTTCTTTGGAATATTTCATATTTTTCTTTTGATTTTCAACTTTCAGTGGGGCAAGTTTAGTCAATAATCAATCTGAATAAAGTAACTTGATGAGGAATGAAATCACCTTTGGCTTAAGTCTCCAACTATGGTGCAACCAACTGTAACACCATTCTTCGAATTCATTCGTCAATAATAATTGGTGGTCAACTTATCAATCAAATTTATCTTTCCAACTGATTTGAATTAGATAGTTCAAAAATGCGCCACTCCATTTCTCTTAAAAATAGCCTGTTTGGCAGTGAGGCCTGTCACACATTATGTTAATTTGAACTCAACAACCTCTCAGAGGTATGTGCTCACACTAGATTTTATTCATACAGTTAACATAGTGTTTTTGGACTAGAGTCAATTCCAGTTGACTTTTGAGCTCATACATCTGAGAATATTGTTCTACTTTAATTCCCTTCAAATTAAACATATACATTCTAAATTATCTCTCTTCAGGTCTTTTCTCCTTCTATAATCAAAGTTTTCTTGGAAAAATACTCCTCAGAAATCTTTATCTTGGTTTCCTTATTTCCTAAAAAAATTTCAATTTTCAAATGCCGATCAGTTAGTTGCAAAAAAGACTTTTCGACAGAAAAAATGGTTTCAACAGGGCCTTAGGTGTAAGTTGATCATTCTTTGGAAATTTTTTGATTTTTAATGTTGGGTACTCGTGGAATTTAGGCATTCAATGGGGCTGTTGCAATTTTTTTTCTTAAATTAATTTTCGAAAAAATGTAGCTATGAAACGAGAAAACCTACATTTTTATGTTTTCCTTCAATCAAATTTTATCAGGGGGAAACACTTTCAAAGTCATTAACAATTTAACCTTATATCTTAATTAATAAAGATAATTTCTTGATCTTAAAACTGCTCTGTTTTTAAAGAAATTTCTGCCTGTTTAAGGTCAAATGACTGATTAGAATACAATACAGAGAAGGTAGCAGCACATAATTATTAGCCAATTTTAATGATCATTCTAGGTGCGCAGTGAGGGAGATTTGGACACCTGCAAAAATGGAGGGATATGCAGTATTGTGCATGATACATTCTGGATCCCTCCTAGAGCTGAGCGACTCTGCAGATGTCCTGGTGGAGAGGAGTGTCCCTATACTCTGGCGAAACCTCATGATAACAGAACTTTGTTCTTGAATAACCGAGCTCAAATGAAGGTAACTGATTGAAAACTATGTCAGTTAAAAAAAGGGGGGGGATTGAAGAAAAACCACTTCTAGATGTTACTATGGAGGAATTGATTTTTTCTCCTTATTGAGAGCTTACACAAGCACCTTAACAAAGTTTTAAATGGCTTTGCTTTATTCCCAACAATCAATCGTTTTACAAATATTTAAACCAGGTGACCAGTTTCCTTGAATTTTAAAATTTTTTGTTTTTTCAAGGTTTTTGAACGAATAACTTTCTGATCTCAAGAATGATCTCCACATGACATAAGTTGCAAAATTTGAGCTTTGCCGACTGTAGGCAAGAGTGTTATCAGAGCCACTCAAAATTTGTAACATGAAGTAAAGTCAAAGTTTGGTTGCTAAGTTTTCTTTCTCCTGATTTTTCACTGTTGCATAAAATTCACTAATCTTTCAAGGTATCTTCTGACTTTTTAGGCATTTTTTTACCTTGTAAAACGTGTGGCGATGAATGACTGCCTTCCGGCCATGACAACATTCTGTTAATCCAATAACATATGAGTAGTTTTTGGCCAATCATGCCCAGCTAATCTATTTAATTTGGCTTAAAAGCAGGAACCTAAAGAAACAACCCTTATCATGGATTAATCAATTTCAGTGTAGTATTTGAAATCAATACCTAGTACTTTGGTTAAAAGTTCTGACACATCTTGGATTTTGTTTTGACATCAAAATCATTCCCTCCAGTGCATCAATTTTGGGGATTGCAAGAACTTATAAGCTTAGTTTTGATGCTGTGTTAAGGTATTTTCAAAGAAGTATCGACTAAAAAAAAATTGGATAACTTTGAACAAAGTTTTCAACTCAGTTTTTAATGAGTAATTAATTTTTTAATGAGGAAGATGTGCTGACAGATCTCCAAATTCTAGCAGGCATTCTGCATCCTCCGAGGGCTGCTCAGTTAGTGAGACACCTGGGTCAGAATTTGAAAATTGCAAGGCAGTCCTGTTCATCTTCAGATTTTCAGCTGTTGATTGCCAAAACATTAAGAGAAACGGGCTTGTAGATATTTCGAAAAAACTAGACAAAATCCACCCGGGTCAGCCTGACAACGTCTCACGTTGTCTAATTTCTTCTCATGATTTTACGCGAAAGCTGAGGACGTTGTCTCAAAAGTTTATGAATGTATTTTTAAACCCCAGCAGGCTGATTATTGAAATTGATAAACAAAGCAATAGACAAAGAAAACCTTTGTTTTCTTTGTCTTTGGGGGAAATGGAGCGATCCTAAGGATGGAAACAGGTGGTTGCAGAGGGCAAAAAAGGTAAGCAATGGACTAACTATCGGCAACAAACGAGAAGCCTATACTGCCGTGATAGCGAAGAGAGCAGTAAGTGCATTTCTGTGTGAGCCATGATTAGCACATGCTTTTATGTGTCTCGAGGTTCATCCCAGCATGCACTTACTGCTCTCTTCACTACCACAGTAGTATGGTTAGTTCACAATTTTCCCCTCAGTCTAAAACAAGCACCCATCCTTTGTTTTCTTTGTCTATAGTTTTACCTAACAATTTCAACCATCAACCCGAATGATTCACAAAAAGTTTCAAGGCTTCCGTAGCTCAGTTTTTCCAGACCAAAATATAGATCGAAGGAGGATTTTAGGCGATAAGAGATGCAGATACGCTTTCCTGCTTGGATCTGTCTAACTGTGCTAAAGAAAGCAAATTGAAGGGTCAAGAGGATTTGACGAAATGGATGACATTTTATCGTTTCTGAATTTTTTACTTTTGAATTGGGAAATTCTTACAGACGTGCAATCGCACAGATGAGATGCCAAAGTGCAAGTTAGAGCAAACTGCACTGATCATAGAGGAAACTCAAACAGAGGCGTTTAAAGAGCGGAAAGTGCTGGCCACTGCATTCTGCACATGCGAAAATCCAAAATACTGGACCTTACAGAAGCATTTCCTTGAAAAACATCCGAACGGTACAACTCACATGACGAGCCATTATCACTGCACAAATGTACGTATTCCGGTAGAATATAAGTCTCCTCACGATCCTTCTCCATCATTAAAAGGCATGGACACTGTTCCAATAAACAATCAAGAGAAACTTGGGACACACTTTGGAATTCAGCCTTTTTCTAAAAACATTTTCGAGTTTATTAGAAACTTTCAGCCATTTTTTCCCCAAGAGGCAGCCACTTTTCAGGAACTTCTTTCATGGCACCATCAGTTTTTGGGTGAATTCTCTAATAATGGTGATATTGAAATGTTACAGGGATGTAACAGAGTTTTAAAGAATCGACCTACAGATCATTTAAAAATTTGAAGGGCAAAAATGTTCTCCTCTCAGGATCAACCCTTCGACAGAAGTCCTTTGTGAATTTGTACTGTAAAACAAGACCTCTCTGAATAAACTTGGGTGATTATTAACCAATTGGCAGAGATTAGGAGAGACTGTATTGAAAGTGACCTTATGCAGTTTCTAGTTGCTTCCTCCTAAAATGAAGAATTGTTGATTCTTTAGATTCACTGACTTAGGATGGTGATTTGTGCCAAGAAAGAATTTGCAGTATACTTGCACAGCCTTTTAAAGTAACATATTTTACTTATCACAAAAAACAGTGAAACAGTTAGGATTGGAAAAACTGGCTTTTTAACAGTTATTTCCCATAGTTTAACAGAAAAAAGGAAAAATAAAACAAAAGAAACAAGGGTTAAAACCGGGAGAAAAAAAAAAGAGTTGAATTGCCATGAATTCAGAACTACATACCATTTGTGACTAAAATTTTAGTTAGTATTCAAGATAAAAAGACTTTGAAAAAACTGATTCCTTGATTCTTTTTGTCTCATTTTCTAGTTGGGCAAATGCAAAGTTGATGAGCATTGTGCTAATGTGCGACTGGATTATTATTCAACGTACCAACATTGCCTCTGCCCAAAAGGGCAACAATGTTTGGCAAATAAATCAATGGTGACAAATGTAACAGAGCTGCTGTTCAGTGGGCCTGCGTACAGGGCTTATTGTTCACCTTTCCCTTCTACTGAATGATGTGAAAGACTTGGCAATGAGTTTCAAACAAATGACCAGCTTCATGAATTATGGAACCAAGTATCAATGGAAAAATGATGGAAAGAAAACTTCAATGACGATCCCTCTTAACACAGTGAAATGAGGATTGAAATCGGCAAGCAATAATCGACTGACAGCCAACTACTTCATTTGAAAACATTAATAAGAGAAAAAAATCTATGAACAATGAAAACCTTACGTAAAGGTCTGAGAGCATCTATTTGATAAGTCAATGTTGAATGACTAGATTCTGAGACTCAGCTAAGTTTTGTCGCTCTTAAAATTTTAAACGACCATGAATTAATGCACAGCGACCAAACACTCTGCATTTGAGATTGAGGTTATGTTTGTGTTTTAGTCATCGTTGGACATAAGAAGTGCTATGACCACTAATTCAGCCTGTCAAAACAAAGTCTGGCCAGGAAGGAACACACAGCAAACCATCCTCTGTTCTTTTGACAGTACAAATGTAACTGTTTATACCTAGTTGATAAATTAGATTCATAAATTTTAATTCAAATAGTAGGGGAACCTGTTAGTATCCAAATTTCACGGATGAAACATGGCTCCTATTTTACTAAGAAGAAATATTTATTGAGGACAGCAGCAAATATGTTGACCTTTGTGACCTTGATCTCCAATAATTATGAGTTCACACCTCTGAGGATTGACAATTATACTTGAAATACCTGAGAGAACAAGAAGAAGAACAAAGAACTCAACAACTTGAGCTGAGTTTATGGTCAATGCAATTTTTTTCTCAGTTGGGTGGTTGTCACCAAACTTTTAATGGACTAGAATCTATACAATTAGGAAATTCTTGTTTATTTCATGTTAATTTTGTTCCATTACAAATTATGCTATTTTTTAAATTAGGGAGAGGAAAGAAATTAGTTTTTTCACTTTGACGCTTCTTGTTATTTGATGGATTGAATTTTATTCAGATGCTCATGGTTTTGTAATAAATTTGAATGCTGATGATTATTTGTGTATTCTAAATAAGTTCTCCAAAAAACATGGATAGGTTCAGTGGACTAGGAGGCAGAACTCGACTACTTCTCTATACTTAGACATTGGAAAATTTCGCTTTTATTTTTCCCCGATTTCGCGGTGATTTTTCCCGAATTTCGCTGTTATTTTTGCTGATTTCGTCGTTAATGTTGTAGCGCTTTTTGCGTTTGACAGCTTCAAATAAAGCTTTCACTTGATCACATGTTAAAATTATTAGAGGTTACCTTTATGCCCCGGTTGCTGCCATTTCTTTCATTAGTGTTTTGATGCCATCGGCGAACGTTGATAGCTAGTAGTCAATAACGACCAATGCTCAGAGACAACTCCGTAATTTCTTAATTCGAAAAAAAAAGCGGCAAATTTCGTCTTTTACGAATACATACATATGTAAATCTCACGAAAATGTACGAAATTCGCTGATAAATTTATATGATTTCGCAGGTTTCGCGCGATAAATCCGGAAAAAGACCGATTTCGCGTTATTTCGCTTTATATTTTCGTGATCAGGGGGTTAAGATCAGTACTTCTGGTTTTCAGATTCCTAAGCACATTCTAAAATTTTCGCGGCGAATCGCAGCGGCGAAATTTTCCATTGTCTACATGGGTCAAAATGTACAACATATAAAAAAACCGACCTATTCAACTGGGAACGCTTTTCCTATGATTAAGAGGCCTCGTCTTTTGTGGTTATGAAAAAATTGACCATAAAAGTATTTTAGGTACGCCTGATGATTAACCATGAAATTGTAGGCTGGTAGTTGCAAAAATAGATTTTTAAACCAATGTGTCAATAAGTTGCTCATTCCCTTTTTAGAATAACGTAATTTGGGTACTCAGTATGAAATTTTTATGATTCTTCATTTTTGAGACAGAGAGTTGCAGTGCTTTTGATCTCAACTTGGAGCAGAAATTCATTTCTAAACTAGATCTACAGCAAACTGTCTTTATTTGCTTTATATTGACCTTTAGTTTAGAAGATTTAAATTAGGAATCCACCACTTGGAGCTCCTACACTGAGCTAAAAATATGAGGTTCTACAAAATATAAAGGTTAGGTTGTTTTAAATGAACTAACTGCAGGGCACTCTTTACAAAAAGGTGAGCAGTTGTAGGATATATCCTCACCAAGAGATAGCACCCCTGGTGCTGCTTGATTTATGACTTACAATTGAAGTGCATTTTGCAATTAGGACCTATAAATTCTGGCTCATCTGAAAAAACACTTATGTGCATAGGGAAACTAATGGCACATACATTGTTTTTAAACCGGGGCGGAATTAATAGGTCCAAATTGCAAAATGCAGTCCAATTAGCTACCCTGCCCCAGCAGTATTTCTAAATAAAAGTGCGATATCTTGTGATCAGCGCTCAATGGGTTAAAAGGTGCTTTAATCTCCAGTCTACTGGAGCAGTGGAATGGGCATTTCATAAATTGCATCAATTAGGCAAACGATTTAAACTAACTTTGGGTTTGAGATTGATACAAATACAGGACCCCTACATTTTTTTTTTTACACTTCAAGTATCTTACAAGGGATAATCCTGCGCTTCACCAATCCTAGAGCCCCATAACCTTCTGTCCATAATCAAGCCAGCCCCAGGTAACCGTTGTTCGAGACCATCAAACTCAGGTCACCTGGCTGTGAATTGAACCCAGAACCTCCCGATCATAGAGCAAGCGCTACAACCACTACACCACAGGAGGCAAACATTAATCTAGAGAGCATTTGCAATGAGAGGTACTAACAAATTTGGAGAATTAAAAACAGGACTTCTCTTTGGAATGAGAGTTGTCATCATTACAGTGATTAATTGCTATATTAAAGGCAATAATTTTTCGTGGACTTGTTCTGTTTTCAAAATAAATTTACAATTAGGCTGCCTTTCTCTTGGCCCAAAACTCTAGGTTTCACCAGAGTCTTCTCTGATCAATAAGATTAATGACAATAATTCAACTTAGGCTGTCCAAAAAGTACAGAGACTGGTTCTATAACTCTAAAACCAAGATAGCTAGAGGCTTGATCTTAATTTCATTTGAAAGATCAACTCAATATCTATCGATTGAGACCAAAATCAAAACTTTTGGTCAAATATTTCAAAAGTTACAACACTGTTTGTAAAAAAAATATCTGGACCCCCTACCGCTTTTTATGACTATTTTCTCTTGCCGGGAACACTCTAAATTATTAATGATCAGTGCACGGTTCTTTTGCAACTAATCATGGCAAAACCTAATTGATTTGTAAACACTGTCAAGCCGTTGTCGTCCGACTACGGGTATAAGGGTTCGAAGTCTGCGGGGAAAGAATGAATCGTCGGTCAGCCACCCCTAAAAAACCCAGGAAATTTTCGGAAATTGTTGACAGTTCACAGTGCGTGCGTGGTCTACGCTACAGATATTAAGTGATTTTCTTTCTGTGTTCGAAATTTTTGATACCACTGCTTTATCTCTTTCCATGATGATACCCATGAAAATTTCCCAGGTTTTTTGGGGGTGGCTGACCGACGGTTCATTCTTTCCCCTTGGACTTTGAACCCTTACACCCGCAGTTGGACGACGACGGCTTGACAGTGTTTCCAAATCAATTAGGTCATGCCATGATTAGTTGCAAAAGAACCGTGAACACCCCCAAAAAACCTGGGAAATTTTCGGCAGTTGTTGACAGTTCACAGTGCGTGCGATGTCTACACTACAGATATTGAGTGATTTTGTTTCTGTGTTTGAAATTTTTGGTATCATCATGGAAAGAGATAAAGCAGTGGTATCAAAAATTTCGAACACAGAAAGAAAATCACTTAATATCTGTAGCGTAGACCACGCACGCACTGTGAACTGTCAACAATTTCCGAAAATTTCCTGGGTTTTTTAGGGGTGGCTGACCGACGATTCATTCTTTCCCCGCAGACTTCGAACCCTTATACCCGTAGTCGGACGACAACGGCTTGACAGTGTTTACAAATCAATTAGGTTTTGCCATGATTAGTTGCAAAAGAACCGTGCACTGATCATTAATAATTTAGAGTGTTCCCGGCAAGAGAAAATAGTCATAAAAAGCGGTAGGGGGTCCAGATATTTTTTTTACAAACAGTGTTGTAACTTTTGAAATATTTGACCAAAAGTTTTGATTTTGGTCTCAATCGATAGATATTGAGTTGATCTTTCAAATGAAATTAAGATCAAGCCTCTTGCTATCTTGGTTTTAGAGTTATAGAACCAGTCTCTGTACTTTTTGGACAGCTTATGTATCACATATGAGACCTCAGGATTAATCATTTTCAGCCGCATAAGGAATAGTGAAACTTGGGTATGCATCACAGAAAAAAGAGAAGAACACAATAAAAACACTTACTTGCGCTGAATGGGAAGATATTTCTGTAACTATTGGCAACAGTTCTTCTTGGAAGCGGTCTGGCCATAGGATACGCGTAACCAGCCCACACCGAAGAGCCTCACTTGCTGTCAACTGCCTACATCCGTAGATTAACTCGCTTGTCTATGGGCAAAGTAAAGAGCAAATGATAAACTTGGATGAAAGAAAGTTAAGTGAAACAAGTCATTAAATCTAAAAGTCAGAACGCGAATTACAAAACGGATCACCAGACAGGATTGAAAACAAAGCATTACAACACAAGTTTTCTTCTAAAAATTATCACAATGAATAGAAAATTTTCAAGTTGAACTTCCAAATGAGGAACCATCATTTTTGGCTTTCAATTTCAAACTTTCTACCTACCAAAAAAGTACTAGAATCAGATTCGGCACTGAGCTGATTTCATAACTTATTTAGTGTGCCAAAATTCTGTCAAAGAGATTTTAGGTAGGTATTGCATATGGAGATGCAAAATGAAACAGCAATTTTTCAGGGACTGCATATGCAACCTGCAATACTTATCCCAGAATTCGTTAACAAACATCAGAATTTGATTCATGAAATTTTTTTCTTCACAACTTTTATATTAAGATTTCACTGTTTCCATGCGTTCTATGGCAGAAATTTTAAAAACCTTCATTTTTCACCATTTCAGGAATTTTGCTTCTCTGTCTGTGTCCAAGGAAGGAGTGACTTTTAATGAAACCCAACCTTAGATTTTTGCAAAATGATATCTTTGTCTTCGATGGCTTATCTGATTCTGTTTTTTTTTTTAAACAAGCAGGAGGTTTGAATTGACTGATTTCAATGTAAGCCTACTAATTCGAATGGGCCTGTTGCATGCAAGAGATACAGCCGTGCAAATAGACTTTTCAGAGGTTAAATGACACGAAAATTACGATGGTCACATTAAAAAAGTCTGGAATACACTCCTTACTGCGCAATTTGTGTTGTTAGGAACGCGCTTTTTCAAATTTCCCGCGTCTGGGGGCAGTTTTCTAACGGAAACAATTAACGGCAACTCGCGGCTATTTCCGGTCAACTAAAACCGACAAAATAAAAATCGGAAAACATCGTGAAATGAAATGTAGAAGGATTGCGTTGGATATTTAAAAGTTGATCGATTTGGTTACCGCATAAAGCGTATATGGACCACTATAGGAGATCACGTTGGGTTTGTAAACAAACTGAGGGAAAAAATAACAACAACAACAACAACAACGACTCGGCATCTTCCGGAAATCACCGAGCCCACCGTTTGCTCGTTTCCGATGATTAGAAAACTGCCCCCAGACGCGGGAAATTTGAAAAAGCGCGTTCCTAACAATGCAAATTGCGTGAGTTTATTTCAGACTTTTTTAATGTGACCATCGTAATTTTCGCGTCATTTAACCTCTAAAAAGTCTATTCGCGGGGCTGTTATCTCTTGCATGCAACAGGCCCATTGTAATGTAAGGTTAGACTATCTGGCATGTGCTGATTTTGGAAATGGTAGAACGGTTGGATGTAGGTCAGTCTTTTCATCTTTCATTTCTTATTGTGTCTAAAAGATTGTTTGAATTTTCCCCCATACCTTGAGATTTTCAAAGCATGTTCAAAAATTTTCAAGCTTCCTGCAAAAAGTTGTTGTTCTAAAGTAAAACTGCAATTTCATACAACTAAGTCGTTTAGGTTTGCAAACTACCCACAAAAATCAGCATATCTAAAAGGCTTTAAACTTTTTAAATATTCAACATCCATATTCTTATGACATCATCTCAAAGCAATCCCCATTTTTTCGTCCAACACCACATGGGGTACCTATGCTGTTTTGTTGATCTACAGTGAGAGTATCCATAAACCTTTTCAGTTATAATAATAGTCTAAAACCCCTTTCCGAAGACTTGAATGAATGATTTTAAGATACTTACAGCAGCATTACTCAACATGTGGCTCATGGTCAAAGCGGGGGCTCCTTCAGGAATCTGACCAAGCTTGGTATATGGTGTGTAAAAGGTTGCCTTATCACTGGCAAACACCATATCAAAATACGGTAACATCATAACACCCAGTCCCACTGCAGGTCCATGAACACCAGCTATAAGCAACTTGTTAAACATTCCCAGACCATGTATAAAATCCCTGCAAAATTGTAATGGTCAAATCATTAGATCTTAGCATACAAGGCTTGCGATAACATAGGGATTACCCGAGGAAAGGATACTGATATTACGCCATGATTCAGTTAGTGTAGAATCAACACAAGTGGAGAGTGGTGGGGAAATATTGTTCAGTCTCATGTGCAGTGGTGTCAATAGTATGTACCACCTACTTTCAGACACAGGAGTCGGCAACCAGTGAGGATTCAACGTCAGTGGGTACTTTATTTGAGGGTTGAATCCGAGGGCAATGGTAATGTCCCATGCATTGTGCGCACCCTCATTTTGAGAGCTAAACTTCTGAAAAAAAGTGCGTAAATCAGCTCTCTATTCTGCTGTGTAATTGGAAGTTTGGCAAATTTCTGACGATAAACTATTTTTATTAAACTATTAATTCTCGAAAAAATTTACAGATATTTTCCCTTGAAATTTTTAGATACTTTACATAAAGTTACAAATAAAATTCTTTGACAATTTGGCAAAAAAACAGCAACAAGTTTTCCAGAAAATTTATGTTTTATCCTGGAGAAGTTTGTCAACACCTGGAGGCTTGGGACAGCAGCACAGTAGCATTGGTGAATAATTTTTTTTGTGAACTGTAAGTGGAAGCCAAAACTGAGCAAACAAAGAATTGAGTCACGAGATAATTTCAGGCAATTATTTCATTGATTCATCTAGTCTTGAGTGCCTGCACAGATCTGTAGGTAATTTTGAGGGTCAGGTCATACAGCTCTTAGGGCCAAAAAGGACAGCCAACCTATCAACTCCAATTGTACAAAATTATTAGTTATTACAATTTTTACGACCCGTCTTTCATAAAGTACAGATTTGACCTGGTTTTCGTATATTTACTAATTTTTGCGGGTGGATGCTCATTAATTAATATTTTCGGCCACCTTAGTTTCATATTGGAATCTGAAGATTAGCAGCGGCACTTTCTGGTGTTTTTCGTGTAAGAAGGTTGGCTGTCCTCTTCGGCCTTAGGAGCTTCATATTTTGACAAATCCAGACTCTTGATATACAGGTACTTTAAGTCAATTGATTACCACATGGGCACTTACTCCGAGCTGCTGTAAGAATAAAAATACCTTTCTAAGAGCAATCAAAATGGAAAAGCACACTGTTTGGCTATTGAGGAAACTTTTGGAAAAGGTAAAAAGAAGTTTAAACAAGATTAGGTTAGGAGTAGGAAATGATCTTTGAGCGGAGGGGAAGAGGAGAGAGCGAAAATACCTGATTGCAATGGCTAGCTCCACGACAACAGTTTTCCGCCTTTCAACATCATCTTCAATGAGAGATTCAAAATCTATTCCCTGGCAGAAGGTCGTTCCGATAGATGTTATTAGAACAGCTCGAATCCCTTTATCAGCATTAGCTGTTTGTATTGCTGCAATAAGTTCTCTTATAACCTGCGAAGAGAGAAATAAAAACAGCGAGGCTCTAAAATTAATCATTTAACATGTCCATGATGAAATGAAGCAGTTTTTTGTGTCTCCAAAATTGTAGGCACAGTATTTAAAAAGCATGGTTGCCAGAGAATTCCAAAAATGGATTTCCCAGACACATTTTGGTGAAATTTCCTGACAATTGAGAATATGCCAGGTGGTTAAAAAGACATAATTTGAAATAGCTTTCACACAAAATTTGTTGTTCAAAATTTCAACCCATTCTAGAGGAAACATAAAGGATACAAGACAATTTTTCCCCAACATTTTCTGCTTTCCCTGGTATTCCTTGACTGTGGCAACCCTAAAATTGGACATGTACCAAAATTGTTCGGTAGGTAATTATTCATATTAAATGGGCCTCCATTCAACACTTTAAAATAATCTCAACATTTTTTGCGAAATTTAAAAAAGAAATATCTAATAGTTGGCACGTAAAAGGTTAGAAAAACATTCAGTATGGAGATTCTTAGGTTGATGTGGAACCTACATGGGACAGAACGGCCTAAAGACATGGAAGTATTTTACTGTTCATAGCTCATTCTTCAAGATACCTACTGGAGAAAAGTTTTTCTGCATAAAAATCATAAAAATGATTTCCAGCTCAACTTGCCTGTAGGCAGTCTCTTGTAAACTTTGCCGTGAGGCTTAAGGCTCCTTTTCTTGGAGACGATAATGGCACGGACAATTTTAAAATAAGGAGTCATTCTCAAATGTTACGCAACTTACCCGCACATTCAAAGCGTTTTTAATTTTAGCAGGATTGGGGGTGAGAACAATATGCATCAAATGCTGGTCCTTCATCTTCTGAACAGTTATTTCTTGATAACAATCCACTTTGGGCAAGGCTGAAGTGGTCGGCCCTACCCGTGGTTGCTGCGTATCCAGGCGTTCCAATTTGTCATTGAATTCTCTACTTGCCAGATTTTCCAAAAATAGCGAGCTACTCTTCCTCTGATGAATAGCATTAACTGGCTGCTGCGGAGTTGACGTTTTAGCAGGTGCTGTACCTGTTGATCAAAACCAAACATTAATTGGGACTTAAAAATTAACGAAGAGAAGTGAAATACTTATCAAGAATAATTATAATACATTACTTTTTTTCTTTTTGCTCAATGAATTTCTAGAACTCCCATAAAGTTTAGTTCAGCAAATTTGGATTAGTTCAAGAACAACCCATCTTTTTGTTTGAAATTACTTATTCTTCTGAGACCAATAAGACAGCCAAAACTTTGCTGTCACAGATATATATCAAGATAGCCTTACATCTTGCACAAATACATTTTTGAACTGTTAAAGAACCTTTCATGTCAAAATCTTTAATCAATCTGATTTTGTTCAGAGCACTTTTCCCCTTGGAAGTGGATTCTTAATTTAACTGAACAATTGAAAACGTGAGAAATGGGGAAAATCAACTAATAGAAAACTCACTTATGGGTGCAGCAGGGGTGGTCCTCTGCACACTCGGGGGAGGCATTGCTGAGCTGGAAGCTGTCGCTACCGCAGCCGAAGTATTCAGACTTTTTTCTTCCGCATAAAGCGTTTTTCGAATGACATTCTTCGGACTGCTGGCTTTTTTGTTGAAATTTTTGGACATTTCACTGCGGACATCTTCTTTGACAGGTGAGCTCATTTTGGGAGGAGCTGATTGATTTGGAAGAGATTTGACTTGTTGCGTATTGGAGACTGCACTTGCATCTTTCTTTGGTGATAGAGCCTTTTTCACTTTGTTCACATTTTTCTTCTTTAGTTTTTTGCCGCTGACACTCACACCGTCAGGGGTGAGGTTTGGTGGAGGATGCTCAAAGTCGGTGCTCATACGCCTTGGGCTGCCAGCGGCGCTGGAGAAGGAGCTACTAGAGGAGTGCCTCCTGATGATGCGCGACGCTTCAGCTGGCAGAGATGAGCTACTTGGTTTCGGAGATGCACCTGGAACTGACTCTTGAGAATCGACGGATGCTTTTCGCGCTTCATCAGTTTCCACTTCATTTTGTTTTTGACTCTGTCTCTGACTTCGGTTTGCATCTTTAGGTGATCCCGATAGTTTCAAAACGGCACTCTTGACCAATTTAGTTTTTAGAACGAGGTCTCGTTTCTTACGCCGGGCAGACGGTAACAAGTTGGCTTTTTGGTTACTGTTCTTTGGCGAACGTTTTTCTTCAATGGAGTAGAGCATGTTTATTGCACCTTCGTCCATGAGCAATCGGTCTATTTCGCGCATCATGCGAGACTTCTTCCCACCTTCAGCGGTGGCAGTGGGATCTGAAGATGCATCCGGAGGGACATCCTGAGTTTCGCCACTTTCATTAGTATTCGTCTCAACTTGCATTGATCCATTTGCGTCCACTTGAGGCTCTTCATCTTCAGGCACGGCTGCGGCTCCATCACTTGCACTTGGAGTTCCATTCTCAACAGGTTCAGGCTGCGCAGGGGCTGCTTTGATTCCTTTCAACAACTTCTGTTTTTTCTGAGCTACTTTTTCTGTGGGCTTTATCTTCCTCGTACTTTTCCTCTTTCCGGGAGAGGAGCCTTCTGGGCCAGGCGTTCCTGTCTCTTCAACAGGCACAGGGGTGTTGCTCACAAGCTTTGCTTTCTTTCGTTTCTTCTTAGGTGTTGGATCCAGAATTTCAGAGGCAATTTCGTCAATAATTTCGTTTGAGCCATTCATCGCATCTTCTGAGTGACGCTTGTTGGAATACTTTTTCATGTAATGTTTGTCTTTCGCAATTTTAATATCCGGAATTTCGGGCGGAGCTTCAGTGACATCATTTTCATTTGCTGTTACTCGAGCACTTGCTTCAGCACCGTTTACCGGAACTACACCGATCGTTACTTTATGTTTCCTCTGAATACTTTTGTAGGGAAGAATGGGTGCTTCTGTCTCGTCTAATTTGCGATTGATCACGATATTTTTGAGTTTGATATTCTTCCTGTTACGTTTAATCTTAGGTTTCAGTTGTTGTTCTTTCGATTTTTCTTTCAATTCTTCTTTGGATTTCTCTTTCAGTTCTTTCCTGATCTGCTTTTGCATGTTGAATTCTTGTAATTGTTGCAGTGCTAGTTGCCTTTCGAGCTCTCTGTCTAGCTTCACATGAACTTTTGACTTCCCTGCGGCTCGTTTCGGCACCTTTGAGTCTTGATTTGATAAGGAGTTGAGAGTTGGGTCCAATGCATTTTCATCTTCGAGTGTTTTCATGAGCTGACTATGCAGACTATTAGCATCATGTTTTTCTGGACTGCTAGCACCTCCTCCAGTCTCTGGCTGTGCAGGTGCAGGTACAGATGCAGGTGAGGGCGCGGTTGCAGGTGTAGGTGTGGATGGTGCAGGTGACTCGATCGACTGCTGATCAGCTCCAAGATTTTTTTCTGGGAATGTGGGTTTGATGCTTTTCACTAGACGATGGGTCATCTTCATTGTGAAGAGCATATCTCCTGTTTTGCTGCCATCAATCGTTCCTGGCGGATTATTCTTCTGCGCTCGTTCAGCCCGCTCAGCCAACTCTGCTGCAATTTCGTCCTGGGATACTATTTGACTTGTCAAGTTCATGTATGGCACTTTGACTCCCAGTCGGGGTTTTTGGTATGGTTTTACTGAACCAACAACATCAGCGGCAGGATCGTCCACGGTCCGTCCAAGAATGTGCCCAGGGACTGGGAAATCAGTACGATCTGGTGACTGAAATCTTCCTCCAGCTTCCTCACTTGATGCAGATAACTGATTCTCAGCCACGGAAACACCAGGACCACTTTCAGTTTCAGTTGCCATATTTTAACACAAACGATGGATTAATATCTTAATGCTTCAGCACATATCATCAAGTGTTTTTCCCATATTCAGTAGCCTGTAACAAAACAAAAAAAATGGATAAGGATGAATTTTAACTCCTACTAAAAACTATTTAAGCTTTCCAACTGACAAATCAGATTTTTGCGTACATGGTGAGCGATTTGAAATTTCGACTCTACAGTGTGTAATAAGTTTGGAGAGAGGTAGAGAGGGAATAATTTTGCCATCTATTCACCTGAGATATCTGTTCATACATTCAAGCAAATTCTGATCATGGTTCCCTGATGTCTAGATTCATCACAAAGACAGGCCTTGTCTCCACGAGCCGTTTCACGAGATTTGTCCCAGGGAAAAATCCTACTTACCAAGTTGGGAAAAATATTGAGTTAATCAATATTTTTCCCAGTACCAAGTATGGTACTTGTACCCCTAGGACCCACTGAGAGAAGAAGAGGAAGTGAAAACGAATTTTGCGATATTTTATTCATTACTACATTGTTAATGTTTGTTTAGTTAAAATAATGTGTCTAATTGTCAATTGAGTGCATTTATTATTATAATCCTGTTTAAATACTCCACTTTAAGTACTTAATCTTCCCGCGCAAACTAGTCGCAGGACTGTATGAGCCCCGTCCCGTGGAGACAGTAACTGGGAAAAACCCCAGAAGTTTCATTCCTGCGATTCGAACTTGGGACAAATCCCATGAAAACGTCCCGTGGAGACAAGGCCATATAGATGCCATAGACTCAGGCAGAAAAGGAGATAGCAAACCTTTTGCCAGGATAATTTTTCAATCAACATTGATGAAACTTGCAGGTATTCAGAAAGTTCTAAGCCTTCCCATTTAGAAAACCCCTTTTACTCCTAAAATTTTTAGAATGATGAGCTTTATTTAATTTCTTGCTTTTTACTTACATAAACCACGATGATACAAAAAAAACAAAAAAACAACCACCATTTCTCTGTGTTTACCTTCTCCAAACAATACGACCTATGTAAATATCTGAATAAAACTTGCAATAAGTCTGATATAAAAATTGACAAATTTGTTGTCGGTGCATTCCAGAAAATTGCGAAGGCCCAAGACTGTGTGCACTCCAATAGGGTGTTATAAACCAAACTATGTGGTCACCAAGGTTTGGACATCAATACTTCCTATAGAATAATAATGAAAATCGGATCATGCTTAAGACGTCACATGGCCAAAACCTCTGACATTTGTCATATACTATTCCCTGCGCACAACATGGAATGGCACATACACATAATGAGACAGAAATTTCTCTGGATAAGTTGAATTTTAATCCACGGATCTCATGTTGTCCCTCTCAAACTACCAATTTTCCCCAATTCTCAAACCTCCACCAAAATTGACTGATTCACTAATTTGATTTTACTCTCCACCTCTATTTTTATTCAGATCTCATACATTCTACCTCCTGGTCTAGGAATCATCTTTACTTGACTCAGACGGCATATTATCTGACACTTAGTTTGTTCTTTTATTCAGTGAAAAAAAAAATTAAATACATCACATGGTATCACGGAATGGCCTGTAAGACTTACATTCCACATGATGAGGAGATTAACACCTTTAATAAAGTTTCATAAAATTTGACCAATAGATAAACCTTGTATTGATAGTGAAAGGAGGTGTACTGACAGGAGTGTGCAGGTATCTTGTTTACATTGTTTAAAAATCTCCACTCCTATTTTATTATATCAATGGAGAGCTAACACTACTGCTTGAAATTTTCACAGCACATTTTCCATGCACAGGGAAAAATCAGGAAAGTTTCCAGAAAATGCTGTTGAGTATTTTTCAATGTAAAAATTGAAGTAAACAGAAAGTCAGCAATTTTGAAAACTGAGATACGTGTTTCCGTTCCCGCAGTATCTTCCTTGATAAGAGGTTCCCCATCTCATGGGTGTGGGAAAAGCTCATGGCCATGGATAAAAAAATTGAAGAGAGAAACAAGAGAAAACAGCAGAGCTGCTAAGGGAAAATGATGATAGATTATGAGCGATATTTTTTGAATCCTCACAATTGGACGTATACATGCTAAATGGAACTATGTGGAAATGGGAAGATGGGGTGTACTCGTTAGTGGTCGAACCATAAGAATGAATGAGAAATATAACGCGCCAGTGACGTCAGCGGCAATGACTAGCGAGACGACGATCAGGAGGGCGGTCTTTGACTCATTGCGCCCGGTCCACAAGGCTCTAGATACATGCCATTGGCTCTAGAGTTAGCGCTCAGTTCCTTTGGATTTAATTGAAAATCCTGCTTTTCCATTTTCTCAAGAGGAACTATATCCTTTTTTACATGATTCTTATTCAGCTTCCGCAAGCACACCCCATCTTTCCACTTCCACATAGTTCCTTTTAGCATAAATACGTCCAATTGTTTGTTTAAGCCCTAATGAGCAGCTTTTCTAGATGGATACGAAATATTTTTAAACAAATGTGCTTTCATTATGTTCACTTCAATTAAGCGGTGGCTAATATTTTGCACACCAGAAGGTCTAACTTGCAAAAAAGCGTGTGTGAAAATTCAGGTATAAGAAAAGGTCCCCTGTATGCTCATTGATAAATTGTGTCAAACAAGATGATGATGTAACAACCATTCAGCAGCAAAACTTGACTGCCATCACAGGGCTATTTTCTGTCCATGACACCCAAGGAACCAATGGATTGGGTTATCCCGGTTATCAGAGCGTTTCAAGCAGTTCTGCTTCAGGCTACAATGGCATGTAACCTACCTCCAAGGGGCAATTCAAGCGTTCCGCTAGAACCCGAGGAACAGGCTGGAAAAGAAGGTGACGCGTTACATCTCAATCCTCTGCAGTTTAAATGAAAAAAGCCCTACTGCTGCAAAAAATACTCAACTCCAGTCATAGGCTTCATCAGTTCAACCTTTAAATGGGCCTGGACTACTGAGAACATGCTAGAGATGTAAAATGCTATTATCTGAATCACAGACGCCGTGGTAGTATTGACGCAGGCAACCTATGTGCAAACAGCATGGGTTCGCTTTCTTCGCTATGGTTAGTACCCGGAAACAAATTACAGCTCTGCTAGGGTTTCAAGGCTTTCAGCTGCAAATCTAGAGAATTCCTACCCTGGAGTACCTGACACCAGCCAACAGTGAGGTGAAAGGAAGTCTTGCAACTAATCATTGAACTTTAGACAGCAATCGACAATCTCATAGGAGTTAAGCGCCAACTTGGGTGAAACTCAACCTTCAAGAAGCGTCAAGAGAGAACCAACTGCACATAAACATCAGATGCCAAGAGATGATGGGTCACTAAAATCTGAATTTGATCCCAAAAAGTTGGATAGCTTACCCTGAATAATTAGTCTAGATCTGATCTAAACAGTAAGTAATGCATGTGTGCATATATGAACAGAACGTTCAGGAGATTAAGGAGCTGAAAACGGCTATCCAAAATGGCGCACAAGCAAACAAATCGTGCCGAAAACACGAGAAAAAACAACGTTAAAAGAGGAATAATATGTTCTCACAGACAAAATAAGGAGGAGCGGTGAAAAATGGACAGTTACGAACAAGAAGATACAATAATTTGCGGGTTCTATTCCGGAAAAGCGGCGCCGGTAAAGGCTTTCCAAAATCGGATCATCAAAAAGTTAGGTTAGATGAGGAACCAAAAGTAAGCATAGGTTTGTAAACCACTGCGCAAACTTATCCTGGTAATTATTCGATACAGAGCCTGCAGCAGCATTCGTATAAAACGTGGAAAAATAAGACACCATACCGAAAAACAGCGACTGTATAGCAGAGAAACAGTTTCGACACAAAACTTGATAATAGAGTGAAAAATACTCCTTGGGATTCGACACTTTACAACATAACTAGGATCGCGAAGCACCGGAATAAACCTTATTCTTTGCGAAATGGTAAACTTAACGAGATGAAGTCACTCTCATCAAACGAATGAACTTACCAAATTCACAGGAGAATATCTAAAATAGTCGAGTATAAGACTGAATCAAATCTCTAACACAGTACCAACACGAAAATGGCGCTGGCTGTGGTGCAGTACAGTCCGCACTGACTGGTGTGGTGAATAAAGTTGCCCGAGCGAGACGAGAACGCAACACTTCATACACCGGTGTGTGTACACGCACAATTAACCACGGAAAAGTCAAGCAGTTTAATACTTTAATAATAGTGTAAAATGGCAATGGTCTCACGAAAGAGAAGTTTCCTTTTATGGAATGCCCTTTTCCATTATGGAGTATGCAATTGCGCATTGCTTGAATTAGAAGAAGCATTTGTTTCTTTATATAAGCGAGAGCACGGGGAAATAGTGCTACCTACATACGTGGGTAACTACTCAAAAGTTCTTGACAGAAACTTCGTCTCAATGACACTTACCATGGTGAAACGGGAAAAAACAAATACACATTTCTAATGTAGCGTTTCAAAATGTCCGCTCGTGTTTTATTTCTTAACTCTTGCTCCTCAGTTTACTATAAAATTTTCTGGGAGAAGAAAAATATCCATGACATAAGTAATTGCTTCTTGCTTTAATGCAATTAGACTTTGCAGCGGAATAAGATTGAAAAGCAAAAAGAAATAGCCCTAACTTGGGCAGTCTACCACTTTGCTTCCCCGATTTGTGGCCTTCGGACCTCCGGGTTACGCTCTTTGCCACGAGGATTCTGACTCTGGGAAGATCCAATCCTTATTTCAAAAATTTTCACAAACGAACCATCGATATTGGTTGAATATTTTGCATTATCAAAAAACGCATACCTTCATGGTAGTGTTTAAAAAGCTCCTACATTATATGATGATTCATTTTCTTATGCCAACACCATAACCAAGGTGTATCTCCTTGAACTGTAAATATTTGTAAATGGCTTCAAAAAGCTCGCAGAAAATTTCAAGGAGAACTGAGGGATTTGCTTGCAACAGAGTGCAAATCTTCACTTGTGTTTTATTTTACACAAAAACTAATACTTTCAGTTTTCGGTTTCAAATCGTCGGTGAGTTTTCTTCAATTATTTAGATATAATCATAGAAAATTTTGATGAGATACTTGGGATCCATTTCTATAAAAAAAAAAAAATTAAGAATTGGAGATTTTAAAATATTGAAATTAAGATTCACATTTGTTAACCCTCGCCATCAATGTGAGGCTCTATGTTTGGGGCAATTCATTATGAAAAACAAAATGACTGGTTCCCTGACTAAGTAATGGAAAATGTATGTGATTTGCCTAGATAATCAAGCAGAGTTTACGAGAGTATTCAAAGCATGTCAAAGGAGAAAGTCGCACAACTTGTAGTTCAATATTTGAAGATTTAGTAAAATCTTGTAAAATTAGTCGGTATTTATTTTGAAAATCAATTATACAACATCAGTGAATTTTTAGAAACAGACCGTCATGTTTTTATGTTCATGCGACATTCCTTTTCAGAATTAAAGGTTAAAATGTGCAACCTTTTTCTTTAGGCTTCAAATGAGTTTTGCTCAAAACAAATATTATTTGAAGATGCCTGATTTGCAAGAGCGAGAAGCAAGGTTTGCTGCGGACAAACTTTTCAATAGCAATGTTTCAAAATATTTGCTGTTTTGTAATTATTTTAACAAAAAAAAAAAAAAAAAAAAAAAAAAAAAAAAAAAAAAAAAAAAAAAAAAAAAAAAAAAAAATAAATAAATAAATAAATGATAGTTGAAATGTTTCAAAATTGTTGAAGAACATTTTCTGCAAGATGAAGGAATTATTAGTAAAAATTTCAAGAAATAATGCTGTGCAATGGAGTGCAAATTTAGCAACTTTAACTCTTTGACAAGGAAGGATCGACGAGGTTAAGCTGAGAATGATGTGATGAAACTTTTCGTGTCCAAGGCAAATTATGGAAACATTCTTTTGTCTCTTTTGAAAGGAGCAGGTACTTGGAGAATGTTGTCAGAAGATCTTGAACGGCATGAAACTTGGGATTTGTATGTTCCTTCTTTTCTTATTTGCAATTTCTGCCTTCCGCTTAAACACAGCTATGGTCTTGTTTTAAATTTACATCATTAGAAGAGATAAAAGAAACGAACATGCATGCAACACTCTTCTTAAAACCGTCTTCATCAATCAATTGCAAGCAACCTATACAAGATGAACTACCACACTTTTACTTATAGATGTTTTTCGTCTGAAGCTGCAGAATATCCAGAGATTGGTTTGATTAAAAACAAAAAAATTATAATAGGGACAGCCCTGATATACTTGGCAGAGATTACGTCTATGGAATATATGTGTCACCTGAGTGTTTTTATCTCAAACCAAGAAAATAATTTGACCATTCCACAAATTTACAGCTGTAGAATTCACTGTGCATTGAGTTTCCAATACATGTACCATCCCTTGGATTAGGAAAGACTGGAATGCTTAAAAAAAAATATAAACGCGATCTTGCTTTAAAAGGGTTGACATCTAGGGCAAATTTTTGTCCGGTAATTTGATACTTATCAGTCAAATTGAGAGCTTAAGTTTCATTTTACATCATTTTATTTGAATTTTCTCAGAAGAATTTATTCTAATCTGACTGATGAGAAGAAACTAAAGAGAAAAAAAAAGTCTTTCTTTCATCATACTTTTCAGCTTTTTAATGGGTTGAAGGAACTCGTATTTAATCCATGGATTAGGTAAGGTTTCTAAAGATCTATGATTGTAAACAGACATAAATGGCCATGACAAAAAATTGTGTTACGTTCATGGAAAAGATGATGAGGTCGTAACATGAACAAAAAAACTGAGATTCCAGGAAAATATAAAGATGATATTTTGCAGAGAAATTCGACCCACAGAAAATTTTACTATTTTGGCTTAAACCTAAAATATATTTAAGTGATTCAAAATACAGAGCAAGGTTACAAAACCACGGATTTTTCACAATATTTAAATATTTTCAGCTATAGTGAAAAATGACAAAATTATAAAAAAAAGTTAGTACAAATCTGCAAAAATAACTGTAGAAACAAAGACGAACAAATACATAGCGGAAGGACAACTTTGAAAAGAATTCTACACTGACATCAACAACAAAATATGACAAGTAGATATTTTAAACAGGATTACAGTGCAAAAGAAGAAAAAGAGAATGTTCAGAATCTTTTTACAAACGAATTCTTCCGGTTGAGAATTGGATTCCCAACGATTGAAATAAAGAAAAGGAAGATAATCTCAGAGAGGAGACTCACTCTTAACCTAGAAAATTTGAATAGGTTTTGAATAGTGCCGGTCGATGTCTTAAAACCTTTGGCAAAAAAAAAGAAAAGAAAAGAAATATGCAATTCTTATCATAACACACTTCGTCCAAAATATTCCCAAAATCCAACATTTTGTACTGTATCTTTTTACAGCCAATTACAAGGAAATCTTGAAGTATGCAGAAGAGGGTCTGAACTAGTTGAATGTGAAAAATTTGTACAAATATCTTCAGATCTTGCATTAGGCTCTTACGGAGAAAAAAATAAAAACTGTTTCAAATTTGAGGGTCACTCCAGAAGATAAACCTTTGTCGCTATCAGAGAGACAAACAGATACTCTGGATACCATTTTTTTTTGCCGTTATAGTAAAAACTTTTGAAAGACTAGGACGAAACTAATTGCCATTTGCATAGGTCCAAACCAATCTAAAGTTAGCTAGTTAATTAGCTATCATCTAATCAGTCTCTAAACTTGTTTTAAGAGAGTGAGAAAGCACCCAAAAATGAGGGATTCTTGGATAAGGGAAACAGAGAAAAAGTTGAAACAAGTTATCACAGAAAGAATTCATTTTTTCGATTTTCTTTATCCTCCAATCTATTTGACTCAGAGTACAATGCTATTGTTCACTAAGGGTTACTTTTTATACTCTTAAATTCTACCAGCTTAACTTATATCTGTTGTCAAATCTACTGGGACAGTTCAGAATTGCGGCTCAGTACACTTTTAGATAAGGTCACCTACTTAAAACAATCACCACTTAAACGTCTGAATGTAAAATCATCTGGCGAAATTTAAAAGCTTCCCAAAACTTCTAAAATATATATCACTCGATAACTTTAATACAATATAAATTTTTAGGCTGAGAAATATCAATTTAAAGTCAGTATTTTTCAGGCAAAAACGAACAGAATTCATTATTATAATTTAACAGTCTTGCTGGGAGAGGCCGGCATGTTTACACCATCGAATCTTTCCTCATTTTGACTTGAGAGACTCACATCATACATATTTAATTTGGTGGGATTTTAAGTCAACACAGCGCTTGGCTTCAGTAACTCTTAACTGAATAGAAGCTAGGCTAATGAATAAAAATGATCAGCTCAGGTTGAAATATTAGCGCTCAAACTTTCAGAATCTGACATTATCAATTAATTTGAAAGAGTCAATTTACATGTTCAAATTTTACAGCTTTTGCATTGAATTTTGGAAAGCATTGACACAGTAGGGTGGCCCAAATTTGGCAATGTCGGAATTTTTTTGGTCTTACCCCCTGAAAATGTTACATTGGATTAAAATACACTCTCTGCCAAGTTTCAGCCAAATCGGATCATATTAACCCGTGCTGACAGAGCCATCTTATTTATATGGGATTTTACATTGAAAATCATTTTTTCCCAGGAAAATCCATTTTTCAAAAAATGTGTGATTTCTAGAAAAAATCTGAGGTCATATTCGGCTTCAGCAGGAAAAATTGAGTGGGTAAACATGTATTGGACACTTAAAAAAAATTATTACCCCTCATTATAGCGGCGAAACAACTGAAACATCTAGAAAACGCTAAAAAAGGGTAAAATGACGGTGATGAATCCCAAATAATTACGTACGTCTGCATCCGAAAACGAAGCTCAACATATGGTTGGTGCTTCAGTTGTTCTTTTTTACGCTGAGTCCAAAAATGCTATCCATTTTTCTCTATTCCATCAGGATTTTCCGGAAAATCGATTTTCCTGTATAAGAAGAGGGTTTTCCGGGGAAAACTCAATTTTCAGGATATAAACCTCAACATGTGACAGATGTTTTTCATGTGTTTTTAAACGCTGAGTCCGGAAATGATGTCAATGTTGTTCCAATACATTGGGCTTTTCCGGAAAATCAATTTTCTTGTATAAAAAGAGGGTTTTCCGGGGAAAACTTATGATTTTTAGGAAATGCACGATCGACTTGTAATAGATGTTTTTTGGCGTGTTGTTTAACGGTGAATTCGAAAATCATAACCGTTTCCCTCTATTCCACTAAGAGTTTCTGAGGAACTAAATTTTTCCTGTAAAAAGGGTCATTTTCCAGGGAAAACTCGGTACAATCGATTTTCCGGAAAAGCCCGATGTAATGGAACAACTTTGACATCATTTCCGGACTCAGCGTTTAAAAACACATAAAAAACATCCGTTACATGTTGAGGTTCATTTCCTAAAAATTGAGTTTTCCCCGGTAAACCCTCTTCTTATACAAGAAAATCGATTTTCCGGAAAATCCTGATGGAATAGAGAAAAATGGATAGCATTTTCGGACTCAGCATAAAAAGTACATCGGAGGCACCAACGATATGTTGAGCTTCGTTTTCGGATGCAGACGTACGTAATTATTTGGGATTTATCACCGTCATTTTACCCTCTTTAGCGTTTTCTAGATGTTTCAGTTGTTTCGCCGCTATAACGAGGGGTAATAATTTTTTTTAAGTGTCCAATACATGTTTACCCACTCAATTTTTCCTGCTGAAGCCGAATATGACCTCAGATTTTTTCTAGAAATTACACATTTTTCGAAAAATGGATTTTCCTGGAAAAAAATGATTTTCAATGTAAAATCCCATATGAAAAAGATGGCTCTGTCGGCACAGGTTAATATTATCCAATTTGGCTGAAACTTGGCAGAGAGTGTTTTTTGATCCGACGGAACAGTTCTAGGGGGTAAGACCAAAAAAATTCGCAAAATAAATTTTGCTGTGTATAATTGGGCCACCCTATTGACACAGCTAATGAGAACTAAAGTGGAGAATCATTTATTTGATGTTCACTTGTTCAGCGCCTCAATTCTGTGGCTGGCTTCCTTGGAAAAGCTTCTGAAAGAACGATTCTTCCCTTACAATCTGCCCTCACGACTTGAGAATCTTCAAGTGGGATGTTAGCAGCGCAAAAAATTTGATGATCCTTTTGTGACTTTTTCTAATTATCGTGTGCCTTTTTCCTCCTTTTCTCATAATTTCTAAAGTTTTGTAAGAACTTTTGATAATTCACTATTAGAGACAGAGACAAGCGGCATTTCTAATCACTGGCATTTTCAATTACCGGTTTTTTTTACAAATGAGGACTTATATGTAATAATAGCGGTTGTTGACATCCGCTATATCTAGGGAAAACACTTTTTTCGAATTCTAGAGCCCTCAATAATGCCTGTGCAAGTTTCAGACTTCCAGCGCAATTTTTCTGCGAGGTAGGAACTGAAAACCATGTTATTTGTAAAAACAGCGGATATGAGAATCCACTGTTCTCCCTGGCAGGCGCAGCAGGACACCATGGAGATTCAAACGCACTTGCGATAACTGCCTGCGCACCAGCCATGGGCTGCATGACACTCAATTGTTATGTATCAAGACTGTTTCGCCAGAATTGTTGATTTTTCAACTGATTTTATAATATGTTCCTTATTTTTGTTGTAGAAGTTACAAACGGTCTAGTTTTTCGTTCAATTTTATTAAATGACTCAGCATTGACTTACTTTTGGTTCATTTCAAACATTTCACCAGCCTTACCCTTCCTGAAGACTTTGTTTCATGCATAAAAAAATGTTCTTAGTAAAAATAGCAGGTGTCACATTTTTTTCAAATCTCTGTTACTCCTTCAATTTTGAACTTACATAAATCGTAAAACGCGTGTTTTTTACGGAAGAGTTGCTCTTCATGAAAATCTTTGTATGAATCCTCTCAATTCTACAGGCGGCAAAGTGCAAAGCTTTGAAAACTTCAAACGCGATTTTCTTACAATAAGAAAACTCGACATCCGCAGTTGTTACATATAAGTCCTTAAATGCGCAACTTACTGCCACGAAGTACGAATCAGGCTTTCTACTTATTCTATTATTATAGATAGAAGTTCTCTTTGATGAAAAATTGTCAAATTTAGTTTAGTTCAAAAATTAGTAGCTGTTTGGCTAGTTGGTGAACAAAGCAATGGAAATATTATCCTTTTATCTCCTGGAGTCATTTAGAAACAAGACGAAGAATTCAACGTTTACGACGGCACACGCGTTTGTGCTCTCGCTGCCAATGTATTTGTTGGCATTCTGTGCTGCAGTAGGAGGTGTTCCAGCAACAATGGTAGATTGCTTCCATTTCACAGTTGTAGCACTGAAAAATGGAAAAAGACATAGTATTAAAATCACCATCGAAATGGGTAGTAAATGGATCATTAGACAGGGTTGGAATTGGATCATCTAAAAATAAAGTTCCTTGTCAAAATTTTATGTTGAAGTTAAAAAAGATAGTTGGAATTTTTAATCGTTGGCATCAGTCTGAGAGCCAGGCAAAATCATGACACAAGTTTTGACCACCTAAACCTGCACTGACATGGAAAACGGTTGTCTGCCACGTATTGTCACACTCAACAACATAGCAAACGACCATTTTCCATGTCAGTTCATGCGATGCTATCCATCTAAGTGGTCGAAACTTGTGTCACAAGTTTGTCAAATGTTGTCGGGCTCTCAGACTACATTTTCAATAACAGGTTTTTATGACATAACCTCGAGTAGGCCACAAATCACAACTGAGGTCCTGCATTTTTACCATTCCTTCAGATGCGATGAAAAAATGTGATTGCTGAAGCTTCACGTGTAAACGCTCAAAAGTTGTAATATATCGCTGGCCTCCACAAAAAATACTCATGAACAAGATAAAACAAAATCGATTTTTCACTCCAACTTCTGAATGGTTACAAACAGATGTTTGAATTGTGGTGCACATAATAGAGACAAAAAAATACATTTATAAGCTGGGCTTTGTAGCTTTTTAAATGGATAAAATACTGATTCCGCCGGTTTATGCTCAAAAATGAATCAAATTCCTGAACACACTTTTCAACCTTTCATGTCAGTTAAATCACCTTCAGATTAGGCACTTTCCGTTCAACTATTCTCATTTAATACTGCAGCGTTAAGCTATACCAGATCCATTCTGTGAAACATTTGTTACTATTCTCCAAAAATAAAGAGATTCCCTTGAAATGATCTTGGGTCAATAACCTTCGGGTGTTACACTGAATTTAGGCACACAGTGAGAGGTTAACAGAAATACTTACCCACTGCTTTTTCTTGACATCTGCGATTGTTAGCGCATGTTGTTCCCTTAGAAGTTCCATTGCTTCTTGATGTTGCTTTTCCAGCCTTTCTATTGTTCTTTTCTCTTCCATTTCAAATTCTAGTCTCATCTGGAAGCAAAAATATTCAACTGATGAGCAAATTTTTTAGATGAAACTGATAAAGATAGTTTTTCTATTAATTAGTCCGCATAGTCTCACCTGAGAGACAACTCCACCCCTTAATGCAATTCAAAAGATTTCAGAATGCAGTTAAGAATTATTTTATGTATCTTCCTGAAAGAGATGCAGGCAAATCATTCATATGCTGTTACAGCCCTGTCCTGCCAAATTCCAATCGATAGGAAGAAAATTCCATTGTCTACACTTTTTCATGGAGAGCATCACAATTACTAGCTTGTATTTGCTAATGGTGTCATTTAAAAGGTATTGCTTCTTGGATGGTGGTCACTAAAAATGATAGGGTGATAACAGTGATAGGTTGGCCAGGTTTGTTTTCCAACAAGGAAAGGTTTGTATTAATTGGAAGCGTTCAGGAGGAGAATTTCAACGGTTAGCAAAATTATTTGTTTATTTAAATTAGGTTTTCTCGCTTCTCTTTCTAGGCAAACCTGATTTCTAGCCACTAAGATAAACTGCCTCGGATGTAGGAAATTTGAAAAAGCAAAATGACAAACTACGCAGATTGCGCACTTAGGAATGGATTTCAGACTTTTATGATAAGCTATTGGTTTGGAGCTATTTTACCACTTGGCTGTATCTCTTGCATGCGGTAGATCCATTCTTGGAAAATAATTTAATTTGAAAGAGTTGGACAAAATTATCTACATTTTTCACAAAAGATAATAACTTGGTGGTGGTTTCACACCTTGTCAGAGGAGCACCAGGATTTTTGACTTGGATTAGAACATCTACGGTAGAAAAAAACAATGCGGCAGAGTTTCCTGATGGGTCCCTCATGATCATATCTATGGCCTGGGGGGCCTTAAAAAATATGTGACACTAAATTTCCGATTTTTTTGCCCCTTATCTCCTGTTTTAATGCTTTTGAGACTTAAGTCCCTATCCGTATCCTTTGAACATTACATATTTTATGAAGGGCTTAAAAACTCCTGTCGGCCGCCCATAGAAGGCAGCTTTGTGATGATAAAAAACCTCCATCAATATTAAAAAATTAGAAGACAGTTGTGATTGTGGATCTAGAGATGAATACCCCCTGACACCAAAAAAATGTAAATAAATAAGATGACGCACTTTCAGAGTACAACAGAAGATCTGTAGTTTTCATTTAAATATTAAAAGAAAACTCAAAAATCAAGAAAGTGTATCTTTTGTCTTACTCTAGAAGTGAAATTTATTTGGCAAAGACTCCATAACTAAGACAAAAAAAATGAAAATTTGAGAAACCATAATATTAAACAATGATGATTAACAACTGTAGCAATGAAAAAGAGGAAAAACCATAGGTATTATGTGCTCATAACTTACTTTATTAATCCAGTCCTTACTGGGCTTTTTGTCATGAAGATTAGTTTGTATTGCGATGCTTTTTGTTTGAACTAAAGTTGGAGATTCAACGCCTTGACAGGATGAACTAACCATTTCCTCTTCTTCTGCCTGCAGGACATGGAATAAACAAATATGTAAAAATTGGGAGATTTTGCCGTGAGGCAAAAATGCCGGATCGTAAAAACGGTCGGAGCTTGGAAACTTTTTGCACAGCTCGCTTAGGTAACAATTGCTTAGGCAATGGTGCCATTTGAGAGGAGCGTCCCAACGCTTGACCATTCCATCTGCAGTATTTTTATTTTTCCTTCTCATCTTTTTTCATTGTCTTCCCCCAGAGGTATAAGACCAATCAAAATACGCTAAAAGAAACCAACAACATGTACATCACAAAAATATGATGGCATCAATGTTCCTTCGCGCGAACAGCAAGGTTGCCAGATTGTGAAAAACTGGAGAAACAGAGAAACAAATATTTGACATTTGAGTTAAGTCTGCTGTGCACATTTCCTTTCAGGAAACATTAATTTTGAAGAAATTTTCATACACTTTAAACCAAATTACAAAGAAAATTCGCTGAAAAGACTACGGCAAATATTTACAAATGTTCCCAGAGATTCGTGATTAGTCAACGGAAATTTGGCAACGTCTGAGGACTCATACAGCGTTTTTCATTAGCATGGCAGGATACATTATGAATTTTCACGGAATCCAGCAAACAAAAGTATCATAAAATTAACACTGTCGGCAGGTTTGTAATTGGATGACATTTTGGTTCACAGGATAGGGAGCCTAATTGCTTAAAAATTTAAAACTGAATCATTCGTACCTCTGTAGGTAAGAGTGGTGTACAAACATTCTGGTGCAAAAAACGCTCAAGACATCAAACCAGACTCAAGTTGAGATCATTAAAAATTTGCAGTTCAGACACAGCAAGTTTGAGGAAAAGCGGTAAGCAAAGGGTGTATTAATATGCTATGTTTAGGGCTTAAAATTGGTAGATTAAAAAGAAACTGTTCGAGAAACTGTAAAAAGAGCTCCATTTGTACAACGAAAATTACTGGAAGTAACTTCTAATCAAGATATTAAAATTTTTCAATGCATAAACTCAAACTTTCTGCTCATAGAAATAACAATAATCTACTTGAGTTAAACTGCACATTGATGATAATCTTTGCAGTAAAGAAATATTTCACTCTCCCCCTCGGCACTTCAGCTCAGCTTCTGCAAGTAGTACTAACACCTTGAACAATACAGGGCAGGGAAGTAACATGTTTTTCTTATGAGGGAGGAATTCAAATTTTTTGTGACTAGTGCTAAAAAAAACGTTAAAATCTTGGTAGAAAGTTGATTTCAGTGATCCTTGTTGTGCGGATTGTATTCGACAAGAAATTTCAGAGAGATTATAAATATCAAAAATAATAGGTCCACCTTGTCTGATGGTCTATTCTGAGGAAGAAAAAGAACAGAGAAAAATGAGGAAACTCTTGAAGCAGAAAAAACTTAATACCTTAGGTTCTTCATGGCGAGATCGACTTGCAGGAGAAACGTCTTTGGGAGGAGAACTCTTTTCTTCCTTGACTTTCGTCTCTTTTTCTTCCTTGACTTTCGTCTCTTTTTCTTCCTTAATTTCCATCCTTTCAGAGCTAGTACCATTGGGTACACTAGAAGAGGACGATTTGTCAGAAGAGAGCGATGAGGATTTGGTTTCAGGAACTGGTGATTCTTGGTCTACAGCTTTCTTGGGCCTTCCCCTTTTCTTTTTCAATCCCTCTACGATCTTCTCAACAGAGGTTCCCTTTGCTACCTTTGGCTTGGCGACCTTCTTTGGACTGTTTGGATCTCTTGGTGGGCGACCAGGCTTACGTTTCTTTATCGGTTCAGGAACTTTGACCTTGATGTCGGGTATTTTCTTCACAGGTGTTTCCTTCATCTCACTGCTAGAGCTGTCCGAGCTGTCGTTTTTCTGTTCCTGTGGAAAAAGGGCATAAGAAAATTCAAGTCTAGGTAGTATATTTCAGCTGACTATTTTCATGCTAGATCGATCAAAGTGCCTTGAGAATGGTCGCTTATGAGACTGAGGAGGCGAAGAGTGAATGATCCATTATTGATATTTCTCCATTTGATACTGTGGTAAATAATCGAGTATTAAGATGTTTGTCGCAAGCACCCTGTTTATCGATCCTTTTCCACAGATTTAAATGGCAGATCAATCGATCGCAAAGCACGCCACACTGCTGGTCTCACGTTTGGAGTATGAAACCTCGGATTTTCTTTACTTCTGCGTAGTATAAATGCTTTGCAAACCATACATTTTGCCCGATGAGGGGATTATTATAGAAGAGCTTCCAACGTAAAAATTTGTCAGTTTTCATGATAATTTTATCACTAAAAGTCATAGACTGAATCTAAAAAGTTGCAAACTTTATTCCCAAGGCTGCTTAGTCCTCACGGATTGAAATTAAAGAGAAAAATATGTCTCAAGATTCTAGGGTGGTTTTTTTTTTTTTTTCAATACATCTGTTGCCTAAACTATTTATTCCCAAATTCTCTAGAACATTCTATCACATAAAATACTGAAATCTTAATCTCTAGAGTCATTGTTACTACAGACTTGCACAAAAAAATAATATTTTAAAGCCTAAAAAACAAAAATAAATTAAAAAATACAGTTTTCGATTCCACATATACCCAATGCACAAAGGCTGTTCCAAAAAAACTGAGAGTTGGTAAATTTCGAAGAAACTCTCAATGAATATTGGAATACTGTTTGCAGGAGCTTGTACATTTAGCTTTCAAATGATTCTGTGCTGAGCTCATTTAGTCAAATTTTGCTTTTCTACAGCCAATTTTCAGCAATGAGGAAAGAATACTTCTGGAATTGTTGAGTCATTTTCCATCCTCTAAATCCACTCTGTAAGAGCAGAACAACTTAAGAATGAAATTGGTATCCCTTTGGCTGAACAGTTTCGACTTCACAATGATTTGAACTGTGTGGATTGCAGTATGAGCCAACTCATTTTGATACCAACTGTAGAATACAATACGATACAAAAAAAATAAAACTATTATGAAAACTGTCTATTTTTGAGCAGTCTAAAAGCTCAGCATACCTGATATTGTCTTGCACATCGACACCAAGAAAATTTATTTGGTTTTATAGGTGATTTTTTGTAAAAAGCGATTCCCTTAAAAACTAGAAAATTATACCACTACTTAATTTGCACTTCAATTCACTGTCTGCCTATAAAACGTTGAGAGAGATGATGATGGCTGATGGAAAAAATCGCTGAAATGGGTACGAGTGCCATTCCTAAGTGGCAGACAGACTCCAAGGAAAAAGTCAAAATTCTCAAAAAGTCAGCAAGTCAGGACCTGAAAGCTTCGGAAAACAGGCTAGGCTGTTAACATCTTGACAATTTAGAATTTTTGAGCTTCCAACGTAAAAATTTGTCAGTTTTCATGATAATTTTATAACTGAAAGTCGTAGTCTGAATCTAAAAAGTTGCAAATTTTATTCCCAGTGTTATCGAGTCCTCACAGATTGGAATTGAGGAGAGAAAATGACTCAAGATTCTAGGGTGGGGTTTTATATATATTTGTTGGCTAAACTCCTCATTCCCAAATTATCTAGAACATTCTATCACATAAAATTCATTCAAAAAGAAAAGAAACGGTGGGGGTGGATACTCTTTTGCTTCTCCTGAGCAACGTTAGAACTCTTACTTTTATAGGAGTCTTTGAAGGAGAGAAGTTGACTGGACGGGTACGAGAGCGGCTACCTTAGGAATGCAGACATCCACGAGACAAAACAGAGGACTTGAGCGGACATTAAACTGAAAGGATAGGAGGAGGTGAAAAGATGGAAAAATGAAGATGATGGGTCACCCTCCTTTACTTCAGACAATACTGCCAGACTTCAAGGGGTATCATTAAGGTTGGGGATTTTTGACGCTAAAAATGAGAACATTAGCGTGAAGGATAGATTAGGAGAAGAGGAAGTAAAAGAAAAGTCCATTGGAGAGAATAGTTTTTCAGCTGGTTGAAGGATGAAGATATTGCTGATTTGGAGCATTCTCCTGATGGATTTCTCAGAGTGGACACAATTTTCAGACTTCATACTGATAATGCATTACTATTTAAACATTGACCAATCTTACATCTCCTCTTAGAATTCAATAAGTTTTAGACAGAGGTGCTTTCTAGCAAATACGAGGTCTGTCCGGAAATCAATCTTTTTTATTTTTAAAGGAAACTAGCTGACCTGGGGCTTAAAAACTTTAATCTCCCTTAAAGTACTCTCCACCAGAAATGATGCACTTGTTTCAGCGGTATTTTGACTTCTAGGAGCACTCTGCAAAATCCTTCTTCGGGATGGCCATAAGTTGCTACATTGTGTTTGCTTTAATATCTTTAACCGACTGAAGTCCAGTTCCTTTCAAGGCGCCTTTAAGTTTGGGGAACAGTCACAAGTCACAGGGTGCCAGATCAGGACTGTAGGAGGATGCGGCATCTGTGCAATCCCACGTTTGGCCAAAAATTGTTGGACCAGGCACGAGGAATGGGCAGGAGCGTTGTCATGGTGGATCTTCCAGTCACCGCTTGCCCAGAGCTCAGGACGCTTCTGCTTCACCGCATCCCTTATAAACGGCGTAAAATTTCCCTATACCTTTCTTTGTTGATAGTCTATCCCTGGGAGGTATACTCATGATGCACAACACCTTTTTGATAAAAAACTGTCAACATGACTTTGACTTGGCTTTGACTGCACCGCGATTTCTTTGGACGTTTTTTCCCTTTGCGATCCAAGCTGTGGACTGGATTTTGGTTTCAGGGTCGTACTAGAGACCCACGACTCGTCTCCTGTAATGATTGATGTGTCAATCCGAGATTGAAGCAAAACTTGATGCGCTGGTCTTTGCGCTTGGACATTTTCGCGAAAAACAAAATGCGATGCCAGCACTTGATACACACTGTTTAATCAGGTGCTCGCTGTCAACTGATTAATCACATATCATTGCACTTGCGTGTGTACTTAAGATATGGAAAAAGTCCAAACCAAGTCCCAACTTCTTATCTATAAGAAATTTCATGATATAAGCACTCGAATAACCTAGAGAATGGCTCATTATCAAGCATCAGTATCTGCCTTCTCCTTGAGGTTACAAGAATTAGTAAAAATACTAACAATCAAGAATTCTTCATTTTACTTTATTGTTGTGTTCTTTTTTTTTTTCAGTGAACAGAACTACGGGCTACCATAAATTTTTTTTGGAAGGCTTGAAACTAACATAACAAAGGGTATAATATGAGAAAACGAGAGACAACAAAAAGTCGAAAATTTTGAGCTTCCATAAAAAATTTCGGGCATTAATACGATTTCTTTGAAATTTTCTCAAATTTTTGGTCGATTGTAGTGCAATTAGGTTTGAAAAATTTGAAGATTTTTTCGTAAGATTTCACAAAATCTGCGACAAAAAATCTGGATCCTGAAAAATACGTATTTTGTTAGATTTCTGATAAAGCACATAGAAATATCTACACTGGTGCTACACTTACCTCTACTGTGGGAGTGGCGACTTTCCCAAATTTAACTGGAGCTGCCGAAAGAGGTGAGACACCTGATTTTCTGGGCGACGGAGCATCGTCATCTGAATCGCTCGAGGAATCAGCGACAATAGAGAAATTATTTGTTTCCTGCCTTAATTTTTCAAGGAGATGCTGATGTCGTTTGAGTTCCTCGCACGCCTTGTTCCAACTGGAGGTTCTTTTCACCTGCATTATTGAAACAAAAAACGTAATTTCTGATGCGATTTCTTGAAACGGATTCAAATTGACAAAAGAGGGATCAGAGATAATAAAACCGCATTTCGCTCGACCTGTGGTGGAGGAAAAATTCTATGTACAATTTTTAGATACTTTTCAGTTTTTAATAATGGACCCCAGCAAATTTAGCCATCCACCAGAAAATTTCCTCAAGTTAGAGCTTTCATGCAATTCGTCACCTTTGAACATAATCTTCTTAAAATCACTATTTCAAAAGTTGCTTAACTTCTCAGACTATGATACCCTTCACTTACTAAAGTTTACGACTATGTTGGTTGATGATATATCTTCAACGTTAGTGCGTCATCTACCCTCTAGATTGATCATTCCTTCAAAATTCAACTTCTATTTTTTTTTGGTGCTATCAGGAAATTTTTTAAAATAAAAAAGTTTCCATCTAACTGTTTCTCGACAGTGTCTAAATTATTTTGATAAACGTTTTTAACACTTAATGGTTTATTTATGGCACTGTATGCATCAGTTCATTTGTATGAAACATGCTTTTATTGAGACTTATTGATGGCTCATTATTTGTTGAGGAAAAATGCAATGGCAAGGAATTTTTAGGGGGTTGAAAACAGGTATCACTTTGATAAATCTCATTAAAAAGTTAAAAAAAAAGGTTTTTGAAGGGGAAAAGCTGATCAAAATCCAGTCAATCAAACGCTGACGGTTGAGTTGAGGTATTAAGGTGAAGCCCAAGACTAAGTTGAGCCAACAAGCAAACTCCGTTTCTCCTGCCTAGCTAAGTCATCAGAGCCCACCAAAAATATTCATACAATTTGGTCCCATTTTTGGCACTTTCAAAATGGAATTTCTTTGCCATTTTGAGTTTAAAAAATCCAAACAAATTTCAGCAAGCTCAGTTCACTCGTTCACTCTGTACTTTCAAAAAATTTTTGAAAAAATGGGTGCCAAGATCCATGGAGAGAAGAGGTGGGTAAAATAAAATCAGAGGCCAGCAAGTAGCTTTGCATCTTATTTTATTGCAAGGGAAAATTATTGTGAAGACAGGGATAACATACCTGTAATGTATGAATGTTCACCGAAATGGGTCTAATATGTGCCTTTTCAATAGTTGCTCTTTCATGAGGAGTCCCGAAAAATCGGACGTCATAAGTTTCCCCATCACATTTGATGACCTTTGAAAATACAAAAATGAAATTGAGTAAAATATCAAACGTATGATTTGCTAATAAGTATCATGTTCAAAAAGAGATACTGCCAACTAGGTGAACTCTTCAGTTCAGAGGTACAAAAAGTTCCAAGTGCCTTTCCATTTCACACTCCTTTTTGTCATGCCTAAATAACTCTTATAGCAATCTAAACATGAATGTTCTTAAATGCTCCAACAGTCCTCCTTTTTTTATGCAATCTTTTATTGTGTTTTTGGTTCCATGTTAACTTCATCAACTCTCACGTTTAATTTATGATGAGTCCTATTCAGACATGATGATAATGAGTTTCAGTAGCTGAGCCGTTGAAACATGTTGAAAAATTAATGACAAGAGGTAAATACATTCAAGAGTTTTAAAAACATTGAGACTTTCGACTTAGTTTTAACGATATTCTTTGATTAGAAATAAATCCTCATAGATGGAATCGTCCTAGTTGAAACGGGAAAAGATAGGGAGAGGCTGATAGACGAATACTAACCTTTGCAGGCCAGTATGGGAATCCTTTCTGCTTGGCGTACACAAGCTCGTGCGGTGGAATGCAAGGCTTGCAAAACCAATGCTTGGAGACTTTTTCATTGGATCTCCGATAGCAGTGAAAACACTGGTGAATTTCGTGGAGGTCGTAGTCACAATCCCTTAACATTTGACGAGCCATATCTGCTATGCTGCTATGAACTGGTTACAGACAAAGAGAACTGATTAGGCAACTACGATCAAATCCTGATTTTATGTGGGATTTCAACCATCCATTTTTTAGCATTAAAGAATTTTATGCTTTGCAAGATAAACTCGACAGGTCTTCTGAGAACTAGCGATACAGTAACTGAGTAGATTTTACACATGCAAAATTGTACAGAGAGCAGCGCATCAGAGATATCTAAAATTTACAGCTTAACAAACTAACTAACTTTTGTTGGAGCAACATAGAGAGAGAGGCATTGTGACAAATGGCTTAAAAATTATAATGAGCTTACCAGAAAAGTCTGAAATTCACTCTTAACTTCACAATCTGGGTGAGAAATTTGTGCATTTATGAGCTTTCCGCTTCAAAAACTATGCTACAGCAAAGACATAATTTGATACAGAGGAGCTACTCTATCGGGAGGGG